TTATTTACCATTCCAGTCATAAACAATAGTCTTGTTTTTCATATCCAGAGTATAAAAAAATAATGGCTCTGTGAATGCATACATGAATGACGAATTACCTACTTAATGTTCTATAAACAATATCATAGAACGCGGCCGTGGCGATTGGCATTCACCGCCTCTGTTCACCCCAGCCGTGTATGGAGTGAGGATATGGACTCAACTTGTTATGTTCTCGCCCGCGGCTCTATCCGCGTGGGATTGTGACTATACTTATTTTAAATTTATACAAATAAATAAAATTGCAGAGTCCATTTGTAATTTTGATATTAAGAGGTTTTCACTATATATGTACATAGGATATAGGGTATTTCTATGAAATAATAAATTTAAATAACTTTTGTCTGTATATCAGTTTGTTCTTGCTAATCCCAGTAACGGCTAGATCGATTTTAACGGGACTTTCACTAACAGATATAAAGGTAAAGTACCCTAAGTTACTCCTTATAACATTAGCTGTCGGCTAGCCGCGTCTAGAGGCTACATTTATTTTAGAAATTTTGATTATCTTATATATAAAATTCTCGCGTCACAGTTTTCGTTCTCATACTCCTCCGAAACGGCTTGACCGATTCTCATGAAATTTTGTCAGCGTATTGAGTAGGTCTGAGAATCGGCCAACATCTATTTTTCATCCCCCTAAATGTTAGGGGTAGTCCACCCCTAATTTTTTATTTTAAGGGAAAACAACGTTTGCCGGGACAGCTAGTATGAATATAAAAAATAATTATATCAATATTAAATTCCACTACGATGAAGTCGCAGGTAACAGCTAGTTAACAATAAAAATAGAAATACACAGTATACAAATATGGCTGTCATATTAAACCAAAGTTGGTCATTAATAAACATGAACAATAATGTTTATTGTTAATAAAATACATATACAATAACATAATGAACTAGAAAATTGCGAAATTGCCTTATGAATACGTAATTTCACCAAAAACAAAATGTAAAAAATGCAATGCCAAGTCGCGCGTCGCAATATGTTTACACCACATAAAGAGTTGTGTGATCCCATGTAGAGACAGGTAACTAGTTTTATTGAAAAAACCTTAAAGATTGGAGTCGTGTCGTATCAATATTTAAAGAGCATGATGGAAGATCGTGGAGTGGTAAGAGCTGCACCGACAAGAGTGTTGCTAGTAAATGATAAATGAAAGCATGAAGAATAAACTAGATTGCGGTTCACCTGATAGTAAGTGATTACCTCCGTCCATGAGTACGCTCAACACCAGGCCAATTGCAAGCGGCCTTTTAAGAAGGAATAAGCTCTTTTCTTGAAGGTTTCAATATCGTAATGATAATGCATATATAATTATATTAATAATGTAAGAGATATATTGCCTTGATACATAATTGACATAATTAGCGAGTGGTAAGTATATTTATGTATTTTCTAATAGCCTTTTATACTCTGTAATTTTTTTTTATTTATGCTTAGGTACTAATGTTATAAATGTGAAAATAACTCTTTCTGTTTGTCTGTCTCTCGCGCTTTCACGCTAAAACTTCTGAACCGATTTAAATGAAATTTGGTAAACAGATAGTATAGATCCTGGGCAAGGACATATGATACTTTTTAATGCGAAAAGAGTTGTAAGGGGTTGACAGGGCAGATGAAAGGTTTCATGGAAGCAATTTTCTTTGGCTAATTTGGGTTAGATTATTAAATATTTTTTCTTCATTTGGTCAAGGTCACACACATTACAAGCTGATGAAGTCCCTCGTATAGCACAGCACGCACAGCTAGTATAGGTATTATATTATTATTATAGTAATAAAAACTTCGTTACATACACGAAGATATCTGAATATTAGCGTTGGTATTCAAATAAATTCTAATATTTATTGGAATCCTTACCAAAGCTAGTTTAGTTGCTGCGTTTGGATATATTACTCCTTTCTACATAGTTTTATTTTTTTTTCGGACTACTCTGATGGTGTTGGCCGCAGCTGGCCTTTACAGCTTCACCGGACGTTAGGGGCGAGTGCAGATGGCACTCCAAACCCGCGGAAGGACTTATGGAGCGGCTGAAGGCCAACTCCTGCCTGACGGATACGACATTAGTCTGAGGGCACCACTAGGGGTTCGATCCTCGGCTCAGGCCGTCGTAATTTCGATCCCCGTTTGGATCGATCAGGGGGGCGCCCGGAGGCGCCGGTGTGGTTTTTACACAGTATAAAATAAAGTGGCCGCAGCTGTCTGTTCGCTTATATATTTTTAATTACGCAACGGACATTAAGGCAGTTTTTAACAGTAGATAGAGTGATTCAAAAGGAAATGTTATATGTATATTACATACATGCCATATTATAGTACAAAAGAGTTGAGAAATTCAAAGATTTGCAATGCATCCGTGCGAATCCGAGACGGGGTCGCTAGCATAAAATAAATAAAATTTCTAAAATTAAATAATTGCAATTACCCATGTTTTATAAATAACAGCTAGTTGTTTGTAAATGCTCTGTAATTGCATGAGTAATATATGCAGTTTAGGTGAAACTCCTGGCCTCCTGACTCGAGTTATGGACTGTTGACTTCACCGATGTCCAGCGCAGTGCTGTGACGCATGCTTATTGGAAATGGAAGCCATAAGTGGCTTACAACGAGGATAACTACTTTCCTACGACAAAGTGTTGAATGTACAGTCACCGACAAAGGCATTAAAATCTACAATTATTAATATAAAGTCGCTGTTCTCGTAAACACTTGTAACAATTTTTTTTTTATCAGGATCATTCGCATAATTATAATATAACGTCGCTGTTCTTGTAAACACTTGTAACAACATTTTTTTTATCAGGATATTTCGCAAATTTAGCTTAACTTAAAGTTGAAATTATTTATTCACATAGGACCTATTGGCCTCTAGTGCACGTCATATTTTTATCAGCATCCCTACCGTCCAGTTCAATTAGCTAATTCTGTTGAGAAGACCTGGCAACATACTCAAGCTAAGAAGATGAGTAAGAAACTTGGCTTTTACTGTACTGAACATTGAACAACAAACTTGCTGTTTTCGTCTGTTTCTCTGCTTACATACTTCCTTGACAATTGTTTTTGTCAATATATGCATAATATACATAAGAACATATTCAGAGCGATACAATCAATCATTCTTATGAATACAAATGTTTGTACCGTGCGAGGAATCGAACCTGCGACCATCGGAAGGTGGAGTGCTTAACCGCGGGACCACCGAGGCCGTCGAAGTGACAAATAAGACGGCCCAAGTAATGGTGACCATCGCTTATATCATCAGACAGTATTACGGTAATTGCACTGCCTTCAAACTAGAATCCGGTGAGGAAAGGGGATTGTTAGTAATGTGGACTAATGAACACATTACTAGCACATATGGTTAGGTTGACCTCCACGCGGATGCTCTGGAAACCACAGTGATAATTCCCTAGTGAATTTGCCATTTTTGGGCTAACTGACCTGACCTCATGCTCACCATGCTCATGCTAATGCTCATTGGTGCCCCGTCAGCAAAACCGTTAGCACAAGCAGAAGCGCCATTCCATTATCAACAATTATAAATAAACAGAATGCGGTTTACAAAAAACCTCTTGACGGCAGAAATAGGTGAGAAATGGTATTTCCGAACCGATACAATATTGAAACTTTCAAGAAAAAAGCTTATACCTTTTTAAAGGCCGATAACGCACTTGCAAGTTCCCTGGTGTTGCGGGTGCTCATGGGCGGCGGTAATCACTTACCATCAGGTGAGCGTCATGCACGTTTGTCCCCTGTGCTATAAGAAAAAGTTTTATATAAAAAATAGCTTGTCACCAAAATTCAAAACAAAACATACATGCGGCGTGAATACATGCGTAGCCACGTGATCCTCCTTCTCCGTCCTTCTATAAACGTGTATAGTCACTGATTGCTTGGCAATAAATACCCATGAAATAACGGTAGCCACTTACATACAAACCAATCCAGAATAATGCGCACCCCGGGTGCAAGCAGAAGACGTCCGGATGGCGGGAAAACGGAAATAGAGTTACGGAAGAACGCCACTCGTGAATTAGTTTGCATTAACAGTAAACAGTCGATATCTTTGTCTAGGAGTAATTTTCCAGAACTGTTCGACGACACGTGTAGGTATAAATAATTATTTAATGGAAAAAAACGGTGCACAATATCTAATTTTTATGACATTTTATACTTAAAACAAAAGATGGCGTTCTATTTCTTTTTTTTTTAAGAATTTTCACTTTGTTAGCTGCCAGTTATATATTTTAGAACAACCAGAATTTAGCTAGTAGGTGACCAATAGACTATCGATAGCCTATCATTTAAGTAAACTATTAGTTTAAGGAAGATAAATAAATATCTAACCGGCCAAACCAACTTGTCTAACATCAAGGTAATAGAATTATAGTCATAAAATATTAGGTACATTTCTATTTTACCATTATTTACCAAACTGATTGACTCTGACCTAAATTAAAATTGAGAAGAAATAAGAAACCAAAAGGACAACGTTTGTAAAAAATTTCTGAACATACATTATTTTATTACTACTGCTGACATCTATTGTCATGTAAGTCACTTAAGTCAAATGTAGAGTGACATCTAGCGATAAACAGAGAGAAACTCACAGAAACGCTACGCGCATTACCCTACCAATTTATAAAGATAGTAATCGCAGCGCAATATTTGTTATATCCATGTTCTTTTTAATTTAGTCTTATTATATATAATCCAAGCTTATTGACATGCTGTTCACTCGCCAGTGAAAAAACGCATTGTTACATCCGAAATGTGACTTATTTGACCTAATTTTAAAATATATATTAGACAAAATGAATATATATTATTATTTGTTTCAAATAAGATGATTTTTCTCATTTGTAATATACTATTTTTAGTGATCTTATCAAAAGCCTACCTGGTGTATTAAGCAAATAATTAATAATATATTTCTTCAGACGACTTAAAAATTAAACATATTTTTGGACTCATTAATTACAGTGACAATAATTAATTAGTAATCAGAGTATCGAAAGGTTTTAATGAATTTCTAAATATAAATAGCGTTGATTATTTTTTGTGATCAGTATTCTCCTGTTAAATATTTTTATTATATTTATTTAGTTATCTAATTAAACTAACTTTTAAAGGTTTCAATTATGTCTTTTGTAAAATGCTGTTTCGAGGCTGGAGAAGGACATGATTTTTTGGATTCCTTCGTTCAAAAATGTACAGATCCTGGATGTGAGTATAATTTTTGTTCTAAAACCATAAAAAATCATCTTAATATAAATACATCATCTAAAATAAAGGAAATCACTTTATTTTTAGATCACAATTACATACCATTAAATTCAGATTATTGATTGATTGTTTAAAATTGCCGCCAAATTAGACAAAAGGTAGAGTATTCCGGAAGTTGTCTTTAGTATTCATTAATTAATTGACTTAGAAATCCAACAATTTTACAACTATTCGGAGAAAAAATCTGTTAATCCTTTTTCCAATCTTTTTTTACTTATGATAATGTAGTAAAGTAATAATATTTTTATAATCTATGGAATGATTCTTTAATTCTCCATGTCAATTTTTTATATGATGTGTAAGTGAATCATAGTGGAATTTAAAAAGGAAGTGCTTGTTATCTCTGTCTGCCTTATTGCCAGTTTAGGACATTGTACGTTTAATTAAGGGTAAAAATTATATACACGGATAATTTTTCAAGAATTCACCAAGGTCGTCAAACAAAACTATAAATTAGATATAAACATTATTACTTCTCTACTGGTTATCGTTCTAGTCAAATTATGTTTGCTGGTTGCGTTAGATAATCAAGTCAGCTTGATAAGCAAATTCCAACGAATAACTGGCAACATTAGATAGTGTTTGTCTATTTATTTATTAAATCTGCTCATACATAAATGTTGCTAAATATTTGATATAATCTCATTTACTTCTATATTGAGTGACAAAACTGTATGAAACATAATGGCGCAAGGTATGATATATTTATTTATTCAATAGATTCAGTAAATATACGATATTTATTTTTCGAGAGATATTTTGACGTATCTCTATGCCGCCATCTTGTATTGCCTGTCACTTTTGCCGTCGGTATCATCTGCTTTTTTTGTGTTTATTTCACAAATTTATAATTTCGAATACAATTATTAAAGTTGGACATCTGAAATATATATAAAATTCAAATACTAGTTGTGTACTATGCATAGTGTTATTAAATTAAGTGAAATTGTGAAAGACTGAGGCGAAATCTTATAACATCAAGATGACCGCAACTTCTGCATCAAGCCAAACGAAAACTGCCACTGTGACTACAACAAAACCACAAAAGAACTATGGAAAAATTATTCTTACACTGTACAACTGTTTATTGCCCGAAAATGTGTTTAAAGAAACCCCTTCACAATCGGATGGCTTGGACCTTGAAACAGAGACTGACCTTCGTATTTTGGGTTGCGAGCTGATCCAGACTGCTGGTATTTTGCTGAAACTACCTCAAGTAGCAATGGCAACTGGGCAGATATACCTCCAAAGATTCTATTACTCTAAATCCTTTGTCAGGTATCCAATGGAAACTATGGCAATGGGAAGTATCTATTTAGCTTCCAAAGTTGAAGAAAAACCTTGTAGAATAAGAGATGTGATAAATGTATTTCATCATATCAAGCAAGTGAGGTCACAGAAGACAATAGCTCCACTAATAGTTGATCAAAACTATATTGAGATGAAGAATCAGGTTATAAAGGCTGAACGAAGAATACTCAAAGAATTAGGCTTCTGTGTACATGTTAAACATCCACACAAGCTTATAGTTGTGTATCTGCAAGTCCTACAGTACGAGAAGCATAGACAATTAATGCAAATGGCATGGAACTATATGAATGATGCATTACGGACTGATGTATTCATGCGATTCCCTCCGGAGACAATTGCATGTGCTTGCATTTACTTGACGGCACGGAAAATTGGGTTGCCATTGCCTAATAACCCGCACTGGTTCCTATTATTCAAAGTGCCCGAGGAAGATATAAGGGAAGCATGTTTTAGGATTCTACAGTTGTACAAGAGGCCAAAAGTTAATCCGGAGGAGTTGGAAGCTAGAGTGGATATGTTAAAGAAAATTTATCAAGCTAATAAGCATATGCAAGCACAAAAGGATCGTGAAAATGCTAAAGCAGAAGAGAAAAAGTTGGAGTCACCGACAGCATCAACTTCTAAGGATGTTAGGAGGGATTCTAAGAAAGAGAAATCTCCGAAAACACCTCCATTATCCTCTAAGTATCATAGTAGTCACAAATCTAAGAAGGAGAGAAGATCTCGCTCGCCATATGACCGTAAACGTGAATATTCAAGTAAAAGGCACAAGTCTCGTTCTAGAGATAGGGAGATGGATCGCTCTAGAGAGCGTAGAATGGATGACAAACGTAACAGAGGTTCGTCAAGGAAGTATGATGATTATGAACGCTCAAAATCTAGTCGTGACAGCAGAGATGATAAAAGAAAGCATTAGTTTGTGAATACTTTGTGTTTAAATATACATATTGTAATTAAAAAGAATGTTTTTACTATTCTCCTGTTCTCCTTACTAGAGTCAAAGAAACTATTTACATGTTTGACTGCCTCTGTGGTACGGCAAACATTTGCATGAGTATGATTGTTTGTATCAATCTGGGTGTTTTCTATGTATATTGTGTATGTATTTACAAAAAATATATTTATCTGGTACCCATAAAATGAGCTCAGCTTAGCTTGTGATATTATATTGAAATTGTGCTTTAATTAATATTTGTAAAAGAGTTATTTCTACCTAGTGTAATTTTTTCTAGTTGAGAACACATTTATAGTAGTGTATGTTCAAGTGTTTTAGGCTTAATCTTATACTAAGTATATTAATAACTGACTACCTCCTAAAGTGTATCTCATCATTTATTTGTCATACCAATAAGAATGTTTAGAAATTCTTAATTTTATAAATAAAATCTGTATTCCAAATATCAGCACTCTATGCTTAATTATTTTGTCTATGTATTGATAGTAAAGACAATCAATTTTATGAGTGATAGACACAGATTTCTCCACTGGCTGTTATGCTTTACTTATAGACATCAAAGGGAATATAATAACAGAACATAAACTTGGAAATTATCCAGTTGTCTGAATAAAGTTTAGCCATACCAGATGTTAGTTACCTATAGTTATTATTGCTTATTACAAAATTGACTTGTAGATGAAATCTGAAATATAATGACACAATGTCAGCCTTGAATGATTAGAATTCTAGTAATTAAAATGACCTTGCATTATAGACAGCTAGTGAGTCTGCTAATCAACAATCATAACAACATAATCCTACTTCCCCAAGGGTTTTATTTATTTATTATTAAAATTAACAATGATTGAGAATTAAAATTGTGGGACTGTGTGCTAAAAAGGAGGATAGCTTTACCATATGTGCATGTACTTATATGCTAAATTTATGACAGATATATACAAATATAAAATGTTACAATAATTTGAAATAAGAAATCGAAGAGTACATTATAACTTTTTTTATTAGATAAATAAATATTGTAAAATAATAGTAGCCTAAGTTACTCGCAGATAGCTATTGTTATGAGAACTGTGTGGAACCGAGTAAAACTTCCGTCAAAACGGCCCAGCCGTTTCAGACATTAGCAAAAAACAGACAGACAGACATATTTTTTTGTATAAGCACCGTATAATACTTTCATATGCATTTACTGTGTTGTTAAGTTGAAGTTACAAGCAGACATTTCAATTTTTCTATTACATGGAGCTACGCATAGATCTATAAACAGCTAACATTTACCAAGGTAAGATAACTAAAAAACCTCTTTATATCACTGTTAAAATATTTTTAAATAATTATTCAACACGTTCCGTGATTACATTATCTACTTTAACAAAATTTATCAATATTTAAAATTATTTATCGCAAATATTCTGTTATCGCTAGTGTGAAAGGATTCCCATTTAAACCTTTGGAGCACCTATTTACTACACGTTCATTGTCGCATTCCTAGAGTTTAAATTCGTATCTGTTTAGCTTGTAAAGCATGAGCTCATCAGGGTCAAGCTAATGAATGCAGATATATATCTGCTATACAGCATCGAGGAGTTGGATAGTTCGTAGTCAAGCAAAATTGATGTTTACAAACTTAGTGTTGTGAAGTTACAATAATTAGAAGATTTGTGTAGAAATGATGGTGTACCATATTTTTGGTGAGTTGAGTAACTTTGTTTTATAAAAAAGGACCCGTCCCGGCTTAGCATGGATGCATTAGAAATCTTTGAATTTCTTACGCACTTGTATTATATATATAAACGTTCCTCTTGAATCACTCTCGAAAAAGGCATTAAAATATTTTGTATATTTTAAAATATAAGCGGACCGACTGGCGAAGACTTTGTTTTGTATTATGTTAAGATAAGATGAATATATTGTTGATTTCTTTCAAAAATATAATGATAAATGTCAAGTAAGTGTGATGCAGAGGAAGTTGCGTGGGTCATCTAGCATTACGTAAAAAGTGACATAGTTTTGATCTCAATATCTTAAACACTGATTGATTGAGGTATTAGGAACAGGTGCTTATTAAAGATACTTGTGTTCATGAACATCATATGAGGTACTAGAGGTAGACTAAAAATTCGTTAGAGTGGGTATTTCAGTCGCCAAGCTACTAACTTTGTAAGTTATGTTTCGGTTATAGGGTGCAGATTAGGCATTATAAGAGGTGTGACATGCCGTGATAGCCATGAATTCCGGAAGGGCAAGGTTGATCATGTATATAGGCGACGGTTACTGGTTACCATCAGAAGCTTGCCATTCCAAATATATAAAAAACTAGCTGTTCCCGCGATCGTCCGCGTGGAATTTAACTTTATTTTTCTAAAATAAAAGAATTATTCTAAAATAAAAGTAGCCTAAGTTACTCCTTATTACATCAGCTACCTGCCAAAAAAAGTCCCGTTAAAATCGGTTCAGCCATTTAGAGATTAGCCGGAACAAACAGACCGACAGACGAGACAGACAAAAATTATAAAAAAAAATATTGTGGTATATGTACCGTATATATATTCATGTGCATGTAGTAAAAAACGGTTTTTTCAATATTACAAACAGACACTCCAATTTTATTTATATGTATAGATTAATGATGCTGCGTTAAACGCATACACTTATGGGGGACCAGTGGAGGATGATTGGATGAGCATCAATGTCAGGTCAATCAGACCATCGTGACAGATTCATTAGGATCTAACCACGAAATTTCCAGTTGATATGATTTGATAGTTCATTGCTACTATAGGGGTCACTAATTCCCATCATCAACTCTCTATGTACACTTCTTCCACCTCCCCCGCTTATCCCAAATTGATATTCATCTCTTTCACACCTTTCCAGTGAACCTAATATTTAAAATGTTTCCTCCCAGTACTACATAAAGGTTGAGCTATTTTGGTTGCGTAGGTACGGTTATATTTAGCTTAGTAAGTTATTACGCGTCCCTCTACACACACCGGTATCTCTTTATCACGGTATCACAGAATTATAACGAAATTGTACAATGAATAAGAAATATTGATTGGACTATGTATATGTGTGGTGTGAATAAGTAAATCTAATAACAAGCAGTGCTGCTCATTTCGCGTTGTTAGAAGATATACAAAATTTATATTATAATTTTATTTTTCAATGTGACTACGGATTATTTAGTACCTTAGGGAGCGTAGACGTTGAGGGTCGGTTGTGGGTTATAGGAGTATTAGAAACAGAAATAATGTTTTATTCAAATAAACTTAATATTTTACTTTCTTTATACTTTTTGTTTCTACCACTCATTCGGAACGCAGACAAGAACGCAGATCATCACAAGAAAAATGAAAAGGATGCTTGCGTGTTGCTCTTTTAAATGAATGTTTTCAAAATTACATTTTTACAATTTCGTGTGAATACAAACTGCCAAAAGATTAAGAGCTAATTTCCTGAGTAATAGGGGAGAAACCTATTATCGCGATACCAAATTTTGAAAGGGGAATAGGCAGAAGCGTAATGGTGATTGTGTTAGAATATTTGTAGAGAAGAAAATAGGATGACGTGAATTACAAGTTATCGAAGTATAATTGATTTCAACAGGTTCTTATGACTTTTATTTTTTTATGTAATGGTGAACCCGCCTGGGCTAACACTTTAGGCTGACGGGGTGGGTACTAGTGGAGAATGATAAGATGAACTTGAGGATAGGTTAGTTAGCTCATCGCGCCCTAGTCATGATACATATACCGATTGTTTTTATGAATATCATTGTCAATAGTCTATTAGAGTATTGATTCGAGTAGACTATTATAGGGACTTTTGAATGTAATCGTGGCATTGTCAGTGATTTAGTGCTTCTTGTTTGGTTATTATTTTGAGATGTCCATCTTTAAGCTTCGAGGTACGCCACAGAAGAGTTCAGGGCCATGTTGGGCGGTTTTTGCTCCTACTTTCGCAAGTTGGTCAGCATATTCTTGCCTTTGAGCTGACACTTGTAATATTTCTGTCAACACTCGACACCCTTCCATTAGTTTACGTCTCTACATAGAGAGTATCACTAATAAGTCATGTATCCTATAAATATACTAATGTAGTACAATTATTACACATCGATACTCACTATCTAGATATTACAAGAAATAAGTAGCGACACCTCATCACATCATATATAACGCTACAGTGGTGAGCTAATAGCCTTTAATGTTTTAGTGCGGAGCCATCTTAACTTAACATTGTTCAGTAACAATGTTAAGTTAAGATGGCAAGGAAGCAGTCTTCCTACTTCAATTAGTTGCAAGATCTATCCCTTCTAAGTAGCTACATGTGATGTGAATTTAAATACAAACTTACTGAAACAGATAATTAATGAATAATTATTCAAATATATCTATTTCATGAGCTATCTATCGTATTCGGAATTTGGTTATATACAATCAGTATTATCACTTATCGATATATATATTTGTTACGTGTATTTTTGTAGCGAGGGAACAAGGTACAATTCTGAAGATAATATTTTTTATTGATAATAGAAGACTGTTCTCAGGGTCTCTCTCTAAGTGTATTTGCATTGATAGATGATTGTTATTAATAGGTACTAATTGTACGTAAAATTAGTAAAAATCTCGGCATCTTGTAGCGTTTTTTTGATTCAATTTCAACTGCCGTGATCACGGGTAAACTGAAGAGCAGCGGTAGATGGTAAATAAAATCTTTTATGGGTAGACATATTTGTCTAGCTACACACTTCTTCGTTTGTTCAACTAATTGTTCTTAGCTGTCAAGCAGTGTGGTATGATAGGTCGGTATTCATCTCGTTTAAGTCGTCTGATCATAGTGGTGTTTTCGAAGTGAATTGAATGGTCCTACACTTGTGATATTTCTGTCGACACTTGAGACCCTTCCATTAGTTTACGCCTCCACGAACATAGATTTAAGTTAAATTTAAAAATTAGTCTACGTCCTGACTTCCCTTTAATACATACATTAGAAATTGAAATGTCTACAAGTTACAAGACCTATTGAATATTCAGTAGGTCTTGTGAGTTTGTATTCGTAACCTTCAGTGATTCATTATCGTAAGACATCTCAAGTTATCTTTATCCAGATTTACTATCATCTAAGATGATATAGCAAAATGAATTCTACTGTCTTGATATAAAGTCTATAATGATGAATGTAGTGTTTAACTTACTCATATATCATGTAGGGTGACAACAATTACAGTTTTTTTTATTACTAAAAATAAGAGCGTACGCCTAGTCGTGAGTTCAAATCAGTCTAGAGACAGTAAACAATCTTTGTGGGTCAATTTATATTTATAACCATATAACGATCAGTCGTTATAATAATATGTAAATACATACATAATATGAAAAGCAATTAGTACTTATATTAAAATTATTTGAATAAACATTACTTCTATTTCTACTAGCTGATCCTGCGACTTCGTCCGCGGATTGGAATTTAACTTTGTTTTCTAAAATAAAAGTAGCCTACGTTGCTCCTTATTACATCAGCTAAGTAGCTAAGAAATTGCTCAATACTCAATCTTTGCTTATAGTGTTACCACTACTATATTGACAAACTTTTGTTATTAAAATTCCTTTATTCTATTCTGTGTACAATAAATAGTTTATTATTATTATTGTAGTTATATAATTAACTTTTTTTTAACTAGTAAAATAGAGAGTATCTAAAAATATACTCTCCTAATGAATTATCCGGCTTTACCCAGAATTTGTGTTCATACTATTTGATTTACTATGTGTCAAACGTTATCACATAAGTATAAGAGTTGTTATTCTTATCAACATTAGAGCGGTACTAGATAGAATGTCCGTGAGACATGTACGAACATACGCGGTATATTATTAGTTAGTATAGACAGGGCTAGTAGTAATGTAAGCAGAGCTGAAAGTCAGTAGTAGTCTATACATGAAACTTTGGTTTTCCCAAGAGATGAAGAAGAAAATTTAATATCAATTAAATTTGTTGAACTTTGAGGATTTTAATTCGTTTTTGGTTTCATATATAAACATATATATACATATTGCCTCTATGACTAACCCGTAAATTGTATAATTCCTTTATATTATATATGTAGTTATTTTTCTGTGACTAAATGTGCAAATATGAGAAGTGACGTAAAATAATTGGTAATACGTCAGTGTTATCACTGATAAGCTACGTATTTGTTTGTGTCGGTGTTTTGTTTAGTTAATGATATGTGCTGAATACTATAAACTATACCGACTTGCGAAAATGCTGCAGTTCCGTAAGGTAGTACATCGCACGTGTTTCTTCGTTAGTAGGACTGTTTATATGACATGTAAGTATTATAACTCGTTTCTGTCTTTTTATGGAGGATAATGGAATGGTGTATCCGTTTGCACTAACTGTTTACGCTAGAGGGTAACCAGTGGAGGATGATAGGAGAATGAGATCAGATCAGTTAGTCCATTATGACCATATGATTTGTGTAATTTGCGATATTCAACTGTTTTTGATTTTGTTACTGAGTTGTTAGAAAGAGAGAAATAAACTTAATATAAGCACTTTTGAATTATCATATTTGTTTGATTCTACCACTCATTCAGAACGCAGATTCATCACAAAAATGAGCAAGGAACTTGCGTGTTACATATTATACATTTCAATTTTGTTTGTCGTAGATGTGTTTATAAATAAGTTAGAATGGAGAATAATAATAGTATAAATATCTCAGGATAATTCACACAGCCATCTAGTCCCCAGTTAAGTAGAGCTTGTGTTATCAGTAGTTACTAGACAACTCATATAAATACATAGATACATTTTTTTGTAAATACATACATAATATACACAGAAAACATCCAGACCTATACATACTTATGAATACATATACTTTACAAGGAATCGAACTAGCTAGAATAGAATAGAATCTAAACCGTTAGACTATAGAGCCCGTCAAATCATCTTAACAATCTATTAAAGTCTTTCTCTATGGACAGCGTGCAAAGCACACAAACATAGGGTTCATAGTTCTCTAATGACAATATTACGTCATGAATAATACATGTAAATAACATTACGATACAACCAAAATAGATACACAATATAGTTTAACTTAATTAGATTTTCTTTTAATTTGGATTTTAAAATCTTGAAAATATATATATAAACCTGTGCTACTTTCTTCGTTTGTGTCATAAGAGCCTTCTGACAATAACAAACACAACAAAAAATAATAAAATATATATAAACAAATAGACAATAGAATAGACATAAACAAAATAATCCATTAAGTAGTATACATATAGAATAACATATATTCACCAATGTGTGTTGTATCCCATTAACGACACAAGTTTTGTTCCATTTTCTCGGGCACACAAATGTACTAGATAAATATGTTCACAATTAGTCTAAGATATAGACCATATAACTCTATCATATAACCACATTGTGGAATCACCTTCCAGCAATGGTATTTCCGAACCGATACGATATTAAAACCTTCAAGAAAAGAGCTTATTCCATTTTAAAAGGCCGACAACGTTCTTGCAATTCCCCTGGTATTGCGGGTGCTCATGGGCGGCAGTAATCACGTGCCATCAGATGAGCCTCATGCTCGTTTGTCCTCTGTGTTAAAAAAAATATATAGTCCACCTTTGCTCACGGATACACAGGCCAAGACAGAAGTTCGAGGCCGTAGAAATATGTAAGACTGAAGTATCCACGCAGGTCTAATCAAGTCTAGTTCATTCAAATTTTTTTATACTACGGTGGTGGCAAATAAGCATACGATCCATCTGATGGTAAACGGTTACCGTAGCCTATGGACGCCTGAAACACCGGGGGTAGCACGGGCGCGTTGCCTTAGGAAACCTACAAACTCAACCTCAATGCAGAAGACCTGAAACAATTACCAGTTTCTTTAAGACGACTATTTTCAAAGTCTGCCGCAATCATTGCAGACGATAAGGAATGATTAACTTATGACTTCTTTACTTATCAGTATTATATGTTGCAGGTTGCTGTGGCTGTTGTTCAGCTCTGCGGCCGCGATACAAGCGGCTTGTGGATAACATATTCCCCGCGTCACCACAAGATGGCCTCGTCAAGTCCAATATGGAGAAGCTCACGTTCTACTCGCTCTCTAGTCCGGAGAAACTCGACAGGATTGGAGAATATCTGTTCCAGAAAGCCTCCAGAGATATATACAGGCGGAGACATGGGTGAGATTAGTAATAAAAAATAGAATTACACTAATGTTGTGGACAGAACATTAAGCAGTATCTATATAAATGTATTAAAACACGATTGTTATATATTCCAGGTTCGTGATAATAGCCATGGAAGCGATGGACCAGCTGATGCTGGCGTGTCACGCGCAATCCCTGAACCTGTTCGTGGAGTCGTTCCTCAAGATGGTGCAGAAACTCCTCGAGTCCACCGACCCTCAGCTGCAGATACTGGCCACGCAGAGCGTAAGTATTAGTTTATTTGTCTTCACGCTATATAAAGAAAGGCTAGCGAGCTGACAACTCACCTAAGTAAGTGATAGATTAGAACAGTACAGTAAAGTTGAGAAATATCTATTCAAAAGAGTAACACGCTAGCTTCTTGCTGTTTTTGGCTTTTTGGGGATTGAATAGGCAGAATAAAAATGACTGTTCAAAAGTGAATTTTTATTTATTTATTTAACTTGAAGCACACAATATACAAAATATAGTAAAGTACATTTGGCGGACTTAACACCATGCCACCATGCCATGAATTTTCAGATTATTTAATAGAGTTTACGTGAGAGTCTTGAGCTACGAGAATACAATATATTTTAACCTTTATTTTATTTAATGATTAGCTTTCCGCAACTTCGTCCGCGTGTAATTTAATAAAAAAAAGAAAAAGAGGTATTTTTTTGATAATAAATATAGGTTACCTAAGTTACTCCTTATTATATCCGTCACCTGCCAAAAAAATCTCGTCTAAATCGGTCCAACCATTTCAAAGATTAGCTGGAACAAACAGACAGACAAAAATTGTAAATCGTGTTATTTTGGTGTATGTACCGTATTTATATTCATAAGAATATAATAAAAAACGGTTATTTCAATATTACAAACAGACACTCCAATTTTATTTATATGTTTTGATATAGAAAACACCCAGATCAATATAAGCAATCATACTCATACAAATGTACCGCGCGAGGAATCGAGCTTGCGACCATCAGAATTTAAGTTTTTACCGCTAGACCAACAACGCCGTTGAGAAATAAAGTGGATAATGACAACTTTTTGTAACACCGTTTCACTTGAGCGACGCAGGAAGAAGAAGTGACTGCAGAACCAAAGAATACAATAAACTTTTTAATGTAATACACATTTCGATAGACATGGGTCGTTTCATACATTATTTGTATTGTCCCGTTTTCAGTTCGTTCGTTTCGCGAACATCGAGGAGGACACGCCGTCGTACCACCGGCGGTACGACTTCTTCGTGTCCAAGTTTTCGGCGATGTGCCACAGCAACCACGGGGACGCCTCCGCCAGGGACAAGATACGGCTCGCGGGCATACAAGGGCTGCAGGTCGTATACATACCTATCTATCATTCACTACTCAGGAAATTTGAACTGTATTAACATTACAATACAATTGATTTTTTAATCGTCAAAAACTAAACGTAGAAATCGTTGAACCATGGGAAACAAAGACACTTAAAGATCATGAGATAAAAACCAATAAATATTGAGAGTTAATAAAGGAATTAGGGAAAAAAGCAGGCACTCACACTCACACATTAAAATCCGTAGTATGATTTAAAAGATACAAGCAGCCAGATAGTGACGGCAACTTTGTTTTGTACTATGTAAAAATTAAGAATTGATAAGAAGAATGAAATGAATGTATATAATTGTATTGCTTCAGGGTGTGATAAGGAAGACTGTCTCCGATGACCTGGTGGAGAATATTTGGGACACGCAACATATGGACAAGATTGTACCCTCTCTGCTATATAATATGCAGGTAAATGCCTCTTTCTTATTTATAACCTGTACGCATTGCACACGGGAATGTGAAGAGGTCAGGTCAGGAGCTCATATATAATGGTCAATATCTCTTTTATATGACGTATTATGTATTCAGTATTAAGCCAATATTCAAGGTAATTTACTTATTTTCTCTATACAAAATATATGTTTTTTAATATAATCACTTTTAATAGTCACATTATTTTGTCCTATACCGCTCACTATGCGTACTTATCACAAGAGGAACGAGCAAGAAACTTTTCTCATTTTGTTGACATAAGTAAATTTATAGTAACTCGAGTAACAAAATAAATCAGTTAACGAGTAACCTCGTACCGGCAGACGGCGGAGAAGTACGAGACGGTTTCGATCCTGGAGACGGAGACGCGCGACGGAGCGGAGGAGGAGCCGGCGCGGCTCGCGGAGGCCTGTCTCAGGGAACTCATCGGACGCGCCTCCTTCGGACACATCCGCAGCGTGCTGCGGCCCGTGCTCACGTGAGTACACGGACACGGACACGACACCCTCACTGTAGTCATAGCGGCCGGCGGAGGCCTGTCTCAGGGAACTCATCGGACGCGCCTCCTTCGGACACATCCGCAGCGTGCTGCGGCCCGTGCTCACGTGAGTACACGGACACGGACACGGACACGGACACGACACCCTCACTGTAGTCATAGCGGCCGGCGGAGGCCTGTCTCAGGGAACTCATCGGACGCGCCTCCTTCGGACACATCCGCAGCGTGCTGCGGCCCGTGCTCACGTGAGTACACGGACACGGACACGGACACGGACACGACACCCTCACTGTAGTCATAGCGGCCGGCGGAGGCCTGTCTCAGGGAACTCATCGGACGCGCCTCCTTCGGACACATCCGCAGCGTGCTGCGGCCCGTGCTCACGTGAGTACACGGACACGGACACGGACACGGACACGACACCCTCACTGTAGTCATAGCGGCCGGCGGAGGCCTGTCTCAGGGAACTCATCGGACGCGCCTCCTTCGGACACATCCGCAGCGTGCTGCGGCCCGTGCTCACGTGAGTACACGGACACGGACACGGACACGGACACGGACACGACACCCTCACTGTAGTCATAGCGGCCGGCGGAGGCCTGTCTCAGGGAACTCATCGGACGCGCCTCCTTCGGACACATCCGCAGCGTGCTGCGGCCCGTGCTCACGTGAGTACACGGACACGGACACGGACACGACACCCTCACTGTAGTCATAGCGGCCGGCGGAGGCCTGTCTCAGGGAACTCATCGGACGCGCCTCCTTCGGACACATCCGCAGCGTGCTGCGGCCCGTGCTCACGTGAGTACACGGACACGGACACGGACACGGACACGACACCCTCACTGTAGTCATAGCGGCCGGCGGAGGCCTGTCTCAGGGAACTCATCGGACGCGCCTCCTTCGGACACATCCGCAGCGTGCTGCGGCCCGTGCTCACGTGAGTACACGGACACGGACACGGACACGACACCCTCACTGTAGTCATAGCGGCCGGCGGAGGCCTATCTGAGGCAGCTCGTCGAATGCACCTCCTACTGATAGAGATAACATTAATTTTGACTTTATTGTTCCAGCCATTTCGACCGACACGAATTGTGGGTGCCGAACGACTTTGCAGTACACACTTTCAAGATCATTATGTTCTCAATTCAGGTAATTATATATTTACTCTTTTTGACATCGATATGACTAACAATCAAGTCAGAAAAAAATAAACGTCCAATTATTAAACTATTTGCAATGTATATCACGGGCGTCGTAAACGTAGCTTCTAATTACAAGAGATACAGATGTCTCCAACGGTCGCCATTACCCTTCAGTTGGACCGTGGTTTGCTTGATGTCATTCCGTTTCATGTGAAAGTGTGAACAGAATAATCGAATAAGTGACGTGTAATACAATGCGACGGTTGTGACGCAGGCGCAGTACTCGTACAGCGTGGTGGAGGCGCTGATGCAGCACCTGGACGCGGCCGGGGCGCCCGCCGCAGACGCACGCGCCCGCACCAGGGTACGGGCCGCGCGCGCAGCAGTGCTCAGCAACATCGTCGCCATCGCGGCCGGCGACAGCGTCGGTACTGCTCCTCGTGTCCTAGTGGCCGGTGTCGGTACCGCTCCTCGTGTCGTACTCATCGGTCGCCCGCACCGGGGTCGGACCGCGCGCGCAGCAGTGCTCAGCAACATCGTCGCCATCGCGGCCGGCGACAGCGTCGGTACTGCTCCTCGTGTCCTAGTGGCCGGTGTCGGTACCGCTCCTCGTGTCGTAGTCCCCGGTCGCCCGCACCCGGGTACGGGCCGCGCGCGCAGCAGTGCTCAGCAACATCGTCGCCATCGCGCCACGGCGACAGCGTCGGACTGCTCCTCGTGTCACTAGTGGCCGGTGTCGGTACCGGCTCCTCGTGTCGTAGAACTCATCGCCCGCACTCCTTCGGACACATCCGCAGCGCGCGCAGCAGTGCTCAGCAACACGTCGCCATCGCGGCCGGCGACAGCGTCGGTACCCTGCTCCTCGTGTCATAGTGGCCGGTGTCGGTACCGCTCCTCGTGTCGTAGTCCCCGGACTCCCGAACAGGGGTCCGGGCGGCGCGCGCAGCAGTGCTCAGCAACATCGTCGCCATCGCGGCCGGCGACAGCGTCGGTACTGCTCCTCGTGTCCTAGTGGCCGGTGTCGGTACCGCTCCTCGTGTCGTAGTCTCATCGGTCGCCCGCACCGGGGTACGGGCATCGCGCGCAGCAGTGCTCAGCAACATCGTCGCCATCGCGGCCGGCGACAGCGTCGGTACTGCTCCTCGTGTCCTAGTGGCCGGTGTCGGTACCGCTCCTCGTGTCGTAGTCCCCGGTCGCCCGCACCGGGGTACGGGCCGCGCGCGCAGCAGTGCTCAGCAACATCGTCGCCATCGCGGCCGGCGACAGCGTCGGTACTGCTCCTCGTGTCCTAGTGGCCGGTGTCGGTACCGCTCCTCGTGTCGTAGTCCCCGGTCGCCCGCACCGGGGTACGGGCCGCGCGCGCAGCAGTGCTCAGCAACATCGTCGCCATCGCGGCCGGCGACAGCGTCGGTACTGCTCCTCGTGTCCTAGTGGCCGGTGTCGGTACCGCTCCTCGTGTCGTAGTCCCCGGTCGCCCGCACCGGGGTACGGGCCGCGCGCGCAGCAGTGCTCAGCAACATCGTCGCCATCGCGGCCGGCGACAGCGTCGGTACTGCTCCTCGTGTCCTAGTGGCCGGTGTCGGTACCGCTCCTCGTGTCGTAGTCCCCGGTCGCCCGCACCGGGGTACGGGCCGCGCGCGCAGCAGTGCTCAGCAACATCGTCGCCATCGCGGCCGGCGACAGCGTCGGTACTGCTCCTCGTGTCCTAGTGGCCGGTGTCGGTACCGCTCCTCGTGTCGTAGTCCCCGGTCGCCCGCACCGGGGTACGGGCCGCGCGCGCAGCAGTGCTCAGCAACATCGTCGCCATCGCGGCCGGCGACAGCGTCGGTACTGCTCCTCGTGTCCTAGTGGCCGGTGTCGGTACCGCTCCTCGTGTCGTAGTCCCCGGTCGCCCGCACCGGGGTACGGGCCGCGCGCGCAGCAGTGCTCAGCAACATCGTCGCCATCGCGGCCGGCGACAGCGTCGGTACTGCTCCTCGTGTCCTAGTGGCCGGTGTCGGTACCGCTCCTCGTGTCGTAGTCCCCGGTCGCCCGCACCGGGGTACGGGCCGCGCGCGCAGCAGTGCTCAGCAACATCGTCGCCATCGCGGCCGGCGACAGCGTCGGTACTGCTCCTCGTGTCCTAGTGGCCGGTGTCGGTACCGCTCCTCGTGTCGTAGTCCCCGGTCGCCCGCACCGGGGTACGGGCCGCGCGCGCAGCAGTGCTCAGCAACATCGTCGCCATCGCGGCCGGCGACAGCGTCGGTACTGCTCCTCGTGTCCTAGTGGCCGGTGTCGGTACCGCTCCTCGTGTCGTAGTCCCCGGTCGCCCGCACCGGGGTACGGGCCGCGCGCGCAGCAGTGCTCAGCAACATCGTCGCCATCGCGGCCGGCGACAGCGTCGGTACTGCTCCTCGTGTCCTAGTGGCCGGTGTCGGTACCGCTCCTCGTGTCGTAGTCCCCGGTCGCCCGCACCGGGGTACGGGCCGCGCGCGCAGCAGTGCTCAGCAACATCGTCGCCATCGCGGCCGGCGACAGCGTCGGTACTGCTCCTCGTGTCCTAGTGGCCGGTGTCGGTACCGCTCCTCGTGTCGTAGTCCCCGGTCGCCCGCACCGGGGTACGGGCCGCGCGCGCAGCAGTGCTCAGCAACATCGTCGCCATCGCGGCCGGCGACAGCGTCGGTACTGCTCCTCGTGTCCTAGTGGCCGGTGTCGGTACCGCTCCTCGTGTCGTAGTCCCCGGTCGCCCGCACCGGGGTACGGGCCGCGCGCGCAGCAGTGCTCAGCAACATCGTCGCCATCGCGGCCGGCGACAGCGTCGGTACTGCTCCTCGTGTCCTAGTGGCCGGTGTCGGTACCGCTCCTCGTGTCGTAGTCCCCGGTCGCCCGCACCGGGGTACGGGCCGCGCGCGCAGCAGTGCTCAGCAACATCGTCGCCATCGCGGCCGGCGACAGCGTCGGTACTGCTCCTCGTGTCCTAGTGGCCGGTGTCGGTACCGCTCCTCGTGTCGTAGTCCCCGGTCGCCCGCACCGGGGTACGGGCCGCGCGCGCAGCAGTGCTCAGCAACATCGTCGCCATCGCGGCCGGCGACAGCGTCGGTACTGCTCCTCGTGTCCTAGTGGCCGGTGTCGGTACCGCTCCTCGTGTCGTAGTCCCCGGTCGCCCGCACCGGGGTACGGGCCGCGCGCGCAGCAGTGCTCAGCAACATCGTCGCCATCGCGGCCGGCGACAGCGTCGGTACTGCTCCTCGTGTCCTAGTGGCCGGTGTCGGTACCGCTCCTCGTGTCGTAGTCCCCGGTCGCCCGCACCGGGGTACGGGCCGCGCGCGCAGCAGTGCTCAGCAACATCGTCGCCATCGCGGCCGGCGACAGCGTCGGTACTGCTCCTCGTGTCCTAGTGGCCGGTGTCGGTACCGCTCCTCGTGTCGTAGTCCCCGGTCGCCCGCACCGGGGTACGGGCCGCGCGCGCAGCAGTGCTCAGCAACATCGTCGCCATCGCGGCCGGCGACAGCGTCGGTACTGCTCCTCGTGTCCTAGTGGCCGGTGTCGGTACCGCTCCTCGTGTCGTAGTCCCCGGTCGCCCGCACCGGGGTACGGGCCGCGCGCGCAGCAGTGCTCAGCAACATCGTCGCCATCGCGGCCGGCGACAGCGTCGGTACTGCTCCTCGTGTCCTAGTGGCCGGTGTCGGTACCGCTCCTCGTGTCGTAGTCCCCGGTCGCCCGCACCGGGGTACGGGCCGCGCGCGCAGCATTGCTCAGCAACATCGTCGCCATCGCGGCCGGCGACAGCGTCGGTACTGCTCCTCGTGTCCTAGTGGCCGGTGTCGGTACCGCTCCTCGTGTCGTAGTCCCCGGTCGCCCGCACCGGGGTACGGGCCGCGCGCGCAGCAGTGCTCAGCAACATCGTCGCCATCGCGGCCGGCGACAGCGTCGGTACTGCTCCTCGTGTCCTAGTGGCCGGTGTCGGTACCGCTCCTCGTGTCGTAGTCCCCGGTCGCCCGCACCAGGGTACGGGCCGCGCGCGCAGCAGTGCTCAGCAACATCGTCGCCATCGCGGCCGGCGACAGCGTCGGTACTGCTCCTCGTGTCCTAGTGGCCGGTGTCGGTACCGCTCCTCGTGTCGTAGTCCCCGGTCGCCCGCACCAGGGTACGGGCCGCGCGCGCAGCAGTGCTCAGCAACATCGTCGCCATCGCGGCCGGCGACAGCGTCGGTACTGCTCCTCGTGTCCTAGTGGCCGGTGTCGGTACCGCTCCTCGTGTCGTAGTCCCCGGTGTCGGTACCCACCGAGAGAACAAGTCGCCGGTGTCGGTACCGCTCCTCGTGTCGTAGTCCCCGGTGTCGGTACCGCTCCTCGTGTCCTAGTGGCCGGTGTCGGTACCGCTCCTCGTGTCGTAGTCCCCGGTGTCGGTACCGCTCCTCGTGTCCTAGTGGCCGGTGTCGGTACCGCTCCTCGTGTCCTAGTGGCCGGTGTCGGTACCGCTCCTCGTGTCGTAGTCCCCGGTGTCGGTACCGCTCCTCGTGTCCTAGTGGCCGGTGTCGGTACCGCTCCTCGTGTCGTAGTCGTAGTTTGGAGTGCCATCTGCACTCGCCCCCTCCCGCCGATAGCATTTTAATAGACCGAAAAGGAATCCTATTACCTACTACATTACTTTATAATAGTCCTCGTATTTAATATTAATTTAGATGAATAGAGTACGAACGACTAATATTATTTTTTTATTATAGGTCCGTCTGTGTTGGAGATTATCAACAACCTACTAACAAATCTACGGACGTCAGTTGCCAGAGATTCAGAGGTACGTAATTATTTTTATATCACTGAAACAACGATCAAACCACGTGATAGTAAATGGGGAACCGTTGGATATACATAACAATAATTCCTGTATAATTCACACAACGTCATCTAGTCCCAATTTAGGCATAGCTTGTATTTAATACATTTTTTTTCCATTTATACAAATAAATAAAATTAAAGTGTCTATTTGTGTATATATTGAAACAACTTTCGGATGTACCATTGTTTATAAAAACAACTGAGATCCACAAAATACTTGATATTTCCATGGTTAAGGATGTAATTAATGACTACAGCAACAAATACAAATCACGACTACACAGGCACCCAAATAAATTCGTTGGGCAACTTACAATACCTGAAAACTTGCGTCGATTAAAGAAAAGGCGTGATATATTTGAGCAAGATAGTCAGACAGGACTGACTTTTAAGAGCGAGGAGCTGTTCTACTGAGAGCGGCACTCTACCTGTTACATACGGAATACCACATCTGCTTATAGTCCATGTGACTGATTGCAAGATATCTAATACGAAAAAAAAGTGTCTATTTGATTGACCCTACCGTTACCTTACCCTAACCAAATTAACAGCTGTTCATGAAATGCATATGAAAGTCTATACGGTACTTACATCAATTATAAGATTTTCTAATTTGTTGTCTCTATGCCTGTTTGCTCTTGCTAATCTCTGAAACGGATGGAACTATTTTGACTTTCACTCGCAGATAGCTAATGTTATAAGGAGTAACTTAGGCTACTCTTATTGTAGGAAATTTTATTTATAAAAAAATAGTTAAATTTCAAACAACTATGACATATATAATATACATAGAAAACACCCAGATCTCTATAATTATACTTATGAAGACAAAACGTTTGTATCGTACGTGGAATCGAACACACGACTATTATCAATTCGATCCTACCAAAATTTGCATCCTTCTAGGGATAGAACCCGCGACTATTGTAAGTAAAGCAGTGTGCTTAACTGTCTGACCATCGAGGTCAATACATGAATAGTAATATTTGTTTTTATCAATTCTAACAGAAAGAAACTGATGAGAAGTTGTACCAAGAAGCGTTGATCAACGCCCTGGGAGAGTTCTCGGACCACCTGCCTGATTTCCAGAAGATAGACATCATGATGTTCATAGTGAATAAGGTGCCGAGTATACAGCGGGGAGCCAAGAGCACCAAGGCGGATGCCATGCTGCAGAGTATACTGCTGAAGTCGCTGCTCAAGGTACGTTGAAAATGTAGATCTGGGGAGACAATATAAGGACATTTCCTTGCGTTACGAATTTAATTTCGCCTTACTAATATTGTAATCGCGAAAGTTTGTGATTATAGATGGTTAGATGCGTGTATGGATGTTTGTCACTTTTTCACGCAAAAATACAGAACGGATTATGAGTTGATTGATTTACAGAATAAATTTAAGAAGATTATTTAAATGACAAGCGTGATGCAAATAAAATTACTATAAAAAAAAAAAGGACATGATATACCTTACACATTCTAGAGATATGTAGTTCGCGATGGTGATAGTCCTAGGGACGGGTGGTGTTTTGTGATGGTAGTAGTTGTAGAGACGTGGTCGTCGTCGGCGGTAACGGTGGGCGTGTACGTGCGCAGGTGGGCTCGACGTACCGCACGACGGAGCTGAGCCGCGCGTTCCCGGCCGCGTTCCTGGACGCGCTGCTGCGGCTCTCCAGGGCCGAGCCGGCCGCGCGCGGCCTGCTGCAGCGCCTGCTGCACACGCTGCTCGACCGCCGCCGCAACGCAGCGCTGCTGCACACGCCCACGTGAGTACTACACTGCTGCACACGCTGCTCGACCGCCGCCGCAACGCAGCGCTGCTGCACGCGCCCACGTGAGTACTACACTGCTGCACACGCTGCTCGACCGCCGCCGCAACGCAGCGCTGCTGCACACGCCCACGTGAGTACTACACTGCTGCACACGCTGCTCGACCGCCGCCGCAACGCAGCGCTGCTGCACACGCCCACGTGAGTACTACACTGCTGCACGCGCTGCACTGCTGTACATACTACTCTGCTGCAAACGTTACACTGCTGTACATGCTGCACTGCTGCATGAGCCCAAGTAAACATAATCTATACAAATTAAGAAAATTAAACTATTGCTTTTATGATTTTTTGACTGTCTACTTGCTAATCTCTGAAACACCTGGACCTATTTTGACGAGATTTTCACTCACTCGCAGATAACTAATATTATGAGGAATAACTTAGATTACTTTTGTTTTAGAACTTTTATTTATAAAATATTGTTTAATAACAATAACATTTGTATTACAGCGTGGACTACGCAGAGCTCGGTCTCACTGTGGAGAAGTGTTCACGACAAGATTTAATATTCATCAGCAAACATGGCTACGCTATATTCAGCTCGCTGTACGAAGGTAATTTATAATATATTTATTATTTATTTATGATCAACCACCAACCAGTTTTGTAACAATTATTTACATACCTACAAATTTATTTATTTTCATGTAATGATTTATGATCTAGAACATAAAATTATTTATAGCAAATGTTATATAAAAAACCTAAATTAACTGTTCATGATAATCAAATATATTAATAAAGACATATCAATAGCCGGATGTTATGACACAGTCCAAAGGTATACCTTTGGACTGTGTCATAACTTCCGGCTAGAGTAGAGGCGAAAAATAAACTCACAAAGACTTATAACTATATACCTTATTTTTATATAATTTTTTTAATAAGCTCTTTGGGCTGAAACTCTGTGAATGTGTATTTGAAAGAAAAAATAGCCTAAATAATTAAAAATGCTATCTAAGGCCACTATTCCATGCGGACGAAGTCAGCTAGTTAGTGTATGAATAATTTTTTGTCAGTATGTTGATATTTATTTATTTGAATGTACACATTTCAGGTTTGCAGCTGGAATCGAACACGTTAGAAAATATCGAAGCTATATACACGACTCTTGCGCTGCTGTGCATTGAGGTCGGCTCGGAAGAGACCGTATGTGATATAATGCAACTCATTTTGGCGTAAGTTTTTAGTGCATTTTTTTATAATAGATAGATAGACAGAAAGAAAGAAAGAAAGAAAGAAAGAAAGAAAGAAAGAAAGAAAGAAAGAAAATTATTTTATTCAGTGCAATGTAAAAAATACAATATAAACAACAAACGAAAAAAAAGCGCAAATAAAATGTACATATAATTAAACTTAAAAATAATTAAAAATAAACATAAAATAATCATTTTTTACATCCATAGTATGCACTGAAATGGCTCCACTCAGCTTTAATGTATGTCCTAGACAGATAGATGTATTTTTTATTGAATTATAAACAAAGGTGAATAAGCAACCAACTCAACGTAAAGCTACAGATAAAACAGCGCTGATATTTTGTAACAAATAACTTTTGAACTGTTATACTGATAGAGTAACAAATACCATGGTACACTTCTGATATGGTCAAGTACTTTTTTATTTTACGGATGATAAGGGAATGGTGAAATTATCCGCGCTAACGGTATACGCTAGCGTATCCATAGAGGTCAGGTCAGTTTGTATCGTGCCAGAAATTCACGATGGTGTCCAGGAGAGAAAGTGTGGAGGACATAGTGTATTGCTAGCAATAGAGCTACTATCCTTATTACCAATTCCAAAATAGTAATATGTATGGTCTGGATGAAGAAACACCCATATCCTCTGGGATTTTATAATACATTTCATATGTGTCCATTAAAATGGTATAATATATAATGGTATATATAATACTAGGAGCATTGTGAAGGCCTTCTTTTTGGAGTTTCTAGATGAGCCTTCTTTTATAAATTTAATTTGTCTTGAGATTGTGGTCAATCGTTTTAGTGTTCTAGCTCCTGAAAGTACCAAACAGATAATTAACCGTTAATAACGAATAATACATATAAACTGGTTGGTTAAAATTCTTAACAATCGATTTCGCATCTATACTTATATCTCTACTTGGTTTCCCTGCAAATCGATTACTTATTTGTATTTATTACCCCTTATGACTGCTGATTAATATCTATAAAGATATGTGATGTACAGCTTCTCAATACATTTTTCTCAATCGTCTTGTGATGAGTCTATGTCCGAATGAGTAGTAGAATAAAAAAAATTGGCTATTCAAAAGTGCTTAAGTTTATTGGAATAAAGATTATTTGTATTGTATTGTACAGCATCCAGCAGTCGTCGATATCGAACCCGGTGCTGACGGTGGCGCAGAAGTGCCAGCTGCAGGTCGTGGCCATCTCTCTGGCTGCGTTGCTTCCGCACGTGTTACCCCTGCCTCTCGCACGTCTCCAAGATTACATCGATAAGGTATCATATCGTTTAAACACTTTACAGTATGTAATATAGGACGCTAGAGAGAAAATATTAATATTTAAATGTCAGGTTACCTCCTATTTAAAAAATAGTAATATAGTCTGTTTTTTAATCTCGGAGACTAAATGGACAGATGTAAATGTCAAATATTTTAAATAATGTTACCACCTGTAGCGGGGTAGTTTATTTTATTTATTATTTATTATACCTGCGATATTGATTTATTGAATCGTATTTTTTTTTTATTTTATACAATTAGTTTCTATGCACTTTTTCAGTTTTCTATGAAATTTCCACAACATATTTTAAATACTTAATTCTTACGGTATTGAGTTACAAACCAACATTTTATAAATTTTTTATTCGCTTTTTTTATCTTTTTTTGTACCTCTATGTATGACATTAATATAAATACTTGCGGTAATCGGCGTGTTCCGTGCGCCAGATAATCTGGTCTCGCCGTGAGGAGGCGCCGCACCTGCTGCCCCCGCTGCGCGCCGAGTACCCGCAGCTGGGCCCCGCCGCGCTGCCCGACAAGCTGCCCTACCTCATGATGGACCAGGTCACCACCCCACACCACACCACCTACTACTTATCACCACCACTATTACCTACCTCCACATGACATGTCTGTCGCCGCTGCGCGCTGTGTACTTAACTATTTCAATCAGCCGTAATAAGCTCTGTTTATCTGTGGACTAAAGTGTGGTATTTGAATTAATATTGTTAATTTGACATACTAATATAAGTAAGAAACTATTTCTTACAATTTGTTTGTAGTAGTTGTTATTTTCACAAATTTAAACTACTGAGATATATCTTATGTATAAAAATCTCGTTACGTTACCATACTTCTTCCAAACAGCTTGATCGATTTTTATGAAATTTTATATGCATATTCAGTAGGTCTGAGAATCGGCTACTATTTATTTTTCATACCCCTAAGTGACAACGCCTAACATATTTTTTTTATTTTTTGACAAAATTTTTTTTATAGTTTTTATTATGTGTTATTAAAAAATACATACGACCCTAAATTTTCACCCTTCTATCACCAGCCCCTAATTTTTTATAGTGTTATTAATTTATATGACAAAACAACGTTTGCCGGGACAGTTAGTTTTACTATAAAAATATAGTGTAATACTTAAAAAGTTAGTAATACATAATTTGAAAATAATAAACCCACAAGAAACTCGATTCTTGTTTAATGATTTTGTATCGATTGACTGATCGAACTGTGGTTATAATTGAAACATATGTGTGGATTTATAATGAGAAAAACTTATACGGGAAAGTTGTCTCTAGTTTAATGATGTCATATCGAATGCTTGCACGCATAGTGCTCATAGTTAAGATAGCTCGAGTCTTAGCTGTGAGCCGTATGCGTGGAGCGGTACCGGTGGTGACTGGTGACGAGTGTGTCGGTGGTGTGTGGTGTGCAGATGGCGGTGGCGGAGTGCGTGGCGGCGAGCGGCGTGGAGGCGGGGCGGCTGCAGGCCGCGTCACCGTACGACGCCGGCGCCGCGCTCGCCGCGCACCGGCACAGCTGGCTCGACACAGGTACGTACGCTCGCACCGCACCGACACAGCTGGCTCGACACAGGTACGTACGCTCGCACCGCACCGACACAGCTGGCTCGACACAGGTACGTACGCTCGCACCGCACCGACACATCTGGCTCTGGCTCGACACAGGTACGTACGCTCGCACCGCACCGACACAGCTGGCTCGACACAGGTACGTACGCTCGCACCGCACCGACACAGCTGGCTCGACACAGGTACGTACGCTCGCACCGCACCGACACAGCTGGCTCGACACAGGTACGTACGCTCGCACCGCACCGACACAGCTGGCTCGACACAGGTACGTACGCTCGCACCGCACCGACACAGCTGGCTCGACACAGGTACGTACGCTCGCACCGCACCGACACAGCTGGCTCGACACAGGTACGTACGCTCGCACCGCACCGACACAGCTGGCTCGACACAGGTACGTACGCTCGCACCGCACCGACACAGCTGGCTCGACACAGGTACGTACGCTCGCACCGCACCGACACAGCTGGCTCGACACAGGTACGTACGCTCGCACCGCACCGACACAGCTGGCTCGACACAGGTACGTACGCTCGCACCGCACCGACACAGTACACAGGTACGTACGCTCGCACCGCACCGACACAGCTGGCTCGACACAGGTACGTACGCTCGCACCGCACCGACACAGCTGGCTCGACACAGGTACGTACGCTCGCACCGCACCGACACAGCTGGCTCGACACAGGTACGTACGCTACCGACACAGCTGGCTCGACACAGGTACGTACGCTCGCACCGCACCGACACAGCTGGCTCGACACAGGTACGTACGCTCGCACCGCACCGACACAGCTGGCTCGACACAGGTACGTACGCTCGCACCGCACCGACACAGCTGGCTCGACACAGGTACGTACGCTCGCACCGCACCGACACAGCTGGCTCGACACAGGTACGTACGCTCGCACCGCACCGACACAGCTGGCTCGACACAGGTACGTACGCTCGCACCGCACCGACACAGCTGGCTCGACACAGGTACGTACGCTCGCACCGCACCGACACAGCTGGCTCGACACAGGTACGTACGCTCGCACCGCACCGACACAGCTGGCTCGACACAGGTACGTACGCTCGCACCGCACCGACACAGCTGGCTCGACACAGGTACGTACGCTCGCACCGCACCGACACAGCTGGCTCGACACAGGTACGTACGCTCGCACCGCACCGACACAGCTGGCTCGACACAGGTACGTACGCTCGCACCGCACCGACACAGCTGGCTCGACACAGGTACGTACGCTCGCGCTCGCACCGCACCGACACAGCTGGCTCGACACAGGTACGTACGCTCGCACCGCACCGACACAGCTGGCTCGACACAGGTGCGCGCGTTCACGCCTTCCATCGTTCTCTTTAATTCTTGATACGTCCCGACTCCCTTTTTCTCCTTAATTTGTTTGACACAGTACCTTGGTCTTCCCTCCCCCTCTTCCTTCTATTTTCCCCTCAGTAATAATTTTCATGAAATCATCCTGCCGTATCTAGTGTCTCAACATTTTTCCTCTTCTATTTTCTATTGTGTTCAATACTTGCTTTTTTTTTCTTCGTTTATTATCTATCTATTACTCAAACAAATATTTATTTATTTATATCGAGTTTACTATTACCTCGCTCGACCTTATAAATCTTTAACTTTTCTATATTTAAAAGCCATTTTTTAACCTTTATTTTAGGGAACCTAATATACCAACTAACCACGCACCACGCCTTGCCATTCTTTAACCAAAAACCTTAATATACTCTACATTAGGTTTCTTGAGAGTCGGAAAGGCGCATGTGATACCCCTAGTGTTTCAGGTGTCCATAGGCTATGGGAACCGTTTACTATCAAATGAGCCATTTACCGCCTACGTAGTATAAAATTAAACATGACAGTAAATGTAAAGTGAGCCTTATTATGATAGTGTTAAATGCCGTTATGCAGGAGCAGTCCAGGGCCGCGACAGTCTGGCGGAGATCGCAGCTGGATCGGTGGCAGCTTCCGGCCCGCCGGAGTTGGACAGCGCGCACAGCTCGCCGGGCGCGCAGCGGGTACGTACGGCTCACTACACGCACACTACACACTACACACTACACACTACACACTATACCGCACCTGGCGGCCGCCGACCCGCAGGAGCTGGACACGTGCCACTACTACCGTTCCTGTATCTATAAACGACAGCCAATTACCTTTGTTTGGTCTTTAAGCATGTTTTCAATTTCAATAGCATAAAATACACATTTTTAATATTGGAAACATATCAGGTAGTGATTGATAGTCTATATTTCTTTTATTAAACAAAAATTAAACTTAAGAATAACATAGGTATATCGATTTAGTTATCATCATCGCAGCCCGGAAGACGTCCACTACTGGACATAGGCCTCCCCCAAAAATCTCCACGATGATCGGGCCTGCGCTGCTCGCATCCAATGCCTTCCAGCGATCTTGACCAGATCGTCGGTCCACCTTGCTGGAGGCCTTACCACGCTGCGTCTTCCGGTCCGTGGTCGCCACTAGTTATAGTGGTTTAGTATTCTAACACAATATCATCCCAGTTGCATTATGAGCTTATTTGCAGCGGATCCAATACGATGCGCTCGACGAAGAATACAGAATGTTCATAGAGAAATACAACCATAACCACCGTCCGTCCACGCAGAATTTCGGCGCATACGTAAATAATTTCCATTTATTATGATAGCATCGTAGCTCATTCGTTTACACGCAAACTCAAAGGTCGTCATATCGAAACCAAAATTACCAAATAGACAAATTCATCGAAGGTCAGTCATTACCAAATTCGAATCAAACATCGCCAATAAAATCGCAAAAATGTATGTCAATTTATATTTCTGGCAGATGCTCCAATGAGACAAATTCCGGTGAATAACCAAAAAGTAAAGAACTTCTGCCAAATTGTCTTACTACCCATAACATAAACTCTGCTTAATTAGGGACTAAACAGCGCTGTATGAATTGTCCATGGTTGCAAATTAAGTCAATGATTTTAATGCTAGAAAATTAATGAACAACTGGCCCAATAAATCGAGGTAGAATACTTAAATAATATAATAATAATCTCAGGACAATTCACACAGCACCATCTAGACCCAAGTTAAGCTAGCTAAAGCTTGTGTTATGCGTACTAGATAACTGTTACAAATACATGTTTTTTATGGAAATACATAAATATTATACATGGAAAACACCTCGAGAAAAATCGAAGTAGACTTAAAACGTCGTTTGCGTGGGTACCTCAGTCTGCTCTATTGCAGCCGTCAAGCAGCTTTGGAAATTGTGTTTTTTTGTTGTAGAGTCAGATTAGGCAGTGAAATTACAGAATAATAGGTATGTCATCTTAGTACTCCGAAATAGACCGTACGTTTTTTTTTGATGATAATGGAATGGTACACCTGCCTGCGCTAACGGTTTACGCTGGCGGGGCACCAGTGGACGATGATAAGATGAGGTCATGTCAGTTAGCCAATCGTGACAAATTTACCAGGAATTTATCGCGATTGTTTCCAGGGGGAGATCGACCTGACATGGTACATTGCTAGTAATGGTATTGAGTTCACATTACAAACAATCCCCATTAGTAATGTGGATGGTGGCTTTATTGCCACTGTCATAGTAAAAAAAATGAATGATGATGATCGGTAAATGACAAACGTGCATGGCAATAGTTGTTCATGCACTGAAATTTAATTTAATGTTGTACATATACACCTATTTAAGTACACAATGAAACTAGACTAACTATAAAAAAATAGAAATTTAGTTTAGGTTTTTGCCAGTTCTTCTCAATTGAATCTGTATACAGAACTGGACGACAGGGAGAAAATATTACATTCATTTATTCATAATTTAAGAGCTACGCTCTTGTCGGTGGAGCTCTTGCCACTTTCCGCGATCTTCCATCATGCTCTTTAATTCTTGATACGACACGACTCCCATTAAAAAAATAAAAATATTAACATAAAAAATTTACGTTCATAAGAGGCTAAAATGTTCTATATATATTACATGAATTATTATTTGATTTAATTTCTTTTATTTTGGTGTCGCGGGCATCACATGATAACGTGATATCCGTGGTACAGTAAAGTTTGTAATTCCACTTAGTTGTCAACGTTATGGGCTCTTAAAACCTGTATAATTAGTAGGTATATATTAATCAATAGCGTAGCGACAACGAGTTCTGGCACTGGGGTTCCGTCGACGAGGACACGTTCAGTTCCCACGACATGCGGCAGCAAACACGCAAGCGGGCGCTCGTAGTGGTATAGACAGATACGTAGCTAGTGAGATAGATAGACAGGTAGTGATATTAAGTAGATAAGTACTGAGGTTAGAATAGATACATAAGTATTGATTGATTTATTTGTAGTCCTGAGGTGAAAAATAGTATTTGGTATATATGTACAGATTATTAAAGTGAGATAGACAGATAGGTAGCGAGACAGATATATGAGATTCATTGTTTCCTGTATACCATAGTAATACCATAAATAGACCGATTACAAATATAGTTACATAGTAAAAAAAAATATCCAGTCCAATTTTCTTTAAACAAGTTTGTTTTAGAATTACACGTAATTGAAGAACTTGATTTCCAATATAAAAAAGATCGAATAAGTCAAATAAATAATCCAAGACATTATAAATTTGTGTAGTACATTGAAATTATAATAAATTTTCGGAATACCATGTATCTTCGCAATAGAGTAAGTCGAGTAGTGCGGAACGTAAATATTGATGTATGAATGAAACAATTTATTGTTCCTCCCACAGTAAATACAATTACATACAAAATGATAAAAAAAAACGCAACAATAAACAAGACAAAGAGTTAACAATGGGCAGCCTTATCGCTAAAAAGCGATCTTTTCCAGGCAACCTTAGATTGGAGAGAAGTCATAACATTTCCGTCTGGTAGAGTGGAAAAGATGGTAACAGTATTGAAAGAAATGATTATAAACATAAGTATACATATAACATAATACAATACAAAATAATTTACGGCAAAATTTCGATTAGCGCATTGGTATTCCTGCAATCATTACGATTGCGCGCGTTAGTACTACTGCAATCACTCACGATTGCGCTCGTAGATTTTTTCGCAATCACTGTCTGTGTTCTCCCAATAACCTCGACTGCGCGTATCGGTTTACTCGCAATCACTTATGATTGTGCGTAAACCTTGGCCTTCCCGTTCTCACTCACATAGGCGTGCGTCGTGTTTCAGCGCTAAAAGCGTCCGTCGTTTAAAGGAAGCCATTGAGATGGGACGAATACTGATGAGTTTACATGTATATAATCGACACGGTGACATTACTGTCCGCACGCACCGCTCACAATAAGGTATCGTCCGCAGCACGCGACGCAGGCGGAGAGCGTCAGCCTGGAGGCGCTGCGGCGCGCCGCCGGCGGACCCAGCGACGCCGAGCGGCGCGAGCTGCAGCGGCGCCGCGCCACGCTCAACAACGCCTTCCGCACCGCGCCCTTCACGCACCTCGTCGCCCTCACGCAGCCCAAGGTGACCCCCCGCCCCGCCCCGCCCCGCCCCCGCCCCCACGCTCAACAACGCCTTCCGCACCGCGCCCTTCACGCACCTCGTCGCCCTCACGCAGCCCAAGGTGACCCCCCGCCCCCACGCTCAACAACGCCTTCCGCACCGCGCCCTTCACGCACCTCGTCGCCCTCACGCAGCCCAAGGTGACCCCCCGCCCCGCCCCGCCCCGCCCCCGCCCCCACGCTCAACAACGCCTTCCGCACCGCGCCCTTCACGCACCTCGTCGCCCTCACGCAGCCCAAGGTGACCCCCCCCCCGCCCCGCCCCGCCCCCGCCCCCACGCTCAACAACGCCTTCCGCACCGCGCCCTTCACGCACCTCGTCGCCCTCACGCAGCCCAAGGTGACCCCCCGCCCCGCCCCGCCCCGCCCCCGCCCCCACGCTCAACAACGCCTTCCGCACCGCGCCCTTCACGCACCTCGTCGCCCTCACGCAGCCCAAGGTGACCCCCCGCCCCGCCCCGCCCCGCCCCCGCCCCCACGCTCAACAACGCCTTCCGCACCGCGCCCTTCACGCACCTCGTCGCCCTCCCGCAGCCCATGGGGACCCACCGCCCCCCCCGCCCCGCCCCCCCGCCCCCGCCCCCACGCTCAACAACGCCTTCCGCACCGCGCCCTTCACGCACCTCGTCGCCCTCACGCAGCCCAAGGTGACCCCCCCGCCCAGCCCCGCCGCGGCCCCCGCCCCCACGCTCAACAACGCCTTCCGCACCGCGCCCTTCACGCACCTCGTCGCCCTCACGCAGCCCAAGGTGTCGCCCCCGCGGGGCCTCCCCCGCCCCGCCCCGCCCCCGCCCCCACGCTCAACAACGCCTTCCGCACCGCGCCCTTCACGCACCTCGTCGCCCTCACGCAGCCCAAGGTGACCCCCCGCCCCGCCCCCGCCCCCACGCTCAACAACGCCTTCCGCACCGCGCCCTTCACGCACCTCGTCGCCCTCACGCAGCCCAAGGTGACCCCCCGCCCCGCCCCGCCCCGCCCCCGCCCCCACGCTCAACAACGCCTTCCGCACCGCGCCCTTCACGCACCTCGTCGCCCTCACGCAGCCCAAGGTGACCCCCCGCCCCGCCCCGCCCCGCCCCCGCCCCCACGCTCAACAACGCCTTCCGCACCGCGCCCTTCACGCACCTCGTCGCCCTCACGCAGCCCAAGGTGACCCCCCCCGCCCCGCCCCGCCCCCACGCTCAACAACGCCTTCCGCACCGCGCCCTTCACGCACCTCGTCGCCCTCACGCAGCCCAAGGTGACCCCCCGCCCCGCCCCGCCCCGCCCCCGCCCCCACGCTCAACAACGCCTTCCGCACCTTATTTTATTATTTGCAATTCTAGTTATATAATATTGCTATTTTGTTTCTTCCAGTATGAAATACAAGAGAAATTGGAAGAAATCTTCAACAGTATATCTGAGGAGCCGCTGCTGCCAATGTCTGGTTCCTGCTCCCCCGCCGGCAACACCAAGTCCTATCAGCAGAACGTGCCGCCCTACACCAAGTATTTCCCAGAGCTGTTCCTCTATTAGGTAAATAAAATCGAAAAACATTTTTTCAAATAAACTACCTTATTTTTTTATATCTACCATTCATTCGAAAAGCTGTCTCATCACAAGAAGAACGAGCCAGAAACTTGCGTGTTGCTCTAAATTAATTAAATAATGCAAACAGACTCATATTGTCATTCAACGAGGTATACTAAATAAAATTATAATAAAATAGATATAAATATTATTTTTCAGATGGACGCAAGAAAGAAAAACAATCTGTGAATGGGATATTATTATTGTTATACATTTGTTATTAATTCTAAGCTATTTTAATAATGCTTCCGTTGTAATAAACATTGCTCATGCTTACGTAAGGGTATAACGGTGGACATAAACCATTCAAAATATAGCACGCTGATACAGAACAGTATTATCTGCCTTTACACGTACTCTCATTCACGAGCGAATCGTCTTTCACGCAGGATAGAATGTTAATGTAAATGTAGACAAAGAGAACGAGAAACAGTGAGTGCATTTGCAATCGTGCGTGCTTTAACTAACTAACTAACTTTAACCGCCAGTAAACGAATTCCCACGTACAATAATCGTGAGTACTTTATCGGCTTTTTTGTAATAATTATTTAACATTGCAAAATGGCCGACATTTAATTATGGAACAAAGATATAATATAATTATTTATATAGATAAACTGATTTTAACACGAATAATTTTATGGTAAATCTCTCGACATTTCTACTAAGTTGTAGTAGCCAAAATTCCTTTATTTACCAAACAAATATTCGCGTTAAAACCTGTTTAACTATATTAATAATGTGTACTAAACGCAAAAGTTTAAATATTATGGAGTTATTGATAATTTATAAATTATATACACCTCAGACGACCCAGGGCAGACCGGACTACCGAAGGTTGACCATACGGGTCGACCCCAAATTAATGGGACAAGCAATGGAAAACAAACGATAACTTATAAATATTAAATATGTCTTTGGATCATAATGGAAATTTGTGGAATATAAGACATTTTTCGAAGTATTATAGCATTCCATTCTTTCAAAATATACATTAATTACAACAAATTAATATATGTTTTGTAACTAACATTTATTAATTTCATTCGTTCATTCCAAAATTTCTTTTCGCAATATTTTCACTTATAATAATTTTTTATTTATTTTTGTTACACTGTAATATAATTAATTATATTGTTTTTAAATTAAGTTAATATATAGTCAATTCGCTATCATTGTCGAGTATAAACAATATATATTTGTACATACAGTCGATTATACAAATATGTTTTATTTTTATTATTTATTGAATTAGGTGAATTAGGATGTTTTGATCGAGATCAGGCACTGAATAGAGCTCGGGTATAGCTTGGAAGCCTAGTGTTGACTTGTTTGATGATGCCTCGTTCAGAGACGAAACACGTGTCGCAATATGGGTGTACACCGGTCGGAATTTGAGCACCAATAGTGATCTCACACATGCTAAATGCAGCGGTATCAAACAAAATCCATTCAGTAGTTATATAAAGGCCTCAAGACCTTAAAGCTGAAGTCCCATTCGATAGTCAGACCAGATATCCCGTCAGCTAAATATTACTGTCAGCGCCCGCAATATATCAGGCGTCTCAACCGATGGCGACAGATGGTCGACAAGATAATGTAGAGTCGTGATCCTCAGCAGTGAGGGAACGATTATGAAGAAAGTTATATAAATATGTTATAAAACAGAATGTTGGTCGCACTTCTAAATATGTATCTTTAGCTTAATAATGACTGTTTATGGGGAAAAACATATACTCACGGTATTAAAGGAATGCAAATGTTTCATCACGATGTCGACAATTGACGATACCTCTGTATATCCCATCTGGGTTAAATTCGTGATGGTCTGTTATTATTTTAAATGATAATCACATAACACTGTAATAGTTAGAATTGGGTTGTACTTTTATTTTTTTACTTTTTTTTATGAACTAAAGGATATGTTATAAGTTCAAATTATAATTGATGAATTATAGAAAAATTTTTATTTATTTAATATCTTAAATAAATATAGAATCTCATTATATATTAGATGCGGTTTAAAATTCTAAAGTTATGGGGATATACAAGACAAGACAAACTGTAGCTACATACAAGATTCATATAAATATGTAAAAATTTGTTATACATCATATTATTCTGTTGAAGAATCTGTTATTTCATATTAATAGCTGTTCACTAAATGTATATGAAAGTATATACGGTACCTACATAAAAGATTTAATTAAAAAAATATTCTCTGTTGCTAATTACTGAAACGTGCCGATTTTGACTTTCACTCGCACAGTTATAAAGAGTATCTTTAACTACATTTATTTTAGGTACTTTAATATTATTTACAGTGAAGAAAAAAGTTCAATTTCCCCCGAACGAAGTCGCGAGTAACAGCTAGTTTTACACAGTGATTGTATTAGTTCGCTAGAAGAGCAGTTTGTGAGTAAATATTGTTAATTATTGCAAGTGGTATATATGTTTTTGAAAATTTGTCTCTAAATTGGATGTTTGGTGTCCTATAACCTACACCATTGTACCATATTCAACCTATAAATAAATAAATACAGATAGTACACTGCCCGAATCGTTGGAAACAAACACATTGGTAATAAAATAAAATCTACGATTAGTTTTGGTTTCGTTGACATGTGTTCAGTATGTAATAAATTTAATATAACTTTAATAATAATTATCGCAATATTAATTAGAATAAAATTAATAATGCATATTTATATTTAATTTACTTTTATGCACTTTTAAAATGATATTCAAAACAAATTAAAATAACTTTACAGAAATAAAATATTTATATCTGTACTAAAATTAATTTGGAACATAAAATACAAATCGTCGATTGAATAGAAAAATGTTATAAAAATTAGAAGCTAGAATTGCCTCCTTATATATATAAGTCAAGTAAACCACGCCGCGCCGTCTTAATCATTACCTAAATACTTTTAAAGTTATATATAATACTTCTGTGTAAATTTAAAACTTTAAAGGAAAAAATAATTTAAATAAAAAAAAAATTTTTGCTTGTCTTGTAAAAAGAATGTACATTTTGAATACTGACAGTTTTTCTATTTAACCGACGAAATATGCATTACCACATAATATAATATTACATACTAAGTGTTTAAAGCTATAATTATAATGCAAAAAATATAAGAAAAGTGTTCGCAATTGATCATATATTTATTTTGGTTACCAAACATGCAGTCAAAAATATAAAAAATTAGTTATTTTGTAATGATATGACTATTCGGTGTTTATTAATCGGCCAAATCATTCGAGTGAATAGAACAGAACTGATTAGCTTTTTTATGACAGTGGCTTGTAATTCAGGTGCAGTTGCAAATAGTTGCTTAAAACACAACACAAAAATAGTCGTTTGAATCTATTAGTGTGGCGATTATTTGTGTTGCAAACCATACAACACGACATGGGACTGGTTTATTTTATTATATTTTATGTTATAATTTAATATATTTACAAGCTAGTAAAGCAAGAAATAGTAGCAATAAAAAATAGTTTTAAGTATATTTTTGACTGTTTGTTGTCTAGACTTAAAACGTCTGATATTATTGTTTTTATTATTATTGTAATGTCATTTAAGTATTATTTATTGGTCGAAGCGGTGTTTTGTAATTACAAAATTAATTAATTAAAATACATAATATTATCCTGGTTATAGTTACTTAATATACGCGGTATCGCGTTAGGTTGTGTTTAAAATTAATATAATGTGGTTCGGACCAATATTTGTTTTATTTCTTATAGAGTATCCAAGCTTAGTGGCTCACTATAAGTAGTGAGAAGGGTCGTAAGTTGGAATCTGGCGCACAGCATATAAACTGCGTCAATTTAAAAGAACGATAGCATTCCCATCCCTGTTTCTGTGTGATTCAAATTGGGTATATTTGCATAATCAAAATACCCAATATAATCAACTATATCCTCGAAGGTCTAGCAATTTAACACACTGCTTTACTTCTGATCACCTCGGAAACATGGTGGTTAATTCTTGTTGATTTGGTCACCATGGGATTGCTGACCTGACATTATCGTATCATACTCCACAAGTGCCCCGACAGTATACGGTCAGTACGGGTGGACGCTGTTCCATACAAATATTACTATGATAGTACCAGGGCATCATAAGTATACAAGATATCAGATAACTTAAGCTGAGCTGTTGGTAGGTGTGATCCCAACCTAGTCCGTACAATTTTCAGTTTTTTTTTACGTATTTATGTATGAAAAAATCTTTAAAAGACCGTCGCCCCATCATTGCATAAAGAGGGCGCGTGTGGGATTCTTCCCCACAAAAACCTGGTTTACTTACGAGCACCATTGAGATTATAGTATTCTACCGCAACTCCTACGGCATATCAATAGCACTAGGACATCATAACTACATGTGAATATGTAGGTATTTTAATGTTTCTCCCTCGTTCATAAAAACGTACTTTTAAAATGCTTCATCTCTTTCTTTCATAGATTTAATCATTAAAAAGAAAGAGACAATACGGCTGAGAATATATTTTCCGTGGGTGTGTACTAAACCAAAGTCTGTCGGTACTCTATAAATCATATATTTAGTATATTTAGTACCAGGGCTTTATAAACTCTGCAAAATATCATAAGTTATCCTGATCAGAAGGCAGTTGTGAACCCAATCTGGGCTGTACATACTGTACAATCTTAATATTATAAACGCAACTTTGTGAGTATGGTTGGATGTTTGTTACTTTCACGCAAAAACTATTGAACGGATTTTAATTAAACATTTACAATAATATAGCTTACACATCAGAATAACAAGCTATAAATTTGACGCATAGACATCGCAGGCACAGCAAGTTTTAATCTATACGTATATATAAAATTGGAGTGTCTATTTGTCATATTGAAGTAACCATTTTTTACTAAATGCATATGAATATAAATTCGGTACATACACAAAGATATTTTTTACAATTTTTGTCTGTCTGTTTGTTCCGGCTAATCTCTGAAATGGCTGGACCGATGTTGACGGGACCTTTTTTGGCAGTTGGCTGATGTAATAAGGAGTAACTTAGGATACTTTTATTTTAGAAAAATAAAGTTAAATTCCACGTGGACGAAGTCCGGGAACAACTAGTATATTTTTAACACTGGGGCATCATAAATACATGTGAGTGAAATAAGATACAAGTGTAAAACAATATATATATATATTTATTATAACATTTATCTCCTATCTAGTATACTTTACAATTTATTAGGTAATTAGTGTTTCACCTTCATTAATAAAAACGTCAAAATTTTTATATGTAATATATCCTTTCCTTCCATTATTCTTCATTACAAAGAAAGAGACAACACAAATAGTGACAAGATTGTAGATTTTATTTTTTATAAATAAGTCATTGAGAACACTTTTGTAATAAACGAACAGGAACAGTCCTGATAATATGAACAGTTATCCCATTGTTATTAGGCGAACCGTATGCGATATTACCACCGTAGTAACAAACGAATTCTCTTCAAAATGTAAACCTAAAAAACTTGTTTTTATTTATTATTTGTATGCAATATTGCTTTGTATTGATAAAATAATTTTAAGATCTATAAATTTCTTTTTAGATAATAATATAATTCAATAAATAGTATAATGTAAAAAATGAAATATTTCCTCTTTACAATATTTAAAATTTGTATAATTGTAAGTAATATTTTTGTCAACATTTAAAAAAAATAAATACATAAACATGATTAGAAATACATTCAATACAAAAAAAATACATAATATCGAGTCAATCTCGTGAGGTCGTTCGTTCTTCACGTATTATTTATAATATAACGTACAATAGTACTGTGTAGCACCTGTATATATAGTTATATTGTGTACAATTAATATTTATACAACTATGTACAATATTTCTCTATTTATGTACAGATTCTTGAGGACGTGGGTCATATTACAGTCTTGATTTGGGATGAATTAGGAATTATATTAAAAGGTTTTGTGTATTAATCTCCTAAAATACACAGGCCAGGTGGTTTTTTATGTAATTTTAATGGCACACAATGTGACAGCCTGCCCGATGGTAAGCGCTAACTTTTTTTAAAGCATAGGGGACGAACGAGCTTGCGGCTCACCTGATGGTAAGTGATTACCGAAGCCCATGAGCACCCGCAACACCAGGGGAATTGCAAGTGCGTTGTTGTCCTTTTAAAAAGGAATACGCTCTTTTTTTGAAGGTTTTAATATCGTATCGGTTCGGATTACCATTGCTGGAGGGTGATTTCACAATGTGGTTGTGCTTGGCCAAATATTTCTTGAAAAACTGATGATGATCAAGTATTTTAGTTTCTGGTTATGGTAAAATTCAGTTCTTCATGTATTCACATAAAAACTACTGGAATTTTGTGTCGTAATTCGTGGATGGGTCCTCATATTTATAATTTATACATAATTTGGCAGTGACAGCTCTTCAACGGTAACATATATTTGATCAGTGGCGAGTGTCTAGGCGGACTGTCGTGATGGTGGATGGTTGTGGTGGATCGGTGGTATCACGGGAAGCGCACGACGGTGGTCCCGATAGCGGCGTCGCTGCAGGCGTGGGCGAGCGCAGCCTCGTATTCCACTGGTAGGAACACCTGCCGGAAAGACAAACAAAATTATACATAGTTACTATCTCTGACCCTGCAAACGTTGTTTTGCATATAAATTAAAATCGCTATTAAAAGAAATAGGCTTTGATGGTATAAGTGTGAAAATTGAAAGTTGAATATATTTTTAATGCTCATAATAAAAAATAAAATTAAAAAATTATTGTCGAAACTATGAAAATAAAATTTTTATACCCCTTAACACTTAGGAGTATAAAAATTAATTATAACCCTCAGACCTACTGAATATATATATAAAATTTCATCAAAATCGTTCAAACCGTTTTGGAGAAGTATAAACAGGAAAACTGTGACAAGAGAATTTTATATATTAGATAGAAGAATAGAATATAAAATTATTTATATACTGTTGTATGTACCACGTGTTATGTGAGTACCTTATCGACAAGCGGTGAGAGGGCGCCACTGTCGACGAGTGCCGCCAGCTCGTCGAGACCCTCCCGCAGCTGCAACGGGTCCTCGAGCCAGTCCGTGTGGCTGCCCAGCCCCACCACCCACTGGAAACAGATACGATCAACTCTCTTAGTTTCTATGAGAACGATGTTGTTACTCCACTCTGTAATCATATTTCATAGCTTCTAGCTTTAAAAATGACGATACTTCCATATCGGGGTTGAAAAGTTGACCCCTTACAATGCTTTTTCGCATTAAAAAGTATTTTATATCCTTTCACAGGGTTTAAACTATCTGTGTTCCAATTTTCATTTAAATTGGTGTAGTAGTTTTAGCGTGAAAGCGTGAACAAACAGAATTATTGTTGCATTTATAATATTTAGTAAGGATAGTACCAGGGTGTCATAATAATAAAGGAGCTTACTCTAAGCAGTCTGTATGTGTGGAAGGAAATTGCGAAGAGTAACGAGAGCGGTGCCGGCAGACGGTCGGATATCAGCGGCTTCGGTCGTAAGTCCACTATGGCGTCACGTGGGGCCGTTGCTCTGCAAACATACAAATATTGGTATTAAAAATAAAAGCATTTAAGAAATATTATTATAAATATATTTCATAAATTCCGTAAGTCCTTCCGCAGGTATGCACTCGCCCCCTATAGTCCGGTGGAGCTGTAAAGGCCAGCTGCGGCCAATAGCGTTAGAGTGGTCCGAAAAAAAGTGAACACGTTCTATGTTCAATTACTATCCATGCTGTTCTTTTTCTGATTCGGTTCAAATACTAGTCATTTTAGACAACCACTCTTTTTTACGTTTGAGTTGGTGTTCAGCCGCTCTATAAGTCCTTCGGCTTGTTTGGAGTCCCATCTTCACTCGTCCGGTGAAGCTATAAAGACCGGCTGCGGCCAACAGCATTAGAGTAGTCCAAAACAAGCGAACACGTTCCAAGTTCAACTACTATACATGGTGTTCTTTTTTGGAGTGGGTTGAAATAAAAGCGTGTCGCGTACTTGAGCAGGGCGCTGGCGTCGGGCGCGGGCCCTGCGGGCGCGGCGTGCGCCCCCCCCGCGCCGCCGCACGCCACCGCCGCGTCCCACGGGCCCGCGCGGGCCGCCGCGCGCGCCAGCCGCCGCCACCACGGGCCCGCGCCGCACGACTCCACCTCCAACACCTCCACCGCGCCTGGTCACGGACACCCACCGGTTATTACATTACTATACTCATCATCACCATAATAAATTACCTAGTACTGAAAGACCGACCACGTAATATATTTAAATACAAATTAATGAGATTACTAATAGACTATACATATAAATAAAATTGCCTGTTTCCAATATTGAAATTTTTACTACATGCATATGAATATAAATACGGTATACACACGAAAATATTTTTTTTCCAATTTTTGTCTGTCTGTCTGTTTGTTCCGGCTAATCTCTGAAATGGCTGGACCGATTTTGACGGGACTTTTTTTGGCAAATAGCTGATGTAATAAGGAGTAACTTAGGCTACTTTTATTTTAGAAAAATAAAGCGCGGACGAAGTCGCGGTAACAGCTAGTTACAGATATAAATCATAGAGATCTCTGGTCAAATAGTGTGGCATAAAAGGTACTTTTGTTGCTTCGCATTAAGTAGGAAGGCACCTATCGCGGCGTCGTCTCGGCAATGAATACAGAAGCGAGATAATCGATGCCAGAAATAACCTTTGAATATTTACGTTATATTTCAAATTAAAGAATACCTACCCAATTCGAAAAGAGAATATATTTTGAAAACCGAATTGTAATATTCCCGAATATTAAGTACAGGGCCGTACCGAGGGCGAGCAGAGCGCTAGCAGCGGAGGGGTGGCAGGCGGCCGCGGGGCGCGCGCCCCACGCCGACAACACCTGCAGCAGAGCGCAGCCCTCGCCCGACGCCGCGCCGCACACCGCCACGCTGCGGGCACACGCACACCTCACAGACGCTAGCCAAGTAACTTTGTAAAGTAAGTTTGTGAAATCAAATCAAATCACAATATCTTTATTCATATTAGTCTATAATAGCTGGCATGTAATAATTATAATAATAATAATTTTATTTACCTGAATTGTTTCATATGTTTAGATGTGGAGATGTATGCCTTGTCGTTGGCGAGTGGTACCTACCTTTAGCTTGTTGCCACTGAATGTCAAAGACGTCTACTTCTATGCGTGTGTGCGTCAAATACATGGTATGCATAAAGGAAAAAAAATAGTATACTGCAACCTTTATAAAAACTATAAATGAGCGAAATTTCATACTCATTCATCAATTCTCGTAAAAAGGGGTACAAAGTTCTTGTTTGACGAATGAATATAACTGGGTACTGACTGTTTGTCCTGGACGTCGTGGGCCCCGTACGAGTGCCACCCCCGCCACCACTCGCAGCCGCCGCAGGGCCCTGAGGGCGCGCGTGCCGCCCTCGCACACTCACCGCTTGCCCTTGACGTCGTGGGCCCCGTACCGCAGCCGCCGCAGGGCCCTGAGGGCGCGCGTGCCGGCCTCGCACACTCACCGCTTGCCCTTGACGTCGTGGGCCCCGTACCGCAGCCGCCGCAGGGCCCTGAGGGCGCGCGTGCCGCCCCAGGCCAGGGCCGCGCCCTGCGCCGCGCCCACGCCCCGCGCCCGGCGCCCGGCGCGAGTGCTGTCCAAGCAAACAAACAACAACACTTTAAAATAACACTGATAGTTAATAACATTTCAAAATAAGGTAAAAGAAATGTAAACTTATTTTATTAATGTCAGGATATTTCTTTTATTTAAATTTACTTTAAATTATTTTATACATATAATAATATACTATATTATATAGTCAACTGAGTCTTAACAAATAATTTTATGGAAAACGAAGATCGTGGTAAATAAATCTCTTGCTGTCTCGACTAGGTTGCGCTAGCCGTGGTCACGAGCTGATTGATCAGCCGAAACGTCGATCTCTATCGATGTTTCAGCATGGTAAATAAAGGAATCTCTATAAATTCCTTTATTTACCAATTAATTTTTAACGTTAAGACCCATTTCGCTATATTAAGAATTTGTACATGGAAATTTAAATATAACTATAATATAAATTATAAAGTACCTGCGTATAGTTAACAGTTCTGTTGCTGCCCCGCCTGACCACTCGCTAACACAGCCCCACACCTCATCCCCTAATTCCAACGAGGTCACCCCTGGACCGACGTCCAACACTACGCCTGTTTTAAAAATAACAAAATTAAAAACATTTATTACCCATTTTATTTTTCTGTATTTTTCGAAACAATATCTTGTCATAACACTCAATGTACTAGGCACACATAAAGTATCAAATGTAAAAATAACCTGCGAAGCTGCTAGATCTTTACATCCGCAACTAGGTTTTGATATACTTTCGTTTATAAGAGACAGAATATGTTTTAAATGAATAGGTTATTTTAGCTTTCTCTTAAAGAGTATTTTTTTTAGTTTTATTTATCCTTATAGTAAAGGCAGAGTCTAAGCCCATACAGCGATTGTCTTACGTATAAATTTTGTATTTTAATTATTATTATTATCTTCTGATATCTCCTACTAGATTATAATATTTTTTGATGTTATAACAAGGTGTGATGCTGTAAATGTTATAAATAAAATTTTTAACAATCGAAGTGTAGATGAATAAGTCCATTCTTGACGTGTGATTTTTTTTGACGTAGGTGACATGTCCGTATTGCTTGTTATTTATGTATATTATAGAGGTAATGGTGGCAAGTTACCATTACCTCTATCATAAATAGTTGGCTTGTTTGCTCTTTTAATTACATAGAAAATTTTAGTTGCAGTACTAGGCGCACATAATATAGAACTAGTAAGTACCTGCGAAGCCGCGGCCGACGGTGACGTGTGGCCGCGAAAGCAATCCGCGCAGGGCGGCGCCACGGCCTCGCAGCACGCTGCGGTCCACTGCGCAAGCGCTGAACGCCTGCACGCGAACCAGGACCTCGCCCGCGCCAGCGCCTGCACCAACACACAACCAACTTCTCAGCATTGTATGAATTCACAGTGCGAAAGCCGGGTCCATCATATAGCAGAGGAGGAAACTCCGAGCAGTGCACGGGACTTGTGACCCGGGTGTTAAAAATGGTGTGGTTGGTGGGTGGGTGGTTTAAAGGGCCACCGTACGTGACACTCGAACCCGCGACCGTCGGAAGTAAGGTGGTATGGTAGACCACAAGAACACCGAGGCCATCTAACGTCAAATTACATTCATATGAAGTTGGCAATATTTCTAACCGAGATGAGGTGATTAATATTGCAACTACAGACTTGTATCTATTGTCATTAGAAAAAAAAGATGGGTGGGTAATATTACTAGGGGCGCAATAAAGAATGAAAATAATCTATTGTCTGTAGTAGAAAGCAATAGGTAATTGAATGATGTATGGTATATAGTTATGATTAAATCTAAAAAAAGATAATATGAGTGGGTAAAGTTACTAGGAGAGCAGTAATTTAATGAAGATAGGTTACGTACTGCGAGCGGGAGCATCCTCGACGAACAGCACGCTGCGATCGGGTTGTGAGTGTAGGGCCCTCGCCAGGGGACCAGCGGGGGGCCGGGCGGCCCTCAGCCCCGCGCAGAGCCCTGCGCTGCCCCCCACCACCGCCCCTACCAGGAAGATGGCCACGCTACGCCGCCACACTGTAAATTCACCACATATAAGTCATTAAAGTTGGGAAATGGATTGACACATATACATACTAGCTGACTCGCCCAACTTCGTCTGCATCACACACTTATTTAACATTTATTTCGCCCAATTTACAAAATATCTGTTTAAATTATAATCTATGATGTGTTATTCTGATTTATAAGATATATTACTAAAAGCTGCATTAAAATCCATTCATCAATTATATTAAAAATAAGAAAAAAAATTACAATATATCTTTACTATTTTTAGAAATATGTTTTATTTAGACGTTAATAAGCTTTGTAATTTGTGTTTATATATATACTTATATACATATATAAGAAACTACCTTAGTTATAAGGTCTTAGTCATCTTGAATGGCAGTTCATTCTTTCCTTCATTCTCGTATAACCTAGTTCTGCCCCCACCAGCTCACAAAAGAAACTGACGGCAAACCTAGGTTGGTACATTGTATTTTTCTTACTTCTATCTTTGAACAGTGCTAGTAACTCTTCGTAGAGGACAAGAGGCGACAGCGGTGGCGCGCCATCCTTCAGCCGCTGCAGCGCTTCATGCGACCAGGCGGCCACGCGCGCCCTACCCTCAGATATTAGCTCGTTGTTCCACAGTTCACTGAACGCCTCTCGGATCTAATAAAGAACGTACGTTATTTACGGCAGTCCATTTCATTACTTAATGGACATATATTATTTTGTTAAATTCAGTTATTTACCATTAGCATGTGTAAAACCTAAAATGCTCAGTGTGTAAAATTGACCACCGCTACTGAGAGTTACGACCTTCTCTACTGTTATTGTAATGCCGACTGAATTTAAAATTTTGAGTTTTTTTATACTACTATAGTGGCAAACAAGCATACGGCCCATCTGATGGTAAATGGTTACCGTAGCCTATGGACGTCTGAAACACCAGGGGATTCACATGCGCGTTGCCGACCCTTAAGAAACCTTAGTAATAATTATTATTTATTCTATGTATGTTATTATTTCTTGTGAAATAACATTCAACTAACTATATTAAGTTAAATTTAAATTTCTTAATAAATACATTACTTTTATGAAACTTTTTACTAAAAGAAAAAAATATAAAATTAACATTCAAGATTTTATTTGTGTTTTACTTTTCTAAAACTAATACATGCTTTATAAAATTGTATATGCAACACTACTGATGAAATTAATGTAGCGAAAATTATAATTATATCATGCAATTAAATGTAAATTAAACGTTATACTACACGCGTCATAGAATAATGTCTGTAACAGTTGAAATTTTGACAGTTTTCAGTATAACAGAGGTGCCAAGAATGACATAAATGTAGTCTTAAATCAATATATTGTATTTATGATAATTAATATTAAGTCACCAATAGAAGTGTCCTTAGCAGGAATTTAGTACTTCTCTTTTATTTAAATTGAATAAAAGTACACGTTTATATTTAAATTGTATATAATGTCACACACACCATTCTAATTTACTATAGTGCAGTTTATATACAGCATATAGCAAAATTAAACTTTAACATACATTTATATGAATAAGTATAAATATTAAACCTATGATGATATGAATGAATCCTCATATCATAATTATCAAAGTATTTATGTGTAATCTTCTAGAATTAAGTTTTGTGTATCCATTAAATAAGATAACAAAATTAGGTAATTGTGTAGGTAGGGTATGGGTATCCTTCCAGCATACAAACATTGATATTCATGAGTATGATAGTTTGTATCGGTCTGGGTGTTTTCTATGTATATTATATAGGCTGATCACACCAAATTACATTAATATTGGTTCAGGCATTTAGACATAAAAAGGTAACAAACAGATAGTTAGACAGACACTTGTGTATTTATAATATTAGTAACAAATCTAGACCTACAATGTTTACCTTTCTAATTGTCTCTGCGGTGGTATTGAAGACATCCTGGACCCTGGACTTGCCATCGTCAGCGGCTATTTTAGCGGCTTCCTACAATTTAAACAATAGCATGGGATACCATACCTACTTTGTATAAATTAAAACCAATTCAATCAATTTAGTTACTGCACACACCAGGGTAACTTAACACCTCAACCATTTGTCTTATATATTTCCTTATAGTAAAGAAAGATATATGAAAGACTGTTACAAATCTAAACTAATACTATAAAGAGAATGGTAGAGAGGGTTACTCTAGTTCCCGGGATTTGTGACACTCTCTGCCACTCAATGGACCCGGCAACTCCACGGTAAATCCATAGAATGCTAAGTAGTGTAGACTCAAAAGAAAAAAAAATGTTTTCTCTATGTCCTATATAACCTTGAAAAGCACTTGGATAATTTTAAATATTCATATACTCTTCATAAGTTAAATTGACAGTGAGGATCATGGGTTATTATTAATTATCAAAATACCATCAAGTTCCCCATAATTATAAATGCCCTCGAAAACTGAGGGTGCCATGTTGGTACTGACCTTTATATGACTGAATATGACCTTTATTCAATTAATCATAACTTTATTCTTGTAGGTCTATTAGAGACTTATGATATGTCAAATCTATCATCAATTTTGAATGATTTGGAGGTAAGAAGAACTGACAAGAAACTCAGGTCTCATTCTTTTCAAATGAGTTTATTATTGTTTATCAAATGGAGTCAGTTAGTTCTTAGTAAGGCATTCATGAATACCATATACTAAACTTAGTTTCTGTACAGAAATTAAAAGCAGTCCTAATTTTTGCTCATTTATTACTTGGGTTTTGTATATATCCCTATTTACTTATCTCTACAGAATTACTTGTCTTAATTTGTTCAATATAAAATATTTAATTTAATAAATAAAAATATTTTTTTATTTAAGTACACTATTTAACTTTCATGGAACATTGTACTACATAAATAAATAAATATCTGTGATACTTTATATTTCTATTGAATTTCAATCAGCTATCTGTAATTATAAACACCTATTTTAGAAATTATTAACCAATTTCCTAATTCCTTATCTTTAGATTATAAACTTGACTCTTTATTTATGATTCTGTTGGTGAGAAATAAGCAAGCAAATAAACTGTATCCTACACATGTTTCTATTGCTAATTAATAGATTATATAAGCTCAGGGTCACTAAAGTGTAATAGTGTCAATGACAAGAATACCATAACAAAACAAATAAAATATTATCTATGCCTACAAATAATTATTTACTACTAAATAGAGTTTTATAAAAAAAAACTATAGTTTCTTGCAGAATTAGTAAGTATATAGTGAAAACCTGCGCGTGAATAACCAGATAAGCATAACCAATGAAGATTTACTCACATGTAAAGCTTCAAGTTTCTCACCAGCCCTGTGCTTCAATTCGTCCATAGCAAGCACCGAGAGACGCAAGTCGGTGGGTTTACACCGTGGACACTGTTAATTCATATTAGAACCTTAACCTTTGCTCACAATTCGGCCTAGATAACTCGGTGACCAAAATAGACATTTATGTCATAACTATTACACGAATATACATTATTAGCGGTGACAGAACACAAAATTGTTTAGATTGGCATATATTTTCAATAATGTTTCAGTTATAAATATTTGGAATACTGAAGGAAACAAAAATTTTTACCTTATCCAAACATAACCCCTTTTTCGTATTTATTTCATAATTTCGACTTTTGACATGTTGTACAAAAATCTTAACAGATGTCACTGTCATTTGTTGTGGAGTTGTCAAAATGTGATTGTTATTACTTTTCAGTTTACAATATTGGCCGGCAAAGGCTTATAGATCATACAGGCTCTCTGCGATAGACCTCGATTGCCTTTATTATTTTTTTGTTTTCTTTGTTTCATTCTTTTATATTATTCATACATTAATTATAGTAATTTGAACTATTTACAAATAATAGCCATTCTTTCCGCGCAACTTTCTCTGCGTTTAATTTTTCCAGTTTTTGCAATATTTTTCATTGCAACTCCGCTCTTATTGATCGTAGCGTAATGTTATATAGCTTAAAACCTTCCTCGACAAATAGACTATGCAACACAAAATATAATTTTTCAATTCGAATCAGTAGTTCCTGAGATTAGCGCGTTTAAACAAACAAACAAACTCTTCAGCTTCATAATAATAGTATAGAATATGTACTATATTGTGTTGGTTCCTAAACTAGGTGGGAATAAACTATAACGATTATGTTAGTTTATTACCCTGAGTAATACCACAGATAACATATGGTAACACATAGTATCACTATAGGAAGCGGAACTATTTCAGGAGCAAATAAAACAAATATTTACTTATCATGTACATAAATATTAATTTAATCTTCATCATGTTGTATGACATTTTCTCCACTGTCGGCGCTTTCGTTTCGCTCTATTGTTTCTCCTAAAACTTTGTCAATCCATAATCGACTGTAAGATACCTGCAAGAAGACATTAATTATTTAGTACTTATGTATGTATGTAGCTATTTAACATTAGTTGTATTTATTTTATTTATTTATAATAACCTATTTTATTTTACTATCATCACAGGTTTTAAACTAATACAATAGCGTAACATATATATTTTATAATTACTTAGGTATAGCTCATCTATAAATAGGTATAAATGAAATTGGAGTATCTGTTTGTAATATTTGTAATATTGAAATAACCGTTTTTTACATGCATATGAATATAAACATACGGTACATATATCAAAATAACATTTTTTACAACTATTGTCTGTCTGTCTATTTGTACTAGCTAATCTAGTAGCTGATGTAATAGGGAGTAAATTAAGCTACTATAATTTTAGAAAAATTCTATTATTTTAGAAAAATTAAGTTAAATTTCACGCGGACGAAATCGCGCGTAGAGCTAGTTATAGATAAATTGGTTAGCATCTCAAATTATACCTATTTAGACCAACAGTACACTTTCATGTGCAACTTGAATAAAAATGTTCCGATTCAATATAATACTGAAAAAAAAAAGTCTCTTATACATCGTATTGTTTTAGTTGAGTAATATAATTGGGTAGGTCCCTAAGTAAATTTAGCCCAGGGCCCCACAAATTCACGATGTGCCCCTGAACATATTAGTACCTAATGTATGATGTAGATGTATTAAAACCAGTTTATCGACATAGGTACCTTAGCAAACACTCCTGGCTTCGACTTGTATGCACATTCTTCAGTTCCAGAGAACAGTGCTATTCCGAATAGTGTCCCTGCACGGTTCATACCACTGAAGTGAACTGCTGGATCACCAGTGTCGCCCTGTTTAATAATAATAACAATAATCTCAGGACAATTCACACTGCGCCATCTAGATCCAATAAAACTAGCTAAAGCTTATGTTATGGGTACTTGATAACTGATACAAATATATAGATTTTTTTATCGTAAATACAAACGTATTCAAAAAATTCATAAATCATTGACCGTGTAGGACATTTTAGCCGCTTATGAACGTCAGGTTTTTAAATTATAACTTTTTTTCAATATTTTCCAGTTCGGTATATAGATCCAATTGGGAAGAACTGGCAAGAAAATCAATTGAATTACTTTTTTTTAAAAGCCAGTTTATTTACAATGTACATTTATATAGGTGTCTATGTCTAACATTAAATTAGTGCATGATCGTTTAGTGAGTAATAGGCTTTGCTCAGTAAATATGATTTAATAAATGTTTTGAATTTATTTAAGGGTAATTCATACAAAACACACAGACTGATACAAACAATCATACTCATGAATACAATTGTTTGTGCCGTGCGAGGAATCAAACCCGCGACCATCTGAAGTAAGACGGTATGTTAAACCCCTAGACCGTCAAGGTTAAGTTATTTAGTCATAAAACGTGTGTTTTATGAATAATATATGTTGTAGTCTTGTGCTATGCCGCAATCTATAGACGACGGCCTCGATGGTGTAGTGATTTATTATACCTCTTAACTTCCGATAGTTACAGGTTCGATTCCTCGCGCGATACAAATATTTGTATTCTTGAGTATGATTGTTTGTATCGGTCTAGGTGTTTTCAATGTATGTATATTATCCATGGATTTACAAAACTGCTCTTTTAAAGAAATGTTGTTCAGAATTTAAAGACATAGATATCAGATCTGACCAGTCCCTACAAACAGTAGTAGTAGCATTCAACCATATTGTAGGGACCCTAATGGCCCGTCCCACCACGCCGCCTTCTGTTTGGACATTTAAAAGATTAACAGATTCACAACACTCATTGCCATATATATATATATATATATATAGTTACGAGACATACTCACAGCACATAGAGCGACACCCTTCACAATACTCTGCAGACACATGTGGTCATGCTGGAGATGATAGTCATTTCCATAAACTAGACGACATTCCGCCCGGGGCACCTCTCTCACGATCATCCGCCTCAACTCCTGATTTACACCTTCCCGAATTTGTCCAGATATCTGGTAAAGTTATAATAATCACCCAGAAGAAATCACACAACTCGTATCTAGTCCTAAGCTAAGCACAGCTTCTATTTTGGGTAGACTAGTCATACTAAACACTGATATAAATACTCAAATAGGGGAATGGGGGTTTGTTGGTAATGTGAACTAATATATGATATATTAGTCCACATTATTAACACATCCCCTCCCTCCAGGCCAGGTCGACCTCCAAGAAACCACTGTTTCTTTCTTTCTATCTCAACATGTAATTGCTGAGTGTAAGCGAGACAGACAATAACCTATTTAATTGCTTTAGGACTAGTGTCACAGTGCCAATAAAACACTATATCAGCTCTACCTGAAAGTAAGCTCTTGTATTGTTATTACGCCCTAGTACAATAGATATATAATTCGAGACTTTACTTAACATGATAATGGAATTGTGTATCTAATTGCGCTAACGGTATACGCTGACGGGGTATCAGTGGAGGATGATAAGATGAACATGAAAATAGGCTTTCATTCAGATTTCATTTTATAAAAAAAAATACGATATTACCACAGATCCATATCCTGTGACAATTGTCTCCCCAAACATTGGTGGGAGATCAGCATCTGCGACCGCCAGCGCCACTGGCTGCATCCGACTGCTTGGTGTTATTGCCATGTTTAACTGTAATACAGAGTTTCGAAATACATATATTCTTTATACAAAAAAAAAATTAATCGCTTTTGAATGTTCAATTAAATTCAACCATAATTTATTTAAGATCTAGTAAGGCTGTATACAAATAACATTAGACAAACAATATTAATCTATTCTCAATTTGACCACAGACTAATGAATAAACAAAAGAGTGTGTCAAAAAAAGGTTCGACTAGTGCGTGTAGTGTTTTTTATTATATTTATTTTATACCCCGTAAGAAATTACCGTGAAGATGAACAGATTAGAATACTTTTCTAACCTTAACCATAGCGAGATTGTGCTCCGGGTAGTACAGGTCCATTCTGTACTCTGGATGTGTTTGGATCTTCGTAACTGAAAGTATTTGACCGCCGAAGTCTCGAAACACTGACCCTATACGTACGGACACTTCTTCTTTTGTAACGCTGGAAATTAATTAGATCTTAATAATGTTATAAAGTAATAATAAACAATACTATAAAGTCTATAAACGCGAAAGTTTGTGAGTATGGATGTTTATTACTCTTTCACGCAAAAACTACTGGACGGATTTTAATGAAACTTTATAGTTTATGCATCAGAATAACACATAGCCTATGTTTTTTTATTGAAATTTAACCGCGGGCACAGTTAGTAGGTACAATATATTTTCATTAAATACTAGTGGTGCCAGCAAAGTCATTGGTCTAAACATTTGAACAGCTCATCTATATATCTACACATACTTACTAGTTGTCCCTAAATTTCCACCCATCTCCCATCAACCCTTAATTTTTATTATCGACTAGCTATTCCCGCGACTTCGTCCGCGTGGAATTTAACGTTATTTTCTAAAATAAAAGATTTTTCAAAAATAAAATTAACCTAATTCTGTTCCGCAGCTATCCTTTACAGCATCATGAAAGTTGGACAAATATATTTATGTAAATACAAATTGTAACACCCTTGGTTTTTAATAAATTAAAATAAAATGAAACCAACATAATATATGTATACCTAGCTGTACCCGCGACTTCGTCCGCGTGGAATTTAACTTTATTTTTCTAAAATAACGGTACCCTAAGTTACTCCTTATTACATCAGCTACCTGCCAATAAAAGTACCGTCAAATCGGTCCAGCCATTTCAGAGTTTAGCCGGAACAAACAGACAGACAAAAATTGTAAAAAAATCATATTTTGGTGTATGTACCTTTATATTTATACACAGATAGTAAAAGACGGTTACTTCATTACAAACAGACACCCCAATTTTATTTATATGTATAGATTTTATATGGTAAAACAACGTTTCCCGGGTCAGCTACCTATTTATATATATTGTTTATATACAACGTTACTTACTAGTCAAAACACTGCGCCGCCGTGAGCACCCACTGTTTACCCACCAGTGCTCCGCCGCACCAGTGCTTACCGTGTAATCTGAATAATAATATTATTTATTACACATACTACAAATCTTTACATAACTAACTAACTTTTAAACTACGCAACGGATTTTAATTCAATTATTGGCAATAGGTAGGCAAAAACACTGATTCAAAAAGAAGCTTGTTTTCTTATGGATGATAATGGTGCATCCTGCGCTAAAGGTTTACGCTGAAGATGAACATGCGTCAGTTAGACCATCTTGGTTTGTTTGCCATTATTTATTTATTTATCCGAAACAATATAAATTGTGTAGGATAACAACAAGGCCTATAACATAATAGCAACTTAAACAGTAAATTTTGATATGTCAGCAAGCATAGTACACATTATTTAAATTATTAATCGGGTCTTCACACGAATAATGTTATGGCAAATAAAAGCTGACTACAGTGCCAGCTCGTGACCACGGCTAGTGCAACCTAGTCGAAACGTCGAGAGAGGTAAATACCTTTATTTGCCATAAAATTATTCGTGTTAACACCCGGTTAATAATTTAAATAATGTATATTAAACACGAAAGTTTAAAATTAACTAAGTATAGTATAATAGGTCAACTAAAGCCTTTATGGTCATCATTATATGCAATAGTTATCTAAGGAATACTAACACCTATTCAACAAAATATGGTAAAAAAATATGAAATAATCTGTATTCAATTCAAACTCAACACAAGCACTTTTGATAGTCATATTTTTGATTCTCTACCAGAGTGGTAGAGCGCAAGAACGGAACGCAGACTCGTCACAAGTAGAATGAGCAAGAAACTTGTGTGTAGAACTTTGAATAGTTTTTTTTTTATATAATAATTAATTTATTAATAGTTAGTAATTACGCTGAATATTACTACGCAATATTATCTTATTTTTGATATTACCTAATAGACACGGTGTAGGGATAATCTTCTAGGCACACCAACCCTGTTTCCGTAGTCAATCTTTTTCTCCGTACATGTGTTAGATCTTCCTCCTTTTTGGGCGGGAATTCACATTCCAGATCGGTCTTAGATGTTGTGATTGCTGTAAAATTACTTATTAAGGCTGCTGGTATGCAATAGGTCAGTCGTCAAGTTGCTAGATTCGATAAACATTAGTCGTATTACAGCAACCTGAAGACCAACTGTATATCCTTAACCTGGGCTCAAATTACTTAATAGATTTATATTATTTTGTTTAATGCCACTGGCATGTGTTAGACCACAAATATTGTGCGGAATTTATGTAAGCTACATAATAAATTTCTGAATGCATCCTGTTTGACAAAGAACAGGAAGAACAATTTGTAGGTGTATGGGAAAATAGAATTGTTATTTTTAATATTTTCATTACAATTTCTTCTTATTTTCTCACTTTTTAACCTTACTTTAACTTCTACAAATATTTCAAAACCAAAGTTAGCCAAATCTGTCCAGCCGTTCTCTAGTTTTAGCGAGACTAAGAAACGTCAATTCATTTTTATATATAAGAAAAAGATTACGGATGTTCTTACCACTATTAACGAAACACCTATTGATACTAACTATTACTGTAAAAAATACTAAAAGACTGTTATGCACTGCCATTTTCAATATCATCTATCCATTACACGAGTACTAACGCAATAATAATATTTTTTCTAATAATCAGATTACTTAATAGCCAAGTTTCGAGCAGTACAACTAAGCAAAGTTAGTCAGACTATTGTTAAAAAAGAACAATGCTGTAATTTCTAACAACATAACAAACATTGTTAGTTCAACATGCGTTTGAAGTGTTTAAAAACAAATGCTACTATTTGGGGTTAGTTACAATATAGGTACCTAATAATTGTAAAGTAGGACAGTATTTACGTTACGTTGGTAAATGTATTATAGATCAGCTTCGAGAGAAAAAAAACGCATTACAAACAATAGGATTAGTAATACAAGCATTAAAAAGCAACAGAACGTCAAAATATAAAGTATTATGATACTTTATATTTATATAAAATATAAAAAAACTATCGAAAATGTTAATAATAATAATAATAGCGACCCGTTCCATTTTCACACGGATGCGTTACAAATTTTGGAATTTCTCGGCTTTATTTATATACGCATGTATCATACATATAAACATTCCTCTTGAATCATTATCTATTGTTGAAAACTGCATTAAAATCCGTTGCGTAATTTAAAAGATAGGTATGTAAAGATATCATAAGATATCAATTCACACAACGCCATTTAATCCCAAGCTAATCTGAGCTTGTGTTACTAGTATTAGACAACTGATATAAATACTTTTTTAGATGCTTTTGTTTTTGAAAATACATACATATTATAAAAGGGTGTTTTCTACCCAGACCGACACGAACAATCATACTCATAAATACAAATGTTTGTACCGTGTAAGGAATCGGAAACGCGACGGAACTAAAGCGCTGAATCTGCTAGTCTACGGAGGCGTTGAGTACTTACGCCTCCCATTTTCATTGTTGATAATCTTCTTCAGTGAACGCACAGGTAAAAGTAAACACTTCCAAATAAAAGATGTGGGTAAAATATACCATCTAAATTCAAACCTATTCTGAATACAATAGTACATATAGTGAACTAGCTTTTGCCCGCGGCTTCGCTCGCGTAGTTGTAAATATTATTATGAATTAGGTGCAATTTTTATGGCTTTACTTTTGTTTAGCGTGTGTAAAAAATTAGGGCCTACAAAATCTAAGAAGATTTATACAAACAATCATACCCTATTTTATCCCATTAGGGGTGTAATTTATAAAAAAACCTTTCTTAGGGGATGCCTACGTCATAGTAGCTTTATGCATGGAATGTTGCTCAGCCCTATCGGATTTAAATTGACAAAGTTTCATTCAAACTTTCATCCCCATTTTATCCCCTTGGGGGTAGAATTAATCAAAATCCTTTCTTAGCGAATGCCTACGTCATAACTTCTACCGGCATGCCAAATTTCAGCCCGATCCGTCCAATGGTTTGGGATGTGCGTTGATAGATCACTATGTTAGTCAAGTTATTGACAAGTACAACATTTGCAGTTCATAAGTTTATTTGTTCTACTAACGTGTTATCTTTTCTATAGAAGAAACTACAATGGCCAATAAAACATACTATTTGGTTTTATATTACTTTTACACTGCATTTGTCTGACAAATCCATATTACAAACTTAATTTCTTTATAATTTTCAAGCGCATACGCTAGCAATTACTTATGAATACGGTCTTGTAAATAGTTTACTCGCAAATATGGTTCGTCTTATATTTTATCTACATTTTGTACTATTGATGTATATTATACTAGGTTGTGATTCATATAAAAGTGTAAAACGCGATGATTTTATTAGTGACGAGAATTCTCAGAATTCTGAAGCCAATGAGTTGGATAATGAGATTATTAATAACAATAAGAATATCACATTTAATAATGAGAGTCTTGATGAAGATACGAACGATACGACAGGTCATTTTCATTATTGTTTCATTTAGTTTTTTTAAATATTAGTGAGCAGTGTTTTGTAGAGATAAAAAAAATATAAAACAGTCCAACCTTACTAACCTATATTGTGCTACTTCAGAATGAATGTCTTTTTTATTTCTCTTCTTTTATTTTTATCATCATATCGGTGTACCAATTTTACTGATAACAGTGTTTTTTGAAATCGGTAGTTTTGTTTTTTTATCCATTACAATCCTAAAATCGAATACTTTTTGTTTACAGTAATAGAAAAATAGTTTAGATGATATTACTTAATGAATTAACTAATGACACAAAAAATATCATAAGCAGAAAAAGTTTTCTTTTCAATAGCTCGAAGCAAATGAAAGCATACTCTGATCAAATGCGTACATTATTGTTATTTATTCTGAATGGCAAACAAGATGGCGATCTCCCTGACGGTAAGTGGTAAGCGCCCGCGTCATTTTGCATGAGTTAAAATATCTAAAAGAACCAATCAATCTATCGCGAATGTCTGTCTACTCTGTACTTATTTTACAGGTAAATTAACAGTCGAGTGTGGTAGTGAGTACCAGGATATCATAGAAGAACGTCAGTGTAGAGACAACCTCGACTACTACCCATTTGCTGTGTCATTACAGAAGAAAGGCGCACACTACGCAACCGGGACGCTCATAGACAAACGGTGGATATTAAGCGCTGCTATAGATTTCTACAAGTAAGTTAAAGTGTAAAAACAATAGACCTATATATGTACCAATTAAGCTTGACGAAATGCAGTTTATTTATTTTATAAATAATAGTTACGTAAAAAATGGAAAAAAATATTATTTCTCATATCTTATCTCCAAAGTTTTCCACATTAAAAAATATTAATTAACTAGTTTAATATTACCTTATCTGTGGTGTGGTGGTAAAAATACTGTCTGACAGTATTTTTAAGAAGTTATGTTTTGAAAAAACATTTGAAATCTTCCACAAAATTATAGAAAATTAAAATCTTTCGAAACATGTTTCGAGAAAATATTCTAATTTATCTTTTTATACAAAGCTTCCCCAAAAATCACAGAATATAAAACAAAATGCAAAATTTTTACGTCGTTCATAAATTTGGCGATAATTTTTATATGTTGGACTTTTTTACTCTTTTCAGCGTAAGAGAATCTATAAAATTATTTAGACCTAGACTAGGATCTGTGAATTGCAAACGAGGTGGCATTTTCGTACCCCTCAAAGCTGTGGAGATACATCCTTCTTATGTACCAGGGAGACCCAGTTTCGACTTGGCACTCCTCAGGATCGCGTCTCCGGTGGACTACACGGATTATATCAGGCCAATACGTTTGACACAAATTACTCATAAAGTACTGGAGGCTAAGTTTTTGACTACGTACTGGCCTAGATTAATTGTAAGTATTTTTAAACACTTTTAAATTTTGTCGCAGTTATACAATGTGATAAAGTTGTTTCGTAATTGGCGTTACGGCGAGACATTGTGTGTCCGTGCTGTCAATAGCCCCAAAGTCATCGCAAACGAGCCATGGCATCTGCAGCGACTTCCATGGAGTGTGGCTACTTTGTAGTTTTTGCAAGTCAACTGGTGTTGTTTTTTGTGGAAATAAATTATTGAACTAAATAAAATTTAAAAAAATTTATCTTTTCTTTGCTACGCACAACCACACTGTGGAATTACCTTCCAACAATGGTATTTCCGAATTGATATGTCATTGAAACCTTTAAAGAACTTACTCTTCTTAAGAAGTAGATATAGTGCTTGCAATTTCCCTGGTGTTGCGAGTGCTGATGGATGGCGGTGATCACATACCATCAGGTGAGCCGGTAGCTACATTTTCCCTTATGCTATAAAAAAATGTGATGTGTACACTGGCTGAGCTCTAGTGGACGGTAGAGCATGATTTATTTACTATCCGTACTAAATGATAAATATTAATGATTTGTTTTTGTAATGGTTAATTCAATGAAATTAAATTTAAAAATATTTATTTCTCCTACACTAGCATTTCATTAATTATTTGTGCTGATTTATCTTTAATATGAACTCACAATTAGCCACATTTTATATCGACAAGATTTCGCTTTTTAGATAAAAAATATAAATATTAAATTACAAATGAAAATATGTAATATTAAATTAATATCCACCAGGTAAATGGCCATCCTCTGCCACCATCCGCTAAAGAACGAGTGAAACAGTACAGCATGAGGGTGTCAATACAGAGGATGGTGCCGTGGGACGACTGCCGCGAGCTGATGATGCATAGGAATCTGGTGTTAAACGACTCGTGTTTATGTCTGCTCCCGATTAAAGTACACCATAGTAATTGTATGGTGAGTTAAAAAAAATACATCTTTGTACAGGAGGAAAAATAGATCTATCTGTCTTTCTAGGAGTTTGATAAAATCTTAACATTTAATTATATTTACAACTGTACCTCGCATGAATTCGGTCGGGGATCTAAACTACAACGGCCTGAACCGTGGTTCGAACTTTTAGCGCAGTCCTCAGACTAAAGTGAATGCCAACTCATTGCAACAGTTGAATGCGAACTCCTGACTAACGGATATGCCGTTAGTCAGGAGTTGGCATTCAACCGTTGCATAAGTTCTTCCACAGGTTTGCAATGCCCCCACCTTCTGCGAAGAAGTTATTTCGCAGAAGGAGGCGGCGGAGAGGGACCGGGAGTATGATCCTTCCGCCCCAATGATCCACCGCCGGAGGACCAGGCGTAGACGTCGGGACGAGTCCAACTCCGTCCCGAGTATACCCCCCACGGGGGCCGGGGTGCATTCCTTGAGGGAGGCACCACCCCACAATCAGACCCCTGGAGGCGCGCGTGTGTACCCACGCGCCTCCACGAGAAGGTAGGGTGCAAGTCATAGCACCCTAACCAGAGAGAGGGGGCCTGTCCTACAACATCTACAGGACAGGCCAAGCCGCCGAAGTCTGGGTTGAGTGCCAAGTGCGAACCCCGGACTTCGGCCCACGGCACCTCGAGGTATACCGTGTGGTTTTTTAGTGGATACGAGTCCCACACACCACCTCGCCATCCCTCCGGCGGGATGACGGTCTTGTTGAAGATTTTTCCACACGTTAAAAAAAAAAAAGGTTTGAAATGCCCTCTGCAGTCCTCTATATCGTCCTGTGTAGTTTTAATGGCCAGCTATGGTCAACACAATATATTTAAGATATCAATAAATTATAGGTGAAATATGCTTTAATATTCATTAAGGAAATATATATATATGTTCATTTTCTCAGCCCGACGTTGGCGCACCAGTTATCGCCAAGGACGGATTGTGGGGCATCACTTCTGGATGGACTCCTACAGATTGCTTCGTACGTCCCACTCTGACTATCTTCACACGTCTCTCCTCATCAATTGTCCGCTCCTGGTTGGATCCGCTGCTTATAAATGTGTAATTTAATTTTAATCCAACTTTAAATAAGAACGACGGCCGCAATGGTCCTGTGATATAGTATACAGCTTTATTTCCGATGGTCGCGGGTTCCATTCGTCGCACGGTATAAATATTTGTATCCATGAATATGATTATATCGCTCTGGGTATTTTCTTTGTATATTATGTATGTATTTACATTTAGTATTTATATAAATAATCAGATACATTAATGTTTTTGTTCAATACACACAACGCCATGTATTCCCTGACTAACTTACCAACTGATATAAGTTATATAGTATCCATCACACAACGCCATCTAGTCTTAAGCTAAGCAGGGCCAGCTTGGGACTAGAGGGCGTTGTGTGAATTGTTTAGGGTTATTATTATAATTAAGAACGCTTTCGAGACTATTGTAATTTTTATATTAAGGACAGGCCCAGCCTAGTTTAGAAAACAATGGCAACTGTGTGTACAATATACATTTTGTTCTAACAATATACATAAATACAAGTGCAATACAAATGTGTAACGAAATTTTGATGATTTTTTATTCAATCAACCATTATCTGTCCTTCATGAACAACTTATAATGCTTAAATTGTGTTAATAATAATTTACTCTGTAATAAAGATATTTTTTAATAAAAAATTGAGAATTTTTTATCTCTTCGTAATATTTTTTTACTAAATAGATTTGTACGGTAAACAATTCATTTATCTGCTCCTTGCCATAATTGCTGTAGCGTAAGTAATTTACTATTACCACGTTGTCCAGGCGGCTTGGCATATTAATTTATTTTGAGATTTACTCCTCTTGCACTGGGCTTGCCTTCTGAAAACCTGATAAATAAATTATGAACTGATGGCACATGTGTTGCTACTGCGTCACCAAATGGAAAAAGTCGTAACGATAGCGAAAAAATAACTGGCAGGTGTCACGATGTCATTTACACAGTATTTAATTGCTTACGTATTTCAATAATATTATCATGTACACCTATATACGAGATGTGTTCAAATAGTGGTATAGGTGACTTCATATTTTTATGAAAAATTATTCATTTACTAGCTGTACTCTCTAATTTATAGCCTATTTGTTGTTCTGATGTCTAAGATATATTAGTGTAAAGTTACATCAAAATTAGTTCGTTAGTTTTTGTGCTAAAGAGAAACAAACATCCACCCATCCCTTGGATACCCTTTTAAGCAAATCGGCGTCATCGCTGACGTTATTCAAGAGCTCATGAGCAATGCTCATGCGGTTCTTCTCATCAAAATTCAAATTTATGAACAAATTCAAAACATTAGAAAAAATTGCATAACACGAGCCGACTGACATGCCAATGTCTTCATCGTCTTCTGTTGTATCAACAATGTGAGCATATCAATGGATCCAGGGTGAGGTTAGTCGTCGGATAATCTTCTGGGCCATCTTCTTTTTGTAAATTTTATATACTTCGAGCAGACTCAGCGTACATATCAATATTTCAGTTGTTATACAGTACTTGATTCTGTTTTACACAAAATTTGATGCAAACTTTTTGCTCCACTTTTTATAATAATAGAAAATCGCCAAGTACAATAAAATAAGCATAACATTTTTATCTATAAAAAACAAACTAAGTATGGTACGTAGTTAAACTGGAAATATATATTCGGGACATGTGTACCAACACAACAACAGTAAAAATTCCAAAATCGAATGTACATTGCCCGCGAAACTTGAACTCTCGTTACTTTTGAACACAGCATGTATATACAAACTATTGAGATAACGAGAAATTATTTGTTCAAATATAATAAAATAGTAGCGACTATGTAAATTTGTCTGTATTAATAGCGTGCCTACTGTTTGTGTTTGTATTGCGTTTTTATTTGTGCACACATCACGAGTTAAAAACAAACAACGTCGAGTTCAATAGTCTAATTTTGTAAATTGATCGTAGAATAAATAAGAGAACATTAATCGATCCCTGGGAACACCAGTTGTGACAACAAAACATGGATAATCTCTTTCTTTTTCTTCAACATAGAACAACAATGGATTAGAGAAATTTTTAAGGAATAATTTATATTTAGCTTCATTGATTTTTTAATTCACATCTATTTATGTTGTAAATTACAAAATCCCGTTATCAGTGGAGTTTGCCTTCAGCCGCTCCATAAGTCCTCCGGGTTTGGAGAACCATCTACACTCGTCCCCTGTCGTTCGGTGAAGCTGTAAAGGCCAGTTGCGACCAACAGCATTAGTAAAGTAAAAAAAAGGCATGTGTCAAAGTAGACCAAACCAGATGTAACAGACCGTAAAAATATTTAGAATAAAAAAAAGTAAACTAATGAAACTAGATCCTGTCATACTGCTAAATCTTTTGGAAAACGTGAACAGAATGTGTATGGGTTAATTCTTTTGTTTGAAAAATATATGAGCTCCAATTCCAGTATGTTTTTGTAACAATATTTACTATTCTTGTTTATCTTTTGTTTTCTTTATTATATTTATAACTATTTGCGGCTTTTGTGTACTGTTAATTAATTCATGTTAAGACCCACTATTTTATTATTAACTATGTTATCTGTGACCGACATTAATAATATTGACATAAAGTATGACAATGTGTGCAGGGAATGTACTTTTGTGTAATTGGAATGCTAAACTAACTTGACGATAAGTGGTAACCGTCGTCTATATACATAAATAGCACTACGGATATCACGTTATCATGTGACTTGATATACCACTCATACTTTAGCATTCCAGTGGATTAAGATGGCATGCCTCTTCTCCTATAATTACACTGCTTAATCTGCCCTATAAACGAAACACTTATTACAAAGCACACTACTTGGCGGCTGGTATAGATAATACTGAGGTCCCAAGCTAAGAAGTGCTTGTGCTAGATAACTTATAGGGATACTTAAATATATATTTTTTTATGTACATATCATTGCCTTGCCTTTATCCCATTATTTGTGGTCGTCGCAGTATGTCATTCTCTTCCACTGCTCTCTATCTGAACATACTCTTCTTTTATTCATATCATCTTTCACACAATCCATCCATCTTTTCTTAGGGCGTCCTCCCTTTACATCCATAACTATGTTGGGTCGACCTCCACGCAGGAACCTTCTATGGGAACCATCGTGGTTAATACCTAGTTATCCAATCACGATGGGCAGTCTGACCTAATTACTACTATAGTTTAACCGTTAAACCAACCAATTGAATAGTAAGAATACTTAAAACTAAAGTGGTTGTAAATATAATAATAATATCTCAGGACAATTCACATAGCGCCATTTAGTCCCAAGCTAAGTAGACCTAGTATTAGACACCTCTTTAAATACTTAAAAATTTTTTTTTTAATGTAAATATACACAGAAAACTCCCAAAGTCATACTTACAAATACAAATTATTGTACCGTGCGAGGAATCGAAACCGCGACCATCGGAAGTTAAGCGGTGTGCTTAAGCGCTAGACCACCAGGGCCGGGAATTGTTTTATTCTAAATAAATGCATATCTAATCTCATTACAGTAACAATTAAATAATAAACAAGCCAGTAAGCAGTTAGGCATTATACAGTAGGTACTTATTAGTGGTTGAATCTGTTGTCAGTTTTTAGCAAAGGATTTAATTTATGTTTTGTATATAATTAAACAATTAAAAATTTTCTTTAGAAATGAATGACTACTTCGTACGCGTGGAATAGAGATCTTGACCGAATAAAGAAAAATATTTGATAATATATCAAAAAAAAGCAAAGGAAAAACGTTTCGTCATCAATGATGATGCTTCAAAAATGATGGCAAATTTTGAATTATAATTAATTGACAGCTTTAAAAATGACGATACTTTCATCTCCCATTTGTATCTCTTACAACTCTATTTTATCGCATTAAAAAGTATCCTATGTCCTTTATCAGTGTCTAGACCATCTGTGTACCAAATTTCATTTAAATCGGTTCCATAATTTTGGCGTGTAAGCGCGACGAACAGATAGTGTTACTTTTGAAATATTACTATGAATTTCACAGTTAAGTTTCTTTTAGAATAGAATAACTTTAATAATTTGCTTTAGAAAGATTAATATGAACAACATTTTGAACAGCGTCAATGATAAAAAAAATAAACTTGGTTTGATTGGAATTTGAGTGACATAAATTATTTAAATATTTACCTTAAATATTTATCTTATACGTAGTAAGAATATTGTAAACTTTATGTATGGATACCTATTTCATATACATAACTACATTGTACGGTAGGCATATGATCATATCACGTTTTAGAGTAAATATTAATTAGTATTGTGTTTGTAGAGAATGCTCTATTTTAAGAAAGTTTGTTTATTTAATATTATATACTATCTATATAATAGGGCTGTACTTAATAAGCATATTTGTTATATAATATCATAAATTAATATAATTTTAATAAACATTCTGAATAAATTTATTAAATCTGACTTCTAAAATTTCTGATTGGAATTTACAAATATTATTAAAAAAAAATATTCCAATTATTTCAATAAAATCCGTAAAATTTCTAAAGAGTAAATACTTAAAAATAAAATGATTTATTAATAAAAAAAAGAATATATATACTTAAGACTTTGTTTTTCAGTTGATAACAATTAAATAATAAAAATCTAAATTGCCCATGATTAATCCTACAAGTTTGGATAAATATCACTAATAAATTAATTCATAAAGCCACTCAAATTACAACCAAACATTTTTTTATAAATGCACACCCCTAAGCTTCTTTATTAACAATATAAGGCTTATATAAAAGCACGTCGGAATATAACTATCTTATTTTATATTCGTGACAAAATGGGTCCACATTTAGCATTTAAACTTTAATTAAATTTATATATTCTTATTAAAAATTATACAAGTTATTGTGAAATCAATATACATTACAAAAATGCCAGCTAACAGTGATTTACCGAGGAAACCAGGGAAAACAATTATGCAATGGATATTAGCCATACTAGGTAATTATATTGTTTCAATTATACAACTGACTATTAGTAATTTGTACTTTTGTGATTCCTAGTAGTTAACACCAGATCGATCCCCATCAGACCTGAGCTAAGGTTCGAATCCCTAACGGCATCCTTAGACTAAAGTCGTATCCGTCAGGCAGGAGTTGGCCTTCAGTCGCTCTATAAGTCCTTCCGCAGATTTGGGCTGCCATCTATACTCGCCCTGTACCTTTCAGTGAAGCTGTAAAGGCCAGCTGCGGCCAACAGAATCAGAATAGGCATTGATTATACAAAATATCTATGATCACACTGAAACCAGTTTGTCCAAACCATTATATACAGTGATTATATTCCTATGAAGAGTTGTAAAAACATATTTTCTTTTGTTGTTTTTTTCCTCTAGAATGTAACGTTAAATAACAGCGAAAGGGAAAATGAATGAAATAATAACTAATAAAAACTTTATAAACCATTTGACACAAAGTAAACTACAATATGCATCATGTAAGAGATTTTTGAAAAATTTCAACGAATGGCAAGCGTCAAAATTTCGGTTAACGGGCAGTAAAATACAAATTTTGCTAATAATATAATTGAGGATGAGAACTTAGTTATGAGATTGTATCTGTCAAGTAAGTTTCCTTGCAGTTTTATAGTTGACTCTATTCCAATTTGTTGTAATATTTTATATTTAAATAATTAATGCTTATTTCTACAATACCCTACCAGGATAACATGAATTACTAAGAGTTAATTTCATTACAGTCAACACTACAATGTTCACGTACGGACTACAAGCCGGTTGGATCTCGCCCATGACAAAAGTATTGCAATCAAAAACATCGTCAGTAGTAGACCAACCAATATCTGACGCCAGTTTGACATTGATCGCAAGTACGATGCCCTTAATAGCGGTATTGGGAGTACCTCTGTGCTCTTATTTGGCAGATAGATACGGAAGGAGAGTAGGCGTTCTTGCAGTTGCCGTACCGCAAGCTGTAAGTTCTATATTTCTGGTTTGTAAATAACTAGCTGTGCTGAGGGTTTCATCCGCATGAAATTGATTGTGCTATTTTGATATATAAGTCGTGAAAGAGTAACAAACATCTATTCATTCATCCACACTCACAAACTTTCGTTTATAATATTTATGAGGTTTTTGCAGTCAATAGATTTAAGCCTTATTAAGGTAAGCAGAGGTAGTCTGTACAAAGATGTCAGCGTGGGTACCTCAGTCTCACCTATTTCATCTGCCAAGCATGTTGCTTTGTAAGCTGTTTCGGTTGCAGGGCCAGATTTTGCAGAGAACTTACAAGTTAAGAGTCACAACATCTTAGTTCTATGAAATGGCAACGTCAGTAAATCAAATTAATCGTATTTTGCGAATTGGAGTATGAGATATAGCAGTATAATTACAGGGTATGGTAACATGATAGCTTAGTTCATAGAAATGGTAAAGCATGTGATTCCACGGGCATCACAAGTGAACGACGGCATATCAGTGATGCACTTCAAGGATGTTGGTTGCCATGGTACATTGCTATATGTATATACAGTTTACAGACTATATCCTGTCTAGTCCGGCGGCGTATTTCCTCTCCAATATAAATGGGGATCAAAATTACGATGTTCTGATCCGATGTTAGAACCCCTAGCGCTGCCCTCAGACTAAAGTCGTATCTGTCTGGCAGGAGTTGGCCCCCTATTGTTCTATGAAACTGTAAAGGCCAGCTGCGTGCAACAGCAGTAGAAAAGTTAAAAAAAGTTAGCTTATTTGTACAATTATTAACATAAATTAAAATCAAAGTTACTTGTGTGGCTTAGAACTATGCAAAGAAATAGATAGGCGGCAATTTTTCTTCATACTACTTACAGATAACGTTAATTTTCAGTTATGCTGGATTATCAAAATATTTACAACGAGTGTGCCTGGACTCCTCATTGCCAGAATATTTGCTGGTATAGCAGCTGGTGGCTGCTTCTGTATCACCCCCATGTACGTGAAAGAAATAAGCCAGGATAACATAAGAGGTCTGCTGATATCTCTAATGGGACTGAATCAAAATTTGGGATTCCTCTTCATGTATACTATGGGCGCATTCCTGAATTACTATACGGTGCTATGGATTGTGGTGTGGTTGCCATTGGTACTGATAGTGTTACTTATAAAGGTCCCTGAGTCGCCAGCTTATCTAATCAAATTGGAGAAATACGAGGTAAATATGAGCTTATAGGTAAACGTAATGAGTAAACCCAAGAAACATATGCAGTTAATTCAAAACTCACTTTCCATAAAGCTGATTTATTTATCTATCCTGTTTATTCTTAGGCGGCTGCATCTAACATTGCTCTCCTTCGAGGTCGAAAGCCTGACGACAAAGAAGTTGTTTATGAAATTGACTGTATGAAGAATGAAGACACGTATTTCAAATCGCTGCCTGATGTTTCCTTTAGCAGCATTTGTAAGTATTACATTTTGTTTGATATTGTTTTTAAAATTTAATTTTACTATATCTGCTATGGATACTATTCACTAAAGCCCATGTATTTAGTAGATGAATGTCATAAAATGCGTTGCGAGGTCGATGATGTCTCATGCTGTCTTGCCTCTATACTCACTTACTAAGCATGCTACTTTAAGTACAGAAATCAATAAACCACGTGTAAGATTTAATAGAATGTTTCAAGATGTATTATAATACCTACGTGTTATCATATAGAATAAGCTGAGGAATTCAAAGGTTTATAATGCATCCGAGCGAAGCCGCTAGTACAATGATGAAATAACTTTATTTAATTTAATGTTAGTAGTTTTTATGTTCCTGAAAGAAGAGTTTTTTTTTGCAGTAAAAACCAAGCCATGGCGAAAGGGTCTTTTGTTGCTCCTATTGCTGATTACTGTTCAGGCGGGAAATGGATGCTTTGCTATAATAACGTATGCGTCCAGCATACTTGTTGGATCTGGAGTGACCCTCAGTCCTGATATACAGACACTCAGCATACCAGCCGTGATGATCATCGGCTCCGTTTTTTCTATAGCGTGTGTCGAGAAAGTAGGAAGAAAGGTGAGTTGGTAGATTTTTCTAATATAAATGGAAAGGCAAAGGAGTAAGTGGACATGAACAGCAATATGGTCATCACGTTATCATGTGCCATCCGTGATACATGTCATGCCTTTTATTCTGTAATTTCACTGCCTAATCTGATCCTACAACCTCAACAGTTTACGAAGAAAGCTTGGAGACATGTTTGTCTACTAAGATTTATTGCCTAAATCACTGAATTGATTATGACGAATTTTAGTGCAGAGTTATACGAAGCCCTGGTTATAGGCAGCTTTTTGTGGTGAATATACAAATTGAGTGAAATAGGTTATATAAAAGTCATTGTAATCGAGAAATAGAATACACAAAGACGCCAATCATCCTCCTTCCAATTCAACGAGGATTAAAATTACGACGGCCTGTGCCGAGGTTCGCTCCCCTAGCGAAGTGCTCAGACTAAAGTCGTATGTGTCGGGCTGGAGTTGGCCTTCATCCGTTTCATAAGTCCTCCTCCAATGAAGCTGTAATAGTCAGGTATGACCAACAGTATTAGAAAAAATAAAAAAACAATGCAAAGAATCAGCAGAATACTTGCACAGAATAAATGTGAAAAGGGTTGGCAAATTACCATGTGATACAATATTTAATAGCTTTACATAGGTAACATGTAATATATGTTCTTACGTTCTTTAATCAACTACTGGATGTTTTTTGTTTCAATCAACATTCTTTTTTATGTTTCAGTTATTAATGTCATCAACATTTGGCATAACAGTAGTATCGTTCCTGTGTCTTGCCTCGATAATTCTCGTGCAGCACCAGGGCGGCAGCGTTCCGGGCTGGTTGTCCGTGATGTCGATAATAGCTGCTGTATGGGCATACGCTGCGGGAGTCGCGCCAATACCATACGTCGTCATGGCTGAAATGTTCAATTTCCAAGTTGGTATTTCTAAATATCTACTACTAGTTGACCAGCGCAACTTCGTTGCATCATACTCACTTGATATTCATCGTTATATTTCGCCGAATTTACATAATATCTATTTAAAGTATAGCCTATGTGTCATTCTGATGTATAAGCTATATTGCTTTGAAGTTTCAAAATATAATATGTTCAGTAGTTCTTATGTGAAATTGCAATAAATCTATCCGTCCATCCGTCTATCCACCAATCCATACTCACAAACTTTCGCTTTTATATTATTAGTAAGATTACAAATTTTATAAATTAATAAATATATAATTTATATTTTGCAACTTTCAGATACGAGCAAAGGTCTTGGGCTGTATAGTGACATATGCGTGGTTTATTTCCTTCGTACAGTTGTTTGCTTTCACACCGATCTCAAATGCACTGGGGGCGCACACCATGTTCTACTGCTTTGCTGGAATCAATCTTCTTGGAGTTTTTGTTACCTTAGTACTTGTACCCGAAACAAAAGGAAAAACGGTTGAAGAAATCACATTGCTTTTGGCGCGATAACCATATCTCGACGAATTTTGATCACCTAAGTGGTCTAGCAGTATAAATCACAGCTTTACTTCTTATGGTTGCGGTTTTGATTCCCGAACAATGCAAATTGTAGTTTCCATAAGTACCTAAACATTTAAGTATGTCTAAATATTATCCAGTACTATGGTTAGTACAAACTTTGGTGAGTTTGGAACTAGATGGCGCTGTCTATGAAAAATGTCTTGGATTATTTATTCTTTTATAAATAACCATCAAATTTGGGACATTTTACTAATACTACAACATATATCGTTAGGGTGTATTAAAAATCAGTGGAATAGAGGAATTCATGAGACATTTCCGCCTAACTACTACTAATTGATTACATATATGAATAAATTAAATTTATTCAACGTTAAAAGTAGATTAACGGAGTACTGGAGTAAAACGATAATAAACATAAAATGTACTAAATAGTATATCAACAAATGTATGTAATAATACATAAATGTATAAACTAGAAATAGCTCTAATGGTAAAGCTTAATTTTGTATACATCGTATCCTAAGAAATAACTTATTCTAAAAATTGTAGATAAATCATTTTATATTGACTTGTAAAAATGCCTGTAAGGGCCTACTTACAAAAATAAATATTTGAATTTAAATTTGAATAGTCATAGAATCAAATTATACTTGCTGGGCCTATATCAGAAATGTAAAAACTTCTGATATTATTAAATTACCGGATACATATGACCGTATGGTAACCGTGGATAATGCAAGTGATATCTGCTACTTTACAGTAGGTAAACCAAGTTTAAAGTCAGTCTATTTGTCATTCCTAGGTATATACTTACATAAAAAAATCTCTCGTAAAATTACTGACTCTAATATATTCATTTCTTTCTGTAAGTAAATAAAGCGCGCAGGTGAACATTGGTTCAATATTAAATTTGGCAAAATAGCTTAGTTTACGATAGACCTAAACAAAACTAAATTATGTTATTTATTTATTTTAGTTTCCAAATGTAAATAATGTTAATAAAATTAAATTTAGATTTTTTATATTTATTTTACGAAGTTTTATTTATTTCCTATTCACAATTTGTTGTCAAACACTTTGATTGGAAACTTGAGTTGAGTATATATTGTATTTTATAACAGAAAACAGCAATTTACAAATATAGTTTATTAATTAGAAATAGTACATATGTCGCAGTAAGTAATAGAAAAAACACAGAGAGCAGAATATTCCAGAGAGACGGAACAGAGTAGGTTGGTGTTTACTTAAACGCCTGCACAGATGGCGCTAGTGTTTAGTTACAACAGTATATAAGTAACTTTGATTTTTATTTTGTTATATTTCATAATGCCTACTTATTGTTGTTGTGATTGGTCTTAATAAGTGAATCTTAAAATTATTATTTATATGTTTATCTACATATTTAATCGTGAAGCAAAAACGTTCCACCCCTTTTGTACGAAAATTACTTAAATTTACACAGTATACAATTACAGAATATATATCTGCAATTTCTATGTAATTATAGTAACCATCCCTTAGATTCATCTCTGTAGTAAATACGGCTCCTAGACGTGGAAACCACACCTATCACTGTTATCCTACATCCTGATATTTATTTCATAACCTCTACCAGACTCTCATAAACAACATTTGAAAAATTGACGGCCACGGAGGTCTATCTATTTAGCACACTGTTTGATTTCCTACTAGCTGAGCCCGCGGTTTCACGCGCGTTAAATTTCAATAAAAAATATAGCCTATGTGTTATTCTAATGCATAAGCTATATTACTGTAAAGTTTCATCAAAGTTCGTTCCGTACTTTTTGCGTGAAAGAGTAACAAACATCCATACTCACAAACTTTCGCGTTTATAATAACTACCCGTGGCTACGCTCGCATTAAATAAATTATTAGTTTTTTTTAATATAAAGTATCCTATATGTTGATTCATGATCGGTTCAGTAGTTTTTGCGTGAAAAAATAACAAATTCCCGGCTTCGCCCGGGTGTACATGTATTGCATATATAAACCTTCCTAAAGAATCACTCTATGTATTAAAAAAAACTATGTATTAAAAAAAACCGCTTCGAAATCCGTTGTGTAGTTTTAAAGATTTAAGCATACATAGGGACAGACAGCGATATATATTGGATTTTGTACTATGTAGTAATGATAATATTAAGATTCCTAAATTTTGCCTGTGCTTGAAAAGACAAAATTTAGAAACATTGTATTTACGGAACTATTTGTTTGATAGTCTGCATTTGTTTTCAATTGAATACAGATGATATCATTTTATATTGAATTCCTTATTGATTCAATTACTGATTGTGTTTGTTCGAGTGCTCACTTATTATTGGCTGGTGAAGGACAAAGCACAGGAAGGAGCGGGAAATTTGAAAGTGTTTGATCTAACACACTTCTGTCCTACCGAATATACATAATTATGAAATATCTTCAAAGTTTTTTCAGTACTTTAGTAGACCATCGCGGACAAATAAGTGACAAAATTTCTACGTATTAAAATTAAGTTTTCGTATAAAAAATCGGGAAATTACAGTAAAATCCACATTAAAATCACTTATGTCGTTAAATTATTAATTAAGCTCTAATAACGGGCTACTCGAATAAATACTCCATTATACTATTGCTATTGATTAAAAACTATATATATATTGTTTTTAATCATGACTAAGGCCCTCACTGGACACAAGTTGAATAAACATTTGGCTAACTTAGGCCCGTGCATAACAAATCTGAAGATTTTGCTGATGCTGAACAAGAAACGCCACTGATTGTAGCCTACTCATGCATAAATGAAATACCGCTTGGAAAGTATACACTCTATCCTGAGGAGACAAAACCTATCGCTCTTAAGAATATCCTCAATTATTGTCCCTGACGGGTCTAGGTAGCGAACTCTAAAAAACGGCGAGCACACAGTCTAAAGCACCTGGTAATAGCCCAAACCTCTCTATAAAAAAATAATAATATATGGTTCATAGTAATAACGAATAAACAAAGAGACAAAAACAGCTACTTTACATTATACTATATATACATATAGGATACAGTTTTATTTACTTTGATAGGTTATGTGTTAATAATATTTGCATTACTACTCGTAAAACATTTGTTATTAAATTTATGTGGTACCTATATCAAAATAAACTGCACTAACTCTAAAATAAAATTTGGGAAATTCGACTTTAAATATTTAACTTTAAAGTCGAGTTACCAAAAATTATTTTATTTGAGTTAATGCACTTTGTAATTAAGCCTATATGTAAATGTCTATATAAACAAATATGTAACATTATCTGGTTATATCACGATTTAATATAAATAATAATTATTATTTGTATTGTATTTGCAGAGAATGTATATACCTACTCTCTGAGAAAGCGTTGTTTATTTATTATATATAATATTCATATGACTTATTTAGGGTTGTGCTTAATAAAAAATTAAAAGGGGTCAGGGACTGCGCCCATAACCCTAAGCAAAGGGAGAAGACAAGGAACACCTTGGGGTTTTTAGCCGGTAGGAGTTCAGTAATACTCTATGTCTGTCTAAAATCCTCATGGAGTGGTAAACGGCCAAATAGAGCGGCTATTTGGCCGTTTACCACTCCATGAGGATTTTCCTCAAGTAAAAAAAGGATGCTCAATACAACTTCTCGAATCTTATCTCAGTTGGGAGTGGTCAAAACTGTCAACTACCGATGTCGTTTACGCAACGCTTGCTATTATGATACTTCACATTTGGGTATAGAATTTTGCACAAATTAATATAAATAAATATTTTTAAATCCTTAAATAATATCAACACAAACACTACTATATATTATAGACACATACGTATGTTTGTGGTCATGTTGAGAATAGATTAATGTAGTTTAACTTTAATATTGTTTTTCTCTAGTCTTCCTGTAAGACAAATTAATAATGATCGAATTTTAACAACTGGATGCCCACTAGTTTTATGTAAAATAGTGACAGGTGCAAACCTACCACTGTTTCTCGGATTAATTTTGTTTTATTTTTGCTTCTATTACTGAAAAAATTGTCAAAGTAATAAGTACGGTCTCGACGGATCATTTTCTTTCTTCAGGGAGATGATTGAATCCATACCGCCGTACAATACACAAGCAAGGAATCGTACCCGCAAACATCGGAAGTGAAATGGTATGCTAAACCGCTAGACCACCGAGACCGTGTGCCACAGAAAATCGATTAGATTGATTAAGTCACAATACTGTTGTGATTGTGATTGTTAGTAATGTGGAATGATGATCTCATTGCTAGCAATATACCATATCAGGTTGACCTCCACGCGGTTCCCCCTGGAAACTAAATAAATTCTTCGTGAATTTATCACGATAGTTTCCAGGGGGTTCTTATGACAACGGGCTAACTGACCTGACCTCATACTCATCTTATCATCTTCCACTGGTGCCCCGCCAGCGTAAACCGTTAGCGCAGGCGAGAGCGCCATTGCATAATCACCCATAAAAAAACTGGTAAAAAAGAGTATAACCTTTTTTAAAGGCGGTTGACAATTTTATTAGATACACCCCTACGGCACACTAAATATTGTTTCATATACTTATATAAATACGTGATATAATTCAGTATCATATTATGATGTGTGACATAACGAGTTACTAACCGTGATATGTATCAGATGTTATTGTATTAATCAATATAAAGGTGCCTAGTAAGATATAAAATACAAAAATGTCTAAGGACAGTGATTCGTTGAGCAAACAAGGAAAAACTATAAACCAATGGATAATGGCGATACTAGGTAAAATAAGGGTAAAACCTAAATTACATCCCTCATACTTGTAAACGAGTTCTACTTGTAGGGACTGGTCTTTTTTTTACTTGGAGAAAATCCTTCATGGAGACCCGGCTGCCAGGGGAGACAGACGGGTACCTACTGTGTCATTCCTACTCACTGAAACACATCTCCACATCCATCGCCATGAGCTGGAGACGCAGATTCGAATGGCAATCCACCGCGACTCTAACGGCGGTGGCACAGTCTGTAGCGAGCCCCAACTCAGAGGGTTCCCGTTGGTACCTCCACTAGTATGGTGGAGTGAGACCGCTCGCGCGTTCGTCACTCCGGCCCTGTAGCTAGGTGGTAGTTTGTATTCACATACTTCAATTTAAAAATGTAAAGTAACAACAAATATTTAAAATCGCAACATGCAAGTTTCTTGCTCATTCTTCTTGTGACGAGACAGCTTTGCGATGAGAAGTAGAATAAAAAATATAATTATGTGTATTTAAAAGTGCTAAAACATAAGTTTATTTTATTAAAGAATTTTCTATTTTGATATTCTATGCTATTATTATATCACAAAAACCAAAGGAATCATATATAAAATATCATTGAACAATACTAAGTTAACATAAATTTATAGGATTAAATTTTATTGCAGTCAATACTACATTACTCACGTACGGATTGCAAGCTGGTTGGATCTCACCCATGACAAAAGTATTGCAATCAGAAACGTCGTCAGTAGTTGACCAACCAATAACTGATGCCAATTTGACGTGGATTGCTAGTATAATACCCATAACAGCGGTTTTTGGAGTATCTCTATACACTTATTTGGCGGATAAATTTGGGAGGAGGATGTGTGTTCTTGCAGTAGCCGTGCCGCAAGCTGTAAGTTCCATACATGTTATGTTTTCCTGTTACATGGTTTCTTATAATGCAAATTTGTTCACACATGTCGGTCTGTGTACTATTTTTTTGTGGGATAAATTATGTTATCAATTACTTGTTAATTGGTATTGTGGTATAAGGAAGAAGCAGATGATGATGATGACGGTATTGTGGTATAGTGGATATCAGTTGAGAAAATGATATTTGTATATCCATACTAATTTAATAAATGCGAAAGTAACTCTACGTTTACACCCCTAAACGTACTATTAGCAATAATACTGATAATTACCATGTGCTAAGAAGATATTTTAGGCGCTTCGTAATTATAGAATAAAAGGTTCAATTTCGTTTCTATACAATTTATAATTAATTGGTTTTACTGATGATATTTTTAGTTATGCTGGATTATCAAGTTGGTTACGACCAGTATTCTTGGTCTACTCATTGCCAGGATTTTTGCTGGCATAGCAGCTGGGGGATGTTTCTGCGTCACCCCCATGTACGTGAAAGAAATAAGCCAGGACAACATAAGAGGTCTGCTGGTATCTCTAATGGGACTGAATCAAAATTTGGGATTCCTGTTTATATACGCTATGGGAGCGTTCCTGGATTACTACACGGTGCTGTGGATTGTGGTGTGGTTGCCATTGGTGCTGATAGTGTTGCTCATAAAAGTTCCAGAGTCGCCAGCTTATCTGGTTAAATTAGGAAAATATGAGGTAAAATATCAATTACTTTGAAGTAATTTTTATAACATAAATAAATACGAAAAACTAACATAACATTGTATTTCTACCAAGTATCACCGCCTGCTTACGTGTTCAATGGGTAAAAACTGTACAACTTTCCTAATTTAAGTAATTGAAATTGCAAACTGACACCTTACAGTTTAGTATTTAGTGTTGGGATGACCTAGTAAGCAATAGTATAGTGTTGGGATGACCTATTAAACAATAATGTAATGTTGGGATGACCTAGTAAACAATAATATAGTGTTAGGATGACTTAGTAAGCAATAATTTAGTGTTGGGATGACCTAGTAAACATATGCCTGTGTCAGGTACCTAATTCATAGCACTTAATTACCAAAGAAAGAATGTATGGTGTTGGCCAGATTTACAAGACGTTATGTCCTACAGGCGGCTGCATCGACTATTGCCATGCTTAGAGGCTGGAAATCTGACGACAAAGAAGTGGTACATGAAATTGAATGTTTGAAGAACGAGGACATCTACTTCAAGTCATTGCCAGATATTTCCTTCGTCAGTATTTGTGAGTAGTTAATATTGTTCCTTACTATTCAATTTATTTATTGGGACTACATATGTAGATGATGCTGTGTGAATTGTCCAGAGATATAAATACACACAGATCAATACAAACAATTATACTCATGAATACAAATGTTTGTACCGTACGAGAAATCGGACCCGCGACCATCGAAAATGAACCGTTGTGCTAAACCTCTAAACCACTGAGTCATCAATTCGCTAAAGAATACAAAATCAGTGGGATATGACAATTTTCCTATAAAATTATTAAAATTGACATCATCAATACTAGCACCTATTCTGTGCTACTTAGTAAATAAATCGTTTATACAGGGCGCATTTCCACAAGCATTAAAAATCTCTGTGGTCAAACCAATTCACAAAAAGGGTGATAAGTTACATGCGGAAAATTACAGACCTATTTCACTATTAACAACACTTTCAAAAGTATTTGAAAAAGCAATGTACTCTAGAATAATGTCATTTTTTGGAAAATATGAAATATTAAAAGATGAGCAAAATGGATTTCAGAAGGGTAAATCCACTACGCTTGCTGCATACAAATTAATTACTACAATGATGAATTACATTGACAGCAAAGTGCCACTTACTGCCATTTTCTTTGACATGAGCCGTGCATTTGATTTCGTATCGCATAAAATATTACTAGAAAAATGTGAAAAATATGGATTAAGAGGTTTAGCCCAGAAATGGCTACAAAACTACCTAAATAACAGAACCCAATATGTAGAAATAACGACAATTAATCAAAATAAGGAGGAAAAGACATATAAATCTAATATAAAAGTAAACAGTGTAGGAGTACCACAAGGTAGTATATTGGGACCACTTCTTTTCCTGATTTATATAAATGATCTGCCAAATGTAACTAAACATATGTGTAATCTCTATGCTGATGACATTGCTTTAATAATTCCTGACTCTGCGAAAAATCTGACATTATATAACAATGACATAAATAATACAATAAATGATATTATAAGTTGGCTGACAAACAATAATTTAAAAGTAAATGTAAATAAAACACATATGATACAATTTCATAATCAATATGCAAATAATACTCATGATCTCGTCATTACTCATAATGGTCAAATTATTAATGAAACAAAATCAATAACCTTCCTGGGAATTGTTTTAGACAAAAATTGTACGTGGAAAGAACATGTCGAAACAGTCTGTAATAAAATAAACAGATTCAGTTACGCTTTATGGCGGTTAACAAAGGTTGCTGGTAGCAAAACGGCTATACTTGCTTATCACGGCTATGTTGCTTCCAGGCTAAGATATGGATTGATTTTGTGGGGTAACTCTGTAGAAATAAACAGAGCCTTTGTCTGTCAAAAAAAATGCCTACGAGCTATTTTTGACGTTTCGCCTAGAACAAGTTGTAAGCCATTGTTTCAAAGACTCAACATATTGACTTTGCCTTGTATGTATATCTATGAAATATGCCAATTTGTAAGACTGCATCCTGAACTGTTCAAACGGAGACAAGATATTCCTAGTAAATACACTACAAGACACTTAGACAAATTGATGTTACCATCTATAAAGACGTCATTATGCAGTTCAAACTGTCACGCCATGGCGATTAAAATATATAATAAATTGCCAAGTGAAATTGTAAATTTATGTCGAAATAAATTCAAGAAAGAACTACATAGATGGCTAATCAGCAAATCTTACTACAGTGTTCAGGAGTACTTACTTAATTAAAAACATTGACATGTATAATTTATAAATATTTCATTAATACGAAGTTGATATACTCATATTATAAATAATGTACGTACTTAATATTGACTAACGAAAAATAACCAAAATTGACATCTGTTTTGTCTGTTGCATGTCAGAAATGACAAAATGTGTGAAACTAGTTCTAAAGATCTTAAAAACCACACATGTACCACATTTTAAGCAATAAATATTCATTTCATTTCATTTCATTTCATTTCATTTCATTTCATAGCGTCATGTTGTTTTTCAGTGAAAAATAAGGCGTGGCGCAAAGGACTTTTAATAATCATGATGGTCATTACTTGCCAAGCGTTCAACGGATCGTTTGCTATTGTAACCTACGCGTCCACTATCCTCATGACGTCAGGAGTCACCATCAGCCCTGAGGTGCAAACGATTAGTATACCAGCTGTCATGATATTCGGATCAGCTATTTCTATAGTGTGCGTAGAGAGAATGGGAAGAAAGGTGAGTTAAAGGTTATTTTTTATTTGTTTTTAAATTTAGGGACTTTTGTACCATCTAAGTACATGTCAGTCCCATTGTACCCTAAAACCAATCACTCCATTACCTCACCAGTGAACAAATTGCCTTAGCCGCACCGACCGAAGGAGAGTTAAAGGTATAATAGATTATAATAGAATGGTGCACCCGCCTGCGACAACGGTTAACGCTGGCGGGCACCAGTGGAGGATGATGAGATCAAAATGAGTCAGGTCAGTTAGCCCATCGTGACAAATTTACCAGGAATATGATGGTTTCCGGAGAGAACCGCGTGGATCTACCTGTCATGGTACGCTGTTAGTAATTTGATTATCAGTTCACATTACTAACAGAAAGTCTAAGAATAGGACGTAAACTATTTTTTATAACCCTAAGTGTTAATTCATCACCCAGTCTAATTATTTATGTCATTCTTTTTATATTTTACTAGCAGTTCCCGCGTATTCATCCGCGTGGTATTTTATTTAAATAAAAGTAGCCTAAGTTACTCCTTGTTATACATATATTGTTTTACACTTGTATCTTATTTCACTCACATGTATTTATGATGCCCCAGTGTTATAAATATACTAGCTGTTCCAGGACTTCGTCTGCGTGGAATTTAACTTTATATTTCTAAAATAAAAGTATCCTAAGTTACTCCTTATTACATCAGCTACCTGCCTAAAAGAGTCCCGTCAAAATCGGTCCAGCCATTTCAGAGATTAGCCGGAACAAACATACAGGCAGACAGACAAAAATTGTAAAAAATGTTATTTTGGTGTATATACCTTATTTCTTCTATTCATATGCATGTAGTAAAAAACGGTTATTTCAATATTACAAACAGACACTCCAATTTTATTTTATGAATAGATGTATAGATTATAAAGAGGTGAAATTTGTGATGGTAGAGTGTAAACTGATTTTGTAAATGCTCGTTTCGAACCTAATCCCTCAGTGTAATCCTGCCGAACTATGCACATTTCAGTAGTGTGTAGTTCTTGCTCAAGTATTTGTTAAGTAGCTCACGTTTCACTACCATATAATAGGATTGATCTAAAAGCGGTTTACTATCTACTACATCACATGATGAATGACGTAATTGTTATGTTTCAGGTCATGTTATCATCAGCTTTTGGCATAACAGTAGTATCGTTCCTGTGTCTCGCCTCGATAATTCTCGTACAGCACCAGGGCGGCAGCGTTCCAGGCTGGTTGCCAGTGATTGCAATAATCGCTGCTGTATGGGCGTACGCTGCGGGAGTCGCTCCTATTCCATACGTCATCATGGCTGAAATGTTCAATTTCCAAGTTGGTACTTTACATACCATTTGTTCCCATAAATATTACGGTTTATTCCCGTAAATATATGAGAAATATACTCGTAATTGTAAGAAGCACTATTTAAGATGATGACTTAGGCTTTGAAGCCGGCTACCGCAAGGGAAACCCCAAGTAGCGCCCGTGACTTGTGACACGGATGTAGGTTTAAAAGGCCCTTTTAGAATGCATTAACACTCACCTTCACTACTTGCAGCTTCTCCCCAGGCCCAACTAAGACCGGGATAAACAATTCACTTTAATATCCAAAACACAACTGGCACGCTCTGCGCTTGTCGACTGAATGCCGCGCCTCACGCAACGAAAGAGGATTATTCAACTACCGACCTCCCTATTTATAGACCAAAGTCAGTGTAGTAGGTTGGTCTATAAATACTAGATGGCGCTATTTACAGTATTCGTAATAATCCTTACATTGGTTACTTCATTAGTACTAAAAACAAACTACCTTTTTTTAATATATTTTTAAAATATCGGAATTTTTCTACAATAATGATGTGAATTCTAACATTATGTACGAGTATATTTCTCATATATAAGGATATCATGAAATACACTATAACTCAAATAGTGACATAAATTCTCATCTATAATACATTAGTGGTCGGCCAATGATTAAAATTCTTATTTTTAATTATAAGTTTGAACACTATTAAGGTTCTGGTATCAAAGACTACTTCTATGCGTGTATATTAAATATATGATAATGTTTGTATTGTTTTTTTTATTAATTTAATGTATTATGCATAATTTTATATAAAGTATAAGTGTGCGAAATTTCATACTCCAACCTCCGCGCTATATTTGTAAAAAGGGGAATAAAGTTTTATTACTAATTTAATACTGATACACACGATTTTGTAAATTTTTTCATCATTAGAAAACCACGTTATTTGTACCTAAGTATCTCAGGCTAAATAACATGACCAATAGGCAATTGCAATGAAAAATGTTGCAAAAACGGGGAAAACGCAAACGATGTATGTTTATATACTTATTTTCAGATACGAGCAAAGGTACTGGGCTGCCTAGTAACATACGCGTGGTTTATTTCCTTCGTCCAGTTGTTTACCTTCACACCGATCTCAAATGCCCTCGGAGCGCACACCATGTTCTACTGCTTTGCTGGAACCAACCTCCTTGGGGTTTTTATTGCCCTGGTATTTCTGCCTGAGACGAAAGGGAAAACTATTGATGAAATCACGTTAATATTGGCGCGATAAATAAATAAATATTTAAAAAAGATTGTAAAATTAAATTAAAAATAAAATAAATGTATATTTTTTTTATTCTTGAAGTGGTTAATTTATTCCTATGGTAATACCCAAATGTTTATTTTTCTATAACGATTAACAAACAAGGTGACACGGTCCACTTGATGGTAAGTGGTGACCGTTGCGTCGCCTACAAGCATCACCATCATCATCTCTCCGTGTCCTGCAACCATGAATGCAGTATGAAATTACAGAAATCATATTACGCCCGAAATTTTACATACATATTCAGTAGGTCTGAGAATCGGCTACTATCTATTTTTCATACCCCTAAGTGATAAGGGTTGCCCACCCCTAACATTATTTTTTTATAATTTGGGCCAAAAGTTTTAAAATTATATCTTTTTATTATGTTTCATTAAAAATACAAAAATAAGGGTTGGTGATAGAAGGATGAACATTTTGGGTTTAATCCCTAATTTTTCACCCTTCTATCACAAACCCCTATTTTTTTATAGCGTTATTAATTTATATGGCAAAACAACGTTTGCCGGGACAGCTAGTATAATAATAATAATCTCAGGATAATTCACACTATCTAGATAATTTGCGCCATCTAGACCCAAATTAGCTAGCTAAAGCTTGTGTAAATGGGTACTAGATAACTGATATAAATATATACACATCTTTTTTTTAAACACATACATATTATAAACAGATAACACCCAGACAAACAGTTGTACTCATTAATACAAATGTTTGTACCGTGCCAGAAATCGAACTTGCGACCATCGGAAGCAAGGCGGTGTGCTAAACCGCTAGACCACCGAGGCCGTCAGTAAGTATGAATAAGAATCGTGATATGTTATCAGACTTAGTTTGGTCGTTTAGGAAAAAAATACAGGAAAAAGGTACAGGACCAACGAGCTTCCGGCTCACCTGATGGTAAGTGATTACCGCCGCCCATGACAGGTGCTCATGGGCGGCAGTAATAAATGAAAAAAAAACACCAGCGGAATTACAAATGCGTCGCCGACCTTTTCCTGAAGGTTTCAATATCGTAAAGGTACATAAATATCATTGTAGAATGATATCACAATGTGGTTGCGTGTGGCCAAAGAGAAGAACAATATTAGTAAATCTTAAAGAAGAAATATATAACTAAAGTTGTTAATGTACGATAATGGAATTATACACCCGCCTGCACTAATGGTTTACATTCGAGAATGATAGGATGTCAGGTGAGCCAAATAGCTGAGCCAAAAACCAAAAAAATGAGTGAGGCAATTGCGGGTCCATTGCGGGTAAAAAATGGAAGAGAAAGGCTGAAGATCGTGCCCAGTGGCGTGCCTTGGAAGAGGCCTATGTCCAGCTGTGGACTGCAGTGGGCTGGTGATGATGATGATAATGAGTGAGCCAAAGGCCAAAATAATTAAAAAAAAGGCACGAATAATAGAAAAATAATAATAACATCCTTGGATAATTCACACAGCGCCATCAAGTCCCAAGCTGAGCTAATGTTATAGGCACTAGATAACTGATACAAATACATAGACATCTTTTTTTTTCTAAAATAAATACATATCATACATAATAAACACTTAGACTATACAAACAAACATACTAATGATTACAAATGTATATAGCGTGCGCACTCGAACCCGAGACCACCGAAATGCCACACGATTTGGCCATTATTTTCTTGCTGACGTCAAAACTTTTATCAAAGTGACATTTGTTATATCACAGATTATATGACATAACAATTTAAATTATATAACTTTTTATCTGAAGTATTTGTCCTTTTTATTTACTGTATGGCTACCAAATGTACTTGAAGCAAATAATTCAGTTCTATTTGTAGAAAATGGAGACAACGAAACGCTATTTGGAATAGGGTTGTTACGCTTTGAAAATATTATTATTTTATATAAGGTTCTTCGAGCAAAGCTAAAATAAAATCGTATTTCATATTTCTTTCTATAGAATTAAATTAAACTGAAGTATCTGTAATTTCAAATTAACAGCTATTCACTAAATTACTTAATGGATTTTTCTCACACATGCTAATGCTCGATCGATCTCTTATTGTATTAATTTAGTAATAAAGGCCATAACAGATTAGGAGCGAAGGTGGACTCACTGCCCCCTCAGAGTTACAGTACGATTTGTCTTGTTTATTACTTTTAAATTTTATTATAAGCTACAATTGTATTAGTTTTTATTTGAGAAAATTAAAGATAATTATTATTATTATTAATTGACTCTATACATCTATATATCTTATGCATTTAGTGAATATTGTACTTACACCAAAATTTATTTTAAAAAGTTTTGTCTGTCTGTCAACCTGCTAGTTCTTGCTAATCTCTGAAAAAGGTGGACACAATTTGACGTACGTTCACTCACAGATAACTAATGATTAAGGAGTAATTTATGCTACTTTTATTTGTATTAAAAAAAGTTATAATCCAAGTAGACGAAATAACTGGACACATGGTTATTTTCAGAGTACTAATCGTTGAATATTTTGTAAAGTGCATATTTCTATGAAAGCATATTTTGGAAAGTGCGTATTTCAAAGGAAGTGTGTAAAAATGCACGGTGGAGGACCGCCATTCAAATGGCGTGGCCATGATCAGGATAGAATAGAATAGAATAGAATAGAAAATCATTTATTCAAATAAACTTACATTGAAGCACTTTTGAATAGTCATAACATTTTTTTTTTAATCTACCGCTCATTCGGAATGCTGTCTCATCACAAGAAGAACAAGCAAGAAACTTGTGTGTTGCTCTTTTAAATAATTTATTCTTACTTACAATTTAAGTTTAAGTGTGTGGATGGTATTTTAGTTTCCGGTGAGTAGTGTCTTCCACGATATGAACACAGAAGGATAAATCTTCACTCATTAACACTCCCAAGTTGTTCTCTTGCGTGCTTAACACAGCTATATGTTGTTGGCACCATATCACTATTTGACTTACTATTTTTTTATTTTTGTAAAACATAACTTTATCGTAAATGCCAAATATCTTATCTATTCTCCTCAATTTAATCTGTATACTAAACTGGACGTTAGGGAAAAATTATAATATAAAAAAATACGTTCATAAGCGGCTAAAATGTCCTACATGAATAAATGTTTTTTTTTTAATTTGAATCAGTAATGTTAAAATTAAAACTATTTTTTAGTTAAATTTGTCATCATTTTCTAATAGAACACCCCTGTTAATTGAAATCGGTTGCTATCATATTTTTATATTTATCGTTTCAAATATTTACATAGATATAATTTATAACACTTAGGTTGTAGTTGAAGTTCGGTTGTAAATCAGCAAGTCTTTCTTAATGTAGCTTACTTAGTTAAACGTATACAAAAATGATAAATAAGAATATTGAATTAGCTGATAATAGCTGTGGTCATACCTACATGCAATGGATAGTGGCAGTATTATGTAAGTAATGAATAAAAAGTGACTTTGGTTGAAGTAAACTTTGCACAAAGTCGTCAGCGTGTCCGAAATATCCATTTCTGACACATCTATATCTGCGCTCAAGTGGATTTTAATAAAGCTGTGCTGTGAAAGGATGTGTAAGAGCAGAGAAATTATAGGGTATGAAAGGTGACACCTCAGTCCTCAAGAATGGCAACATAATGAGTTCATTTATAATAAATAATAGATTATATGGAATAGTGCATCCGCCTGCGCTAACGATAAGTTGGAGGGGCACCAGACATGAGGTCAGGTCTGTCAACCCATCGTGACAAATTTACCAGGAATTATCACGATGGTATCCAGGAGAACCACGTGGAGGCCTATATGTAATCACTTTCCCTCAGAAAGTTTGTGAGGTTGTAGGGGATAAACTCTGGATGTACTGAACTGATTTTAAAAATTCTTTTACTGTTGGATTGTTCATTTATCGCGGAATCTATAAGCTATAAGCTAGGCTATATATAGCCTACCACGACCTAACATTGCGCTAACAGCAATAGGCTGCAATTAATGAGGATCGTAGGAGATCTAAGGCCAACGTAAATTGCTAGCCATGGGGTAACAAGTCACTTCATTATAATTACAATCAATCTCCTCACCCCATAAAGCAGTGTTGTGAAAGGGTGAAACATTGCAAAGAAATTGTAGGGTATGACACGACAGTCGTCAAAAATGGCATTACTCGATACGTCGATGTCCGTGGTGCTATTCTTGTCTATAGGCGTCAAATACCCTTTTCTATCACGTGAGGCTACTTTGCCATTTTGCTATTACAGGTACATAATAAAGTACAAGGACACTTATTTACCAGGTAAACATAACATACAGAGAGTAAATTTCATTGCAGTGAACACAGTAGTATTGAACTATGGACTACAAGTAGGTTGGATTTCACCTATGACAAAGGTGTTACAATCAGAAACTTCGTCAGTAGTTGATCAACCAATATCAGATGAGAGTTGGATGTGGATCGCTAGTGCAGTACCAATGACAGCTGTGGTCGGAGTTCCTCTGTACACATACTTATCTGACAAGTATGGTAGGAAAGTTGGAGTTATAGCAATTGTTATACCACAATCAGTAAGTTTAATTTTTTGCTGTTTATGTTACCCTAGTAGTTGTATTCTATATAGTTGTTATAACTTATAACACAAAACTTGGGTTAAAAAAGTTTTTTTGTAATAACTGTTTTTAGTAAATTATTTAAAAAGTTTTTATTTACCTATATAAAAAATATTTTTATTCTATTTTATTTAGGCTCCTTCATATGTATTTTTACTCATGTAAGCACATTATATAATCAGGTTATAATAAATTTAGACATGTAATTAAATTACCTACTTACATATTAAATTAAGTAGATGTTGATTGTGGCCCACTTTGTAAAAAGTCGTTTGTAAGTAGGTATACTACTTACAAGATGACTTTTTACAAAGTGGGGTTCTCTTTTGTAACTTATGTAATTAATTACAAAGTGGGATATCCAGGTAGGATAGAGTTTTATAAATAAGTAACATATATCTTTTTAGCTTTGCTGGATAATAAAATTAGCAACCACGAGTGTGCCAGGTCTTCTGGTAGCGAGGGTTTGTGCAGGCATCGCTGCCGGAGGATGCTTCACCGTTATTCCAATGTATGTGAAGGAATTAAGCCAGGACAACATAAGAGGTCTGCTGGTGTCTCTCGTTGGATTGAATCAAAATCTCGGATACATTTTTATGTACGCGATGGGAGCATATTTGGAGTATTACACTGTGTTGTGGATCGTAGTGTGGTTGCCTCTTGTTTTGATAATACTTCTAACGAAATTACCAGAGTCTCCTGCTTTTCTGATTAAAATTGGAGAATACGAGGTAAAAATATATTCGTTGCTTATTTTTACATCTCATAAGTAGTCTAATTTGAAGATTCTCTATATGGAAAATATGATTTATAAGTAATAAATTCAAATATAGGCAGCTAAGAAATATAAAATATTCCGTTACAATTATTACTGCTAATTTAAACTAACAAAAAAAAAAGATACTTTTAAACGTTTTACTTACGTAATATTAAATTTATTTGAATTAATATTTTTAGACTGGTTATGTATATATTACTATATACTATATATTGGTTATTTATATATATATTACCTACTTCATGCCAATGTTGCTGTTCATGTATATAGGTTATGATTATCACTTACCATCAGTGGGTATTGCTTGTTTATAAAAATATAATCCTTTTAGAAGAACAAGCTAGTCAGATCGAAATTGTAATCCGCGCTAAAGCAAGCGTAGTTTGATATCCAATAAATACCTAATGCATTTATATTATTTTGTTTAATTCCGCTACAATTAGCATTTGTGAGACCACAAATATTCGGTGAGAGAGCCTGACTACTGTTACCACGTTCTCTGAAGGTGATGAAATTCTGGCGGTTACTACTACTACTACTACTACTACTACACATCCGAATGTATGACATGCTAATTGTAGCGGAATTAACAAAATATTATATGTAATATAAATATCTTATTAAATCCATTAAACAGTGAAATGGACATCCGCAAACTAACTATCAAACCAAAAATAAAATTCAATGAAATTTATCCTATAAATATCTGTAATAGACCGACATAAAGTTCATTTTTATTCGATAGACGGCTGCTAGAACAGTTGCTTTACTTCGAGGGCTGGAGACAACCGACAAAGAAGTCATCCACGAGATCACATATATGAAAAATGAGGATAATTACTTCAAGTCATTGCCTCCCGTGACGTTTCTTTGTATTTGTGAGTATCTTATATATAAAATTCTCGTGTCACAGTTTTCGTTCCCATACTCCTCCGAAACGGGTTGACCGATTCTCATGAAATTTTGTGAGCGTATTGAGTAGGTCTGAGAATCGGCCAACATCTATTTTTCATCCCCCTAAATGTTAGGGGTAGTCCACCCCTAATTTTTTTTTAGACAAAGTGTTTAGTTTCTATTTTTTTATGATACAACATACAAAAATACATACAATCCAAAATTTTCACCATTCCAGCATTAACCCCTATTTTTTAATAGCGATTTTAATTTATATGGCAAAACAACGTTTGCCGGGACAGCTAGTTCTTATATAGTTTATTTATTTAACATAAAAATAAATTAGTATACAGTCGACTAATATGCCCCTTAGTCCATTTAACCAGCAATCTCCCCCAGATTGCTGGTTAAATGGACTGATGAACCCATAGCTAGAGAATGTACGATGTCAAGTTGACCTCCACGTGCTTTTCAATATATTTATGAAAATATCATGTATGCCAGGAAGAATATAGACAGTTTCAAAAGAGTTAGTGATTGCACTAATAAAAGCTTACGTAACAATAACAAACTGATTTTACCTAAATGTCGTTTGGCTAAAGTTAGTAATTCGTTTTATGGCAATTGCGTAAGGTTTTACAATAAAATACCAGAGTCTGTTATAAATCTGCCCGAAAAAAGATTTAAATGTGAAATAAAACACTTCCTTTGCATAAAAGCTTACTAATTGAAGAATTCGTTAACGATAATAATGTTTTTGTAGAAAAATTTTAAATACATAGCACTGACAATATTATCTGATTGCACTGATGGTGAGTGCGTAGCGATTTCTATGTTGATTATCGCATGCCTCTTACTTGTTACATTGTAATTATTTATATAAAATAAACATCTATTAAAAAGAGCAACACACAAGTTTCTTGCTCATTCTTCTTGTGATGAATCTGCATTCCGAATGAGTGGTAGAATCAAAATATGACTATTCAAAAGTGCTTGTAATGAGTTTATTTGCATAAAGATTATTTCTATTTCTATTTCCACGGAGTGTAACCACGCAATTATATTAAGATGTGTATTCTTCAGCATTCGGCTCTATCTCGATTTAGAGACCTTGCGTTTCTCCTCACCTAAACTGGATAGCAATAACTCTAATCCAAAATGAAATTTTGTTTTCTATTAAGTTGTTTGTTTTCCAGTAAGAAACAAGCCGTGGCGTAAAGGCTTGATCCTGCTGTTACTTTTACTTGGGATCCAAGCATGTAATGGATGCTTCGCTATTGTAACATACATATCAAGTATTCTTGGATCGTGTGGAGTCACCATCAGTCTTGAGCTGCAGACACTCAGTATACCAGCTTTCATGATTTTCGGCTCGTTCGTAACCATAGTCACTGTCGATAGAATTGGCAGAAAGGTGAGTATTTTTATGGAATTTCTGATCATACCAAATCAAAAATCATTTGTTCATGTAGCACATTTAAGCCGCTTATGATCTTCAAGTTTTTGTATTAATATTTTCCTCTACCATCCAGTTCAGTAGGTACAGAGATTCAACTGAGAAGAACCGGCAAGAAACTTACCTATTTATTTTTAAATCAGCTTTTTTCATTTATGCTTATATATATAGGTGTCTATGTTGATCGTTTGTCATTTATATTCGTTTAATGAGTAATAAATAGCCTTTTCTTTTGCAAAGCCATTTTACAAATTCCATAATAAAAAGTACAAAAAGTTCTTTGAACCAGCAATAAACCAAAAAACAAAACAGTATATATGCGTTTGTGTAGTATATGTAATGTGTTTTTTTTTTAATGAATTTAATGTATTTTTTAGGCTTAATTTTTAAAAAATAATAATAATCTGCATTTTTTCTCCATGTAAACTATAATTGTACGAAATTTTATACTACTCCGTCCGTGCAATGTTCGTAAAAATGGGTACGTAGTTTTTGGTTCTCGTATTAATTATTTATATTTATTTTCAGCCATTATTGGTGATAACTTACGCCATAACAGTGGCATCTTTCCTGTGTCTTGCGTCAATATTGCTCATACAACACCAGGGCGGCAGCGTTCCAGGGTGGTTGCCAGTGATTGCAATAGTATCTGCAATGTGGTCGTATGCGGCCGGAGTCACGTCAGTACCGGGTGTCATTATGGCGGAAATGTTTAATTTCCAGGTAAGTCTATATCCGTACCTAAGAACAATATAGTTATTGTAGAGACTAGTGTTTGTTAGTAATGTATTACGAGTATGAGTGACACACAGTCCTTCTTAGAGACCGTTGTGATTATTCTTGATGATTTTATCTGACTCTCATCCGCCACTTGTGTCTCGTCAGCGTATGACTGTTAGCGAAGGCGGGTGCAACATTCCATACTTATCCATGCAAGAAAAATATACTGTTATAGTTATAATTGTAAATACCACTTTTAATATTGCTTAATCAGTTAATCTTTACGTACGTGAATTCTTTTCCCCGCCGATCGATCCCCCGTCCAAACGGGGATCGAAATTACGACGGCCTGAGCCGCGGTTCGAACCCCTAGTGGTGCCCTCAGACTAAAGTCGTATCCGTCAGGCAGGAGTTGGCCTTCAGCCGCTCCATAAGTCCTTCCGCGGGTTTGGAGTGCCATCTGCACTCGCCCCCTAACGTCCGGTGAAACTGTAATGGCCAGCTGCAGCCAACAGCATTAGAGTAGTCCGAAATAATGAACTCTTATTCACGTACGTAAAGACTCTCTTGAAGACAGGCTGAGTGGTAATTTAGTAATAGTTATGTTAGCTGTGGTAATAGTGAGAACTGTGCATTATTAAGATGTCATGAGAAGAATTAATTAATTTAAATTTAAAAAAAAGCTGTGATCCCGTGTCCAATTCAGTATAAATTTGGTGAGGACTAACAGTATTTTTTTCCGAATTTCAGATTCGCGCAAAGGTAGTGGGTTGCGTAGTCATGTGGGCATGGCTGATAACATTTCTTGGCGTGTTTGTGTATACGCCAATTTCGAACATGCTGGGCATGCACACCAGTTTCTATGGCTTCGCTGGTATCAACCTTCTTGGTTTCTTTGTTTCCCTGGTATTTATACCTGAGACTAAAGGGAAATCTGTAGAAGAAATCGAGTTAATGTTGGGCGGAGGACATACGAATTCAAAAAATTCAAATGAGGGTAAACTTTAAAATATAAAGTTTTTATAATAAATATGGTATTTTTATTATAATTTACAATAAGGGCAAAGGAAGGCCGAAAAAGACATGGATGAACTGTATGAAAGATGATATGGTAAGAAAGGAAGTAAATAACGAGATGACTGCGATCAGGTATAAATGGAAAAGAAAAACGTACTACCCCGACCACAAATGAATGAGTTATGGAAGAAGCAGATGATGATGTTTTTGCCATATACATAAATTAACCTACGTAGAAGACTTCATGTAAAGTATACGTCAGTAAAAGAAATCAACTGAATTCCATTTTTTGGTCACATGAGTAATGTGAACTAATTACGTATCGCTAGCAATGTACCAAGACAGATTGACCTTCACCTTCTTCTTCTTCGACCTGGATACCATCATCATAAATTCCTGGTGAATTTGTCACAATGGTCCAACTGAACTCACCTCATTCTATCATCCTACACTGGTGTCCCGCCAGATAAACCATTAGCGCAGGCAGGTACACCGTTCTATTCGTTCATAAAAAAAACGTATGGCATGACATTTTCAATAAAATATACATATATAGTAATTTCTTAATTGTTTACTATTACAAAACAAGAAACCTTGCTCGTACATAGCATGTATGACTTCAAAATTCACATCTCTCGTCTCCTTCATTATATAGTATGACGTCACAGTGGTGAGGGACCCAGCGGTCCCGAACAGGAAGAAGGTCCCGCTCAGGCCGAATATTTCAACGATAAATCGATACAGTGTTATCACGCCAAAGTTCCCTAAACATAATGCAGTCATGGCCACAGTAGAAGCAAACGATTTCATCTGAAATTTTAAGAAAAAAATAATTTAGGTAGACTGTTCATTTTATATTTGTTGAATTAGGTGTTATTAATATGTTGGCGCCCTCGGTGGTCAAGCGGTTTAGATACCGCCTGATTTCGATGGTCGCGGATTCGATTCCTCGCACAGTATAAAAATTTGTATTATTTCTATATTTGGCGGGGCATCAGTGGAGGATTATAAGATGAGTATAAGTTCAGGTTAATTAGTCCATCACTACAAATTCACCAGGAACTTATCACGACGTGGTCCAGGAGGAGCAAAGTGCAGGTGACATGGCAAATTGCAAGCCATAAGTGGTTTAGTCCACATTACTGAAATTCCTCCCATACATTATGTACGTATTTACAAAAAATATATATTGTACATGTATTTATATTTAGTTGACAAATACCCATAACAAAGCCCCTGCTAAGCTTGCACTATGGATGACGCTGTGTGAATTGTCTAGGGTTATTATTATTACGTATTTATTAACTCGAGCTAACATCATCACCTGCTTCTTCCTTATCCCATTTATTTGCGGTCGACGTAATATGTTTTTCTCTTCCATTCATCTCTGTTCGCAGTCATCTTGTCATTTACTCCCTTTCTCACCATATCATCTTTCACACAGTCCATCCATCTCTTTTTCGGCCTTCCTCTGCCCTTACAATCATTTATATGTAACACCTTTCTTAAAATATTATCTTCATTCCTACGCATTTCATACGCCTTTGGTAGTACCAAATCGAACTAACCTCAGGTGGAAATGATTCAGCAATCTGTACAAATGGAATATTAGATGCTCCCACTTGATGCATAGAACAGAATAGAAGTATGATAACCAGGATCACCCAGTTCGGTGCCCATGACCAAAACAGTAAAGTACTCAGCAGGTATAAGCAGACTGTACAAACCACACATGACGTGCACATCAGAATCTGAAAACCATAAACTACGTTAAAGTTTCGCGTTTACTACAAATCGTTACTAATATTATACTTGCGAAAGTAACTCTGTCTATCTGCCTGTCTGTCGCTCTTTCACGCTAAAATTATTGAAGCAATTTAAATTAGATTTGGTACACAGATAGTCTAGACCCTGAAATGGACATAGGGTACTTTTTAATGCAAAATTTTATTTTAAGGGATTAAAAAGGGAGATGTATTAATGATCGTCACTTTTTAAGCTTGGGAGGAGCTTGGAACTTAATTTTTAGTCTACAGATTAAATATAAACAAATTTCTATGGAAATTCATCATTGAAGCTAGAATGATGAAACTTCATCATTCTAGCTTCAAGAATATGGCTTCTGCTTCCTTTGGATTTTTTGGGTTAGATTTTTTAATGTTTTTTCTTTATTTCATCAATGTCTGTATTGCACTCGTATGAAGTTGCGGGCACAGATAGTTGAGCAACTATAAAGGTAAACTATAATGTAAGAAACGGCTTAACAGATTTGGATGCTGTGTTTACTGATGTATTGTGATGTGTGGTAAGTTTGTAAGTTTAGTTTCATTTAAAATATAGAGTTTGTTTTATTCTAACCTATTAACAAACAAAAATATAAATAAGTATTAACTAACCCGCCGATCCACCAAATCTGTAATAAATGAGGCAACCCCACTGCCCATACATATTACTACTCCTAAAATGATAGAACACAGATTGTGTGATAGATCTGGCGCGGCTTTAGAGAAGAACTCCGCGGCGAACACTTGTATAGGTAATGTGCCCATAAAAATTGGTAACACAATATGTATAGTAACTGTAATTAAGGCTGTTCTAGCCGCCTTGGATGTGCCTGTAAAATAAAAAAAATAATTATGAGGACATGCAGGTCCCGGATCCTTCTCCATATAAAACGTGCTATTAGGAAAGTTTTCTAATAACTAACTTCCATGAAATTTTGTCTATAGGATAAGGCTACTAAAATCAACGTTTCCCACTAATCAGAATTTCTTTAAACAAGTTTGTTTGAGAATTACACGTGAAAAACTTGATTCTAACAGAAAATTACCTATCTTTAGCTCATCCGTATGAACATCCAAGACAGTTTAACAAATTTGTAATGTTCAAGACATTGGAATTATAATGAGTTTTCAGATTAACAAATAAAATATATATATTTACTGTAATATTAGAGTAAGACGAATAGAGCGGTACATAAATATTTAGGTCAAAATTTGGAATTGAAAGTATTGCTATCGCGTTTGGATGAGGTGAAACAAACTTGGGTAATTTTTCAAGTACACGCGAAAAACTCATCCTAAATAGACTACTCGTTTTACGCAGGTGAGGCTCTGGGCCTTAGGTTGTATAAAATATATGATAGTCTAGATGTAACCGCGAATTCGTCCGCGTGGAATTTAACTTTATTTTCTAAAATAAAAGAATTTTTGAAAAATAAAAGTTGCCTTATTACATCAGCTACCTGCCAATAAAAGTCAAAATCGGTCTAGCCATTTCGAAGATTGACCGGAACAAACAGATAGACAAGATATGTAAAAAAAAATTATTTGGTGTACCATATGTACTGTATTTATGCATGTAGTAAAAAACGGTCATTTCAATGTTACACAAACAGACACTCCAATTTTATTTATATGTATAGATAACGATTTTATTTGAAGAACTATTATACTTACGTAAAATGTTAAACACGTTTGTTTCTGTAGATTGTGATTTACTCTCCTCTAAAAACGAACCTGTAATTTATAAACAACTTCTATATCTAAAACTTTATTTACGTGAACTTCAATCTGATCTAAACGTGAATATTTTCACACCACCTTGTTTCCTCTGGTCGCGGGGATTGATTCTTGCACAGTACAAACAATTGTATTCATTGAGTGTTTTCTATGTATGATTCATATTAGTGTGTTTAATGATTTTTAATTGATTTCATGTATTTTTATGTATAATTTTTAATAAATTATAGCATTCTGCGCTCCTCTTCTATTACAATACATGTTCTCAATTTCAAATTCCTCCGTCCGCGCAATTATCATAAAACAGGGCACAAAGTTTTTCCTTCACGTATTAATATACTGATTACTATTATTATCCACTAACTGTTCCCGCGACTTCGTCCGCTTGGAATGTAACATTATTTTTCTAAAAGAAAAGTAGCCTAAGTTACTCCTTATTACATCAGCTACCTGCCAAAAAAAGTCCAGTCAAAATCGGTCCAGCCATTTCAGAGATTACCCGGAAGAAACAGACAGACAGATAAAAATTTAAAAAATGTTATTTTGGTATATGTACCGTATTTATATTCATATGCATGTAGTAAAAAACGGTTATTTCAATATTACAAACAGACACTCCAATTTTATTTATATGTATAGATGTGTAGACAATATGTTTAAAATAAACTCCTCAAAATCGTCATATTTTGACTAGGACAACATAGACATAAGAAATACTGTCCATAATCTATCTCCTTTAGAAGTTCATTGCAAATACAGCGTAAAAATAATAGAGACAGATAAGATAAAAATATAGTTTATTTGACTAGACTTACTCGTACTTACTACAGTACTTACATTAAATCATTAGAATTTTCATCTCCTATTATGTTTTAAAGATATGACTTTCATAAACGAACATGGACAAATAGAACAGCGCCATCTAGTCCCATGGTAAGCAGAGCTTGTATTATGGGTACTAGTCAACTGATATAAATACTTAGATATACATTTTTTGTAAATATATACATAATATACATAGAAAACACTATAAACGAATAAGTCTCCCACACACTGTCAATCAAGTGCGAAGAATCGAACTCTCGACCATCGGAAGTTCAGCGGTGTGCTAAACCGCTAGACCACCGAGGCCGTGGCTTTATGTTATGCTTACATACATTGTTGTTTATTATTCGTCTCGCGATATGTCTTGAGGCATGCGAACTCTCGTTCAACGTCTTCTGTTGCTCCATTCCGATAGAATTTCAATGAATTCCATGCTTCCTGTGAATTAAGTTGACTAGTTGTTATCAGAGACTTATTAACCATTTTTGGGAAGACGAAGGGATGTGTGACACTCTTACGCAGTAAAAAACCATACAATGTATCTACGAGCACCATTGCTGGAGTCGCGAGGTCACATTGACTACGGCTGGACATTTGAACCGTAGAAATATAAAAACTTATGCACATCTAACTATTTTATCCTCAGCAAGTGTTATTTTTGCAACAACAAGTAGTTGTGTCTAAAATGTATTAAACAAACTGAGTTATTACATAATTGTATCTACGCAAGCTTTGCACAAAGTATAGTTCGGTAAATTCATTCCAAATAACAATAATAATATCTCAGGGCAACTCACACAGCGTCATCTAATCCCAAGCTAAACTCAGCTTGTGTTATGGACACTAGAGGACTGATACGAATACTTAAAAATATTTTCTTTATTACATACATCATATACATAGAAAACAAACAGATCGATACAAATAATCATACTAATGAATACAAAATTTTTGCACCGTGCGAGGTATCGAACCTGCGACTATATAAAAATGAGAAGTAAGAGAGTATGCTAAATAAAGAAATATACAATTACTTTATCTTTCACTTTTCTAACGAGATATACCGGCGATTCCTTGATGAAACACATGAAGATGACCAGAATAACTGAGAAAATTAGCATGCCATAACTTATGACTTCATAGGAGAGCAGAGAACCGCAGAGGTAGGAGCAGATCCCACCGATGGTGAAAGCGAAGATCGTCAGCGAGGACATGTTCCCAATGATGGAGGGTTGGCAGAATTCGTTGATAAACACATACACCACGACCACATGGAGGCCCCCTCCGTACCCGACCACTAATCTGCTTATTAATATCTGTATTGGAGTTTTGGCAGTCACTATCAAAGCTGCTGCTAGCTGTAAACAGTTTTTTAATTTAACTAGGTTAATAGCCTAGACGGATATATTAAAATTTCTGTAATGTATAAGTACACGATTAATGGAAGTGGTGTGCAGTAGCTAGAGTCCAACTTTTATTAGAAGAAATAAAGTATATCTGATTACAAAGGAGGTAAATTAATAGTACAGACTTAAAAAAGAGTATCATTTATTTTATATTATTAAAAAGATACTTTTTGCAGAACTATAATTTTTCATGGTTTTTTGGCATTTGCACTAATATTGTAAAAATTGTGTAAAAATATATTAGTGACATAGATTATAGAGTACGCCTACATGATATAGGGTACAATAGTCTCTTTTAGATTACGGTTGGCAACACTAACAATAGCACCCCAACGGAAATTACCCTAGCGCCTGCTGGATCACACGGTATAGTATTTGCTAGCACGAATTGAGCAGGCGTTGGTAGATACCTTATTTACTTACAAATACTAACTTCGATAGTTTTCTCAAACCCTATTAGCTAGTTCTAATATCAAACAGTTTCTTAAGAGTTGGCAAGGCCCACGTCACATCTCTAGTGTTTCAAGCTTTCGTATTCTAGCTTATAGTTATTATAGCGTTGTTATTCTGGAGGACTAAGATGTCGAATATCCTTCAAACTAAAAACTGAAAAACATCTTACAGAGCTACCTACTTGGAACCTAATTAGGAGGGGCATAGAGTTTATTCTACTAGATCACCAAGAAAAATACATTTGTATTTAAATGGGTTTAATAGTTTGTTGTGTTCCATAAAACAAAGTAAGTATGATTTTTATGATCTTACAATTACAGTGTGTGCACTAGAGATAAAGAATATGATTAAATATTGTGAAGGTTGTTTCTACATCATCAGTTTCTTATATTTCTTTCTTACCTTATATACTTTCATATGCATTTAGTGAAAAGCTGTTAATACATTATGAGGGGGCAGGTATTTGTACCCATTCCAAGGATTGCCATTTATAAGCGCATTGCCACTTAGAAGGTACTAGAACTCGTGCCGCACATTGCCGTTTAAAAATGGGGAAGGTATTAGTACCCGTTTAAAATAAGTAATTTTAAGTGACACGAGGAAAAACTATATAAAACATATATATTTATTAATACGGGTGCAAATACCTGCCCCGCTGATGATGTGTTAATTACAAATATACACTTCAGTTTTATTAATTTGTATACATACATATATGCGACAAACCTTATGACCGTGGGTACGATCTTTGCAGTACAAATATGTGCATTCTGTTCATATTGACACAGTTGAGTTATGATATTGGCTTGGATGTTTTACGTCTATGCATTTACAGCCAATATTTTTCTTTTAATGTTTAAAAGTTATCTAGTACCTACTCATTTAGTATGTTATGTATTTGTGTACTCATTAAGTATTTCTTATTTTCTCCGCCTCTCTGGCTACCCCAATGGGAGACAAGCGTGTTGGATTACTTACCAAAAAACAAAGTGCGCTTAATATTTCGCTCCTTTTTCTTCCAATCATTTCAGATATAAATCCACCAGACAGCACTGCTACCACTGAGCCGACCATGTTGATGGAACTGAGCAGACTACCTTCCTGTTTTGTGAGAGCTCTGCCTAAAAGTTGAGGACCAGTTGTATTGGACTCTAATATGGGTAGAGCATACGACGGCCATGTAACAATGAACCCCAAATAGAAGTTCAACAATGAAACTGTAACAATTCGAAGAGAAATATTGTAATTTCTGTGCATCCATAGAGCCTACCCCACTATAAATACAGTATATATGTACTATATATAAACTGTGTACCAGTGTATACTTAGATTATTTCATAATTCCATACATGATTTATGTAGAAAATACCCAGCCTGATACAAAAAACTACATACTCAAGAATACAAATGTTTACATCTGAGTACTAAACCGATTTTTTACGACAATTGCGCGGACGAAATTTCGCACACATATCTACAGTTTATATAGAGAAGGAGTACAGAAAGCTAATATTTATGGAATATAGAATAAAAATTACATTAAATCAATAAAAAAATAATTACACACACTACCATGTATGTGACACACACGCATATATACTCTTTTGTTTTATTATTATTGCTGATTCAAAAATCTTTTTGTAATTTTTTTTACGGTCGAATTTCGTCATTTAGGCGAGGACACAAAATTAAATCGTGTACCATTTTTAACAATAAATTATTAAAATAATAATATAAATACTAATTTATTTTTGCTTTAACAGAAACTGCCTACAGACAGAAATTACTAAAACAGATTAGGTACTGCACCAGTTACTTTTATTATTACATCTATAATTAACTTACCGATAAAAGTTGCTGTCACTTGAAAAACTACGTCCATTTTTACATCTGTTGAAATGTTTATTTACATTTATGAATGCTATCTGTTTCAATGAATAAAGTGTAAATGAGCGTAAGTTTGGTTAGTTTAAGGTTTTATGTACTTAAACATATATTATAAGTACATGAACTAATTTCAGCAGTATCGCCCGAAAGTAGGTAAGGGATTATATGCATCAGTGAAATTAAACAAAGTATTGCAGACAACAAAGTATTACAGACTAGCAACGCGCCCGGCTTTGCACGAGCTCAATATTTGTTTTACTATAAACTGTACAACACATTTTAGTAAGTAAAAACACATTCCCAAATAATGCATTATTTAAAATAAATTTATTTAAAGGTTATATAGAGTATTAAAAGATAAATATATGTTGTGGCGGACTTTTTTAGAGCTTTTCAAGGAGAACAATTCCGCCACACATATTTTTGCGTAACTTTAACGTTTTACACAACGCATTCATTTTGACTGTTTCTGCTGCATCAGAAACAGTCAAAATGAATTTTTAACACCTTTTCATTGTTGCTCCGCTCGTATCGTGATGTTATATAGCCTATAGCACTCGGGGATCATCTACTTTTCTATTATGTAGTAAAATATTTTTTAAAATCGGATCAGCAGAACCGGAGATTTCCCCGTATAAACAAACATACATACTTTACTCTTTATAGTATTAGTATAAATAGACTGGAACTGGAACTCATTTGTACATACCTACCTGCCTCGGTATATAGGCAGGTAGGTAGGCGTGTGTAAAACATAGTCGTAAGAAGAAATAGGATTTGAAGTGGTGAAGTGATTTCGCAGAAAATACCAGAGAGACCACCTCGTTCAGAAAAAGAACAGAGTTGCTGACAGTGGGTTCACTATTCTGCAGTACTTCTATTTTTTAATTTATGATTCGTTTTGAAATCCCAAGTAATATTTCTAAACCCATAACAATATAATTTCTATACATGGCATAATTTAATCAATAATAATGTAGAAGGTAATGCAAGAAATCATCATAATATAATCTTTGCTCGTAACATCGTGTATCTTTGAAAATATCTGAATAATCAGATTGTGTTGATTGCTCTTATGTTAATTTTAAAACACTGTCAATTTTGTGAAGTAATTTAATGACGTCGTAATCATTAGGTAGCACGATAGGTCAGATAATTACCTTATTTAATATTATTGTTGAATGCAATGACGATTGGTGTACTCGATTAATGTAATTATTCGGGACTTAAATAATAAACATATACGAACCTATCTGATCAGGTTAAAGAGTTATTTTATAATAAATTGAATGCAACATATTTTCAATTATGAGATGTATAAATTTAATATTTATTTTTGATTTTGTAATATTCAATTGTAATAGCTGTATATATAAATGTTCCTAGTCCCGCTAAGACACATCACTATAAAATAAATCTGCCAAATTCCGTTATGTCACTGTCAGTGTCAAAAATCAGTAGCGAAATCAATCCATCAAGTTCTATAAAAATAATAAAACAGCGGTTTGTTTAGTTTAATTCGTGTCCTTTTTGTGATTTATAACTAATGTACTATGAAATTAGCTTATTCTCTTATATAAAATGTATTAATAATTTATACTAACAGTATTAAATAGTATTGCAAATTGTCACAATGGGTCTCTTATCTGACCCCGAGTATGGTTCTGTGAAGTGGGTGCGACTTTTGAATAAAATTCACGGACCATTATGCCTTTTTTGTTATGTCGGTGCCCTGGTATGGTTCTTCGTGTTGGGCAACAAGGAGTTCAACAATGAAACCTACTTCTCCGAGAACGCGTTGTTGCCGGGTCTCGTAACCAACGAATTCAATGCAGAGCAATCTTCGAAGCAGTTCTTCAATGACTTTTTGTATGAACTTGAGGTAGGCTTTCTCCTTCTTTTACTTGTGTATCTTAAATACTAATTTCTACCATTAATTTTGATTGATGATTTTAATTCTTGGTTTGTAGACAGTGAAATATTTGATTTTTTTGTGACTTTATTCAATTTGCTCAGTAAGGTTTGACTGTTTTGTTCAGGTTATGATTGGTATATAAGAAATAAAAAGAGCACAACACCTGACTTATAACAAAGTAAATAAAATGAAGATACTATATATAATACTAGCAACCCATCCCGACTCTGCATAGATGCAATACAAATCTTTGAATTTCTTGGCTTGTTCTGTACTATAACTCACACAGAATGTGGCAGCAACTTTGTTATATACTATGTCAAGAAATAACAAGATAAATTATTATTAGAATTTTCATTATTCAGAGGACAACATAAGATATATATAACATAAGGTAGATTTTTTTATAAATGACTGACTATTGATGCATTTACCAGTCCACTTGGACAGTATATGCTACCAGGGAACCAGTGAATGGTAGGAGGAGAAAGATATGAGCTCAATTCACCCATCATGATGAATTGTCCAAAATAAAATCACAATGGTTTCTAGGGGGATAGTATGGAGGCCAGTATGATACATTGCTAGCATAAAGGTCAGGTCACTATCTATTACTACCAATACTCTCCATACTTATGAGGTATATTGCCCAGCGGTATTAATACAGTGTTGCACAGTAAAACGAGTTTCTAAAATGGTTTGCCATTTCATTTGTTAGTGTAATACACTGTGCTATATTCATATACTAACTAAAGTACAATTATTAATTCCAGTCAGTAAAATGACAAGTGCAACTGTATTTGATATAAAAAAGGGTGATCTGCTACAATAGTGATGTTCGGCAATCAATAGACATTTAGTCATGCTTTATTTTAATAGGTATCAAAGTGTTTTTTTTTTATTGTAAATATTTGATACATACTTGTTGTAGTAATAAGAAAAAAGACTTGGTAAAACGGAGAAAATATATTAATAATAGACAACTAACATATTAGGAACAGAAAGAAGGAATTGAAGTATCAAAAACAAGAATGTGATATAAAAGAACTATAAATTCAAATACAAATTTAGAATATAAAATACATATCTGATTAGTCAGTTACAACAATACTACAATACAATATAATATATAATACATAACATTGAATACATACATATTAAATAATATGATTTTAGAAATATGTACCTTACCACCATATTAAAATTTGTCACTACAACATTATTACAAAAGCTGGGAAAAAATGTATAAAGAAATTCAGAGACATTAACACTAAAATTCAGGAAAGTCAGGAAAATGCAAGTAATTTTATATTCATTACGGTTGCTTTCAAGGCATCACTTCCTTCAGGCCTTCTTGAAATGATTATTTTACATCTTTTATTTTAAAAGTTTTATTGTTCCTGTCGACGTCCCTTTTTACCGTGTATGTCTTCTGTTTAATTACTGTAAATTACTATTTTTATTTATATGTATAAAGGATTAATTTGATATTGAATAAAAAAAAATGTAATCTCGACTAATTTTTAATTGTAAAAACTCGATTCTACCACAGCACTATTTATTTGGGGCTAAAAACCTGCAACACTGGAAAAGTCAGTAAAATGTTACTGACTGGAATTAATAATATTACTTTAAATAATAACTGACCCATGTTCACTTTGATTTTTTTTATTGCCTTTTTATCTTCTTTTTATCTTTTCTTTTTTTATTGTTTATAGTCACATCAAATATAGAGATATTCACAAATAATGTGCTTTCTGTTTGTGAAAGAATATATAAAATTGTTTTAGTTGATCCATAGATTATTCCCTATAACCTCACAAACTGTACCTCTTTATAATGTTAGTATAGATTAAGATAGATTTGCAGTTGACAAGTAATTAGTAATAATCGGTTAAACCATAACACTGTAAGTAATATTTTATTTATTTTGATGTTTCCAGGATAAGTATTATGATACTGATGAGATGCCGGTGCCATGGCTCGTTGCTAAAATGTCACAACTTCACTTGGAGGTGTACACACATAATTTTACACTCAACTATCCCTTAGGACAAGGGCAGGTATGTTGTACATTAATATTAGCTGGAACTGTTGATGGCTGGAATTATGGATTAAAACATATTTACACATGAGAATCATCTATACATATATGTTTGGGAAACTACTAATGCTACCAAAATGTTATAAAACGGTAGGTCACGTACCTGTATTTTTGCAATTTCTTGGGCTTCAGGGTCTCTGTCTGATATCTTCGCTGAAATGCTTTCACACACTTTCACAGTAGGTTTTACAGTAGGTTTTACAGTTCTAATTTATTTTAATTCACAACAAATGAACGCGCGCGCCATGGTCTTGCTGTACAGTCTGTATATAGTTCAGTACTAGTTAAGGGAGGGGAAGGATAGACGCGGGAACAGAAAACTTACGGACTCTAATATAATAATCTGTGCTTACGATGGTATATATAGATTTTGAACATATAAATAAAATTGGAGTATCTGTTTGTAACATTGAAATAACCACTTTTTACTACATGCATAATTTTAATATTCTTTTGATAAAATTGCAATTAGTAAGTGCAATTGGTCCGTTTCAGAGAAGTATGGCAACTAACAGTATGACAGGAAAATTTTATATGTATTTAGATAGATAAATAAAAATCTATAGAATATTCTGTTGTAGGGATTTCATGTACCTAGATAATGTAAAGTTATTAATTTCCAGATTTACAAAGGTACTAATGTATATGGCATTCTCCGAGCTCCTCGCACCTCCTCACTTGAAGCCCTAGTAGTGACAGCACCATTTAGATCCTTATCTTCACATCAGAAAGGGACTGCTGCTGGCATAGCTCTAATGTTGGCTTTTGCCCAGTTTGCAAGACGTAAGAAAATTCATACCCTATTTTAAAATTCATATTTGAATTGATATATAAAATGTGTGGAGTGAAATTGCTTGTTATTTAAATTAATATTTATATACAGTGCAACATACATATGCTAACTTAATTATTTTTCATAATTTCAGCACAAAAATACTGGGCCAAAGATATTATCTTCCTGGTAACAGAACATGAACAACTAGGAATGCAGGCGTGGTTAGAAGCTTATCACGGATTGCAAAGTGACGCTGAGACATTCTACAAAAGTCTTGGCAGTTTTTGGAAGCCTGATACACCTGCTTTTGATTTCGGTAGTATAGGGGATGTGTTTAATTGGGTTAGTGATAATCAGAAGTGTTTGAACCCTGGCAAATTGAAAGGAAGATCAGGATCAATACAAGGAGCTATTAATTTAGAGTTTCACACACCTAAAATAAGTAAGTATTCATAATGATATTTTTTTAATGCCATTCACCTCATAATTCTTGACATCATTTTTAATGATATTTCTTTAAACTTGGTGGTTAATATCATTAGGTATTTACATATACATCTTAGCACAGTCTTTTTGTTGTTCTGAAATGTAAATACACAAAGTAATTGTTTATTTAATTCATGTAATTGTTTATATAAAGCATGTCTAAGAACACTATGTTATATAAATACAATACATAAATTACTAAAGAAATCAACTAAGTGACACATCCTCAGTGATCTAGCTGTGTAGAACACCTATATTGCCAATGGTAGCGGGTTCGATTGACCTTTTTTCTTAAACTATGTGGTATTTCCTATTTTTTTTTCAGAATACATAGAAGTCAAAGTAGAAGGACTGAATGGTCAGCTGCCTAACTTGGATCTAGTCAATTTAGTTCACAAACTGTGTGTAAAGTCTAGTATACATCACTCATATAAAAATAGGTTAGTACCAATAATATAATACTTATTAAATTTTGATATCCTTGTATTTGTGGCCAGATTTACATGTAAAGCAAGAAGACAGATATAGTTCTATAGACATAGGACTGATTTTTAAGAGTAGAGTTCTATCTAAAGTTTATTTTATTGAATGAACACAGTAAAATAAAGAAAAAGATAAAATAAAAAAGCGGCCAGTTATTGCTAAGCGTTTGTATTAAGATCTGTTGTCAAGATATATGCAGAGTATGTGTCATACATATATATATTTTCATAGCATAGGAGACAAACAAACATGCGGCTTCTCTTTATGTAGGTATTTACAAAAAAAATATACAGGTTGAATTTTTCTTAAATTTGAAACTGTAATTATGATATAATAATTTTTTTCTGATTTTTCTCGTGATAATTACAAGCAATTCTGTCACCCCGTTTCAGCTTGACGTTGAGTTCTGGAACAGCATGTATATGTTTATGAATTGTTCTGGAGTATTATTATTAGAGAAGTGTAAATTGACATTGAGTGAGCAAGACATGTACAACATACAAATAAATTACTTTGATACTATATTTTAATATTAATTATATTAATTTTCCAGTTATTCATGGATTCGCACGAAAGTTAAGTCGGAAGAATGGACCAATGGCATCTGGACGATGCTTGGCATGGTGTCTGCTCAAATTGCTGGGGTAACTGTATAGATAAAAAAATATATTTTAAAGATTAATAATGGAATGGTGCCCCCGCTTGCGCTAATGGTTAACGCTGTCGGGGCACCAGTGAAGGATGATGAGATAAACATGAGGTCAGTTCAGTAAGCCCATCGTGAAAAACTTACACAACTATTATTAATAGTACTTTAATTTTAGGTTCCAAACGGTAACCATGGTCTATTCCATCGGTTCGGAATAGAAGCCGTTACCCTAGAGGGACGGGACGCAAACGACCCAGCGGGTACTCCGCCCAGAGTGAATGCACTCACCACCGCTAATTTCTACCGCCTTGGTATTGCGCTAGAGAGTATACTTAGATCTTTAAACAATCTTCTAGAACGATTCCACCAGAGTTACTTCTTTTACTTGCTGGCAGCTACAAATAGGTTTATATCTATTGGTAAGTGAACTGCGTTCTTAAGATGCTTATAATTTTAGATCATTAATAAATTTAACACCTGACAATTTCTGGTCTCCTGATACATTGTGATCTCGATGGTTTAGGTTTAGCACCCTTAGCGAGTACGATTCCTTGCACGGTACAAACATTTGTATTCATGAGTAAAATTGGCCTGGGTGTTTTCTATACATATTATGTTTATGTACTTAAACCTGGAGTCTAGTACCCATTACACAAGCTCTGATTAGCTTGGGACTAGATGGCGCTGTGTGAATTGTCCTGATTTATTATTATTGATGTATCATACTAACCCATAGAATGTCCCACTGCTGGGATTTCTCTACAGTTGTGTATTTAAGTTTGTTGACCTTGGTTTAGTTATTAATTTAATGAAATAAATAAAGATGTTTACATTGTAATTTACTTACCATATAATAATATTTATTTAGAAAAGCAACACGTAAGTTTCTTGCTCATTCTTCTTGTGGTGAGTCTGTGTTCCGAATGAGTGGTAGAATAAAAAAATATACTATTCAAAAGTGCTTATATTAAGTTTATTTGAATAAAGATTATTTCTATTTTTTAATAATATTACTATATTTCTAGGTCAGTACATGCCGTCTTTATGTTTACTCTGCGTGGCAATACTAGTCCGCGCTCTTTCTCTATGGGTCACCATACAACAAGATGGCGACGAGGAACCACTTAAAGCCGTAAAACGGAAGACGTCCGACGCGAGTGTATCAGGCGAGCAGGAACCTAAGGAGGTACCTGAGGAGGTATCTGAGGAAGAACCTTTGTTAAAGGAAAAGAAAGTAGACGAGTCTAATATGAGTATTGTGAACATAGGCATCAATTATTTACTGGTGCATCTACTTGGTTATATTGTTTCCAATTCGCCGAAGTTATTCAGTAAAATAGGTCAGTTATTATTTATTCTATACTAGCTGTGCCCACGGTTTCACGCGCGTGAAATTTATATGTTATTCTGATGTATAAGCTATATTACTGTAAATATTATTAAAAATCCGTTCAGTAGTTTTTTCTCACAAACTCGTGTTTATAATACTAATAAGATAATATTGATACGTGAAGCAAAAACTTTGAACCCCTCTGTAAGGTAATTGCTCTGATGAAGTTTGTTAAATTTTGCAACTACCATATTATTTTACGAATATGAATGATTATATATTTTTTTTAATTATGCATAAAAATACGTAAAATGTATGTATAAAATTGCTCTGATGAAGGAGTATGAAATTTTGCACACTGACCGTTTATATTTAGGAGTGCAGAATGATTAAGTATATATATATTTTAATTATGCATAAAAATACGTAAAATGTATGTATAAAATTGTAGAAACAAAAATTTAAGCTTTGCTTAGCTTGGGACTAGATGGCGCTGTGTTAATTGTCCTAAGTTATTATTATTATTGTTCTTTAGGATTTACAATATTAGTGTGTATGTATGATTTAACCTTTTTTTTAACTTTTACAGGATCAATATATTATAATCAACCATCAGAAGTATCAGTATTCTATGGTCTCATAGCGACATCAGTGTTTCTAGTCTTTGTGACCCCATTAATGCCGAGGATTCTACGCACGGGTCGCATGACCCACGAGGAGTTATCACTAGTCAATATACTGTTACTTATAGAGTTGGCGACAGTCTGCCTTTCAGTGGGAATGCATAATTTCCCACTAGGCTTAGCCATAGCTGTGCTATACACTCCTCTTGCCCTGGTAGTTGGCGTTGAGACTATAGAAGGTGGTAAGAAAAGGTACGATGTGTTTTTGCCCCTTGTGAACTGTTTTTAAAGTCAAAGAAAATTTCATATTGGATTAGATCAAAAGTAATTTTCTAATTATTTAAATATATACATACGTGAAGCAAAAACTTTGTACTCCTTTTAACGAAAATTGCGCGGACGGGAGGTATGAAATTTCACACACTTATTGTTTACTAGCTGTTCACGCGACTTCGTCCGCGTGGATTTTAACTTTATTTTTCTAATATAAAAGTAGCTTAAGTTACTCTTTATTACATCAGCTACCTGTCAAAAAAAGTCCCGTCAAAATCGGTCTAGCCATTTCAGAGATTAGCCAGAACAAACAGACAGACAGACAGACAAAATTTTTAAAAAGTGTTATTTTGGTGTACCTACCGTATTTATATATGAGTGTAGTAAAAACCGGTTATTTCAATATTACAAACAGGCACTCCAATTTTATTTACATGTATAGATATAGAGAATGAGTGTAGAACACTAATATTTTTTATGTATAAAAATTACAGTAAATATCAAAAAATATTACACACACTACTATTTATTTGTGACACACATATATACTTTTTGTTTATTGTTAAAGTCTGTGGTCAAATTGAGAATAGATTAATATTTTTTTTTATACTGCGATAGTGGCAATCAAGCATGCGGCCCATCTGATGGTAAATGGTTATCGTAGCCCATGAACGCCTGAAACACCAGGTGTATCACGTGCACGTTGCCGACCCTTAAGAAACCTTAATATACCTTTCTTAAAAATATAAAAAAGGAATAATAATCAAATATAAAGGTATTTTTGTGAAGTTTACTAAATTAATTCTACTGGAGTAAACAGAGAAGACTTTTTTTGTTAATTAATTTCTCCTTTCAAATTCAAAATATCTATATTCATGTAGGTCTATTACAGACTCTTATGATATGTCAAATCTACAGTCAGTTCGGAATGATTTCGAGATGAAAAGAACTGACAAGAAACTCAGCTCGTATTTTTTTTAATGTTGTACATATTTACAATAATATAGATTTTTTAAATTCAAATTTGGGAGAATAGAGTGAGTGAGAGCATATGCTGGTGCATATGCTATATAAAAAAAATAGACCTTTCTTTTTCAGACCTATAAAGAATTTATTCAAGCGAATATTGTGCCTGTTGCTGCACCCTTTGTGCGTAGTGACTGTGGGCATGATCGCATACAGCCGCGTTCTGTTCTCGGAGGAAGATTTGTTGTCTATGGCGGGACGGGGGCGAGACGCTGCCATGCAGGCTATCATGTTCTCTATTGTAGACTCACTTGTAAGTTCTGTTACTAAATAATTATAGTTTAGTAATCATTTTTATATTATACTAGCTGTGCCCGCTACTTCGTTCGCGTGGAATAGTGACCTTATATAGAATTTTTTAATATTTAGGCTTTTTATTTTACAAATAAGACATGCATGATAGCATTTTAGCTTCAAAATATACAAACTTCATAGTAAAACAAAGGATTTTACTTAGGGTATTTTTTTTACAAACTTTGAATGTCATATTTATTTCATATTTGATTAAATAACCTCATTGCTCACAATGTATGATACATTATGAATCAGATTGACCTCCAGGCGATTCCCCCTGGAAACCATCATGGTAAATTACCATTTACAACAATGTGCTAACTGATCTGATCTCATATTCATCTTATCATCCTCCACAATTGTCCCGTAAGCACAGGCAGGTGCACCATTCCATTGTCATCCACAAAAAAGATATCTACCTAGGGGAATCTATTTACTAAATCTGAATATTTGTTGCAGATTTATGGCAACTGGTTATACAACGTGGCGTCAGCAGTCATACTACCCATTTGGATTATATTCTGGCAAATACTGTGCATCAGAATCGATGACACAGTGTAATCGTCACAAGATAAAAAAAAAATAACCCTGGACAATAAACACAGCGTCATCTAGTCCCACGGTACGCAGAGCTTGTGTTACGGATACTAGACAACTGATATAAATATTTAGATATTTTTTTTGTAAATATTGTTTGTGTGGTATATTTTATGTATAATATGTATTTACAAAAAAAAATATCAATTTATTTAGTTGTGTAGTACACATAACACAAGCTCTGCTTGGGACTAGATGGCGCTGTGTGAATTGTCCTGGGTTATTTCATTATTGATCCTTGTCATTCCAAAGAATTGAAATAAAATATTTCTAATAAAAAAATATGTTTTATTTTTATAATCGACGGTAGGTGGTACTGTTTACATTACATTAGTACGAGTATAATCATAATATGCTACTCCCTAGTCATTTAGTGTAATACATGTACCTGCTACCTATCTTTAATAAATAATTAAATTAATTAAATTTGCTTAAGTTTGTATTATTTAATTTTCATCTATTATATATATATTTGTCTCCTAAAACGGAGTATCTTGTCTAGTCTAGTCTGCCTTAACGCAAACTACACTCTGATAGATTTGACTTATAATAAGTGTCTAGTTTACAAAATAACTTCACAAATATAGAAATTTTGATTAGATTTAGTTTAAAACCATTTCATACTTTGTTTTGAATGGACGTGTATCTAAAGCAGCCCTATATAGCAGACTTCAGATTTAACCTCATGCTCATCATCATGATATATCAGGTCAGTTCATCCTCCACTGGTCAGCGCCCAGCCAGCGTAAACCGTAAGCGCAGGCGAGTGCACCATTCTATTATCATCCATAAAAAAAATTATCACCACTATTCCCATATTACCACGAGTTTTAGGCGATCTGTATGTAGACATCTAACCTCACCCATTAGCAGAAATACGCATCGAAACGCGTAAATACGCGTCAATCGACGTACACATGTTTCTGTCTCATGTTTTTACAACGATAATAGGTAATGATAAATTCTTGGAGGTATCTGTAGACAAACTCATTAGTTTTAAAATATATCTAGATATGTATTACGTTCTTAATCTATGGTAATATTCTATTTATATCGTTTTTATTACTTTATAGTTTTTATGGATGATAATGGAATGGTGTGCATCTGCGCTAACCGTATACTCAATTTCTTATTAATATTATAAATACGAAAGTTTGTGAGTATGGATGTTACTTACTGTTATTATTATTACAAACTGTCTATTTGTAATATTGAAATATTTTTATTTATATTGTATTTTCTTCCAAAGAAAATATATAAATTTGTTCTTGATACTCTGTCATTGCGTAATAAATGAACTACATAATAAGTCGGATGTTTTAATTAATACATATTAATTGACAACTAGGAAAAGTGTTAAAAAGGCAAACTTTATTGGAAATATTTCACTTTTTGACCGCAAAACAAGACAACAACAGTGGCATATTTTTCAAAGCAGGTTGCAGCAATATATTAAATTAAATAGTATTGCAAATTACTTGAAAAGTGCTATATTGTTTACACATTTGTCCGACGAAACATACGAGTTTGGCTCGGAATTTAGTACATCCGCGCGAATTAGAGACGCTGGTTTTTGATGAGCTCATAAAATTACTTGATGATCACTTTACACCTAAGAGGCTGACTTTATCAGTAATTAATACTAATATGTTAGGATTATTATTACTACTATGTAATATTATTTTTACTGTGTATTTTAACTAACATCCTCTTCGTTAGGGGAGATTGTTAGTAATGTGGAATGATCATCTCATTGCTAGTAATACCTTGTCAGGTTGACCTCCACGCGGTTCCCCCTGGAATACGTCGTGATAAATTATTCCTTGTGAATTTGTCACGATGGGCTAACTGACCTGACGTCATACTCATCTTATAATCCTCCACTGGTGCCCCGCTAGCGTAAACCGTTAGCACAGGCGAGTGCACCATTCCATAATCACCCATAAAAAAAAATGTTGTCAAATGTTGACAAGTTGACCTCCTCGCGGTCTCCATTAGGAACCATGACGATAAATTTCTTATGTTTTTATCACGATGGGCTGACCTGACCTCATGTTCATTTTATTCTCCACTGGTACCCCACCAGAGTAAACCGTTAGCGAAGTCTGTTGCACCATTCCATTACTTATTTAAAAGAGCAACACACAAGTTTCTTGCTTATTCTTCTTGTGATGTATCTGCATTCCGAATAAGCGGTAGAATAAAAAAAAAACTTGACTATTCAAAAGTGCTTATATTAAGTTTATTTGAATAAAGATTATTTCTATTTCTATTTCTATCATCCATTAAAAAAATCGTTTCCCCAATCCCCATTACAAAAAATGTATGGTATTATTAATGTATGACATAAGTATGTACTACATTTTTATCTGTCTTCTATCAAAGTCGGTGTATATCGAGTTTAAAGCGGGACAAGTCAGTTTTTCGTATTATTATAATTTAAAACATATTTGCATATCTGATACCGTCATATTAAGAATATTTTCCATCTCGTATTTAATCCATTAATAGCTGTCTCGCATTGTTATGAGACGGCCTCGGTTGTCTAGTGGTTTAGTACACCGCCTTACGTCCACTAGTCTCGGGTTCGATTCCTCGCAAAGCACAAACGTTTATATTATGAGTACGAATTTTTATATTGGCCTAGGCGTATATATCTATGTATATGTTTGCAAAAAAATGCGTTTTATTATTTATATCAGTTGTCTAGTATCCATAACATAAGCTATGCTTAGCTTGGGTCAAAATGAAATTTTATGAATTATCTTAGGTTATTATTATTAGGTATATATGTTTTTTGCTATATTATTGGTAGAGTCATGTTATTCGGCGAAGGAGAGGCGGGGCAGAACTGAGCATTAAATATTAAAGTGGATAATAAACTTTTGATTTTCTTGCCAGTTCTTCTCAACTGAAGCACCTAACCGAACTGGACGGTAGGGATGCTCCTGTACTTATACTTATTACTAAAAAAAAATAGAATATAGAATAGAAAATCATTTATTCAAATTAACCTAATTTAAGCACTTTTAGACAGTAACAATTTTTTTTATTTACCGCTCATTCGGAAAGCTGTCTCATCACAAGAAGAACGAACAAGAAACTTGTCTGCTGTTCTTTTCAATAATCCTTGTAAGTTCACATATACAAGTCGAAACGTGTTAAATATATATGTATTGAACATCGAGGTCTTTAATATCTGTTAAAATTGGCATACTTTTTTTATTTGTTTCTCTACTGATGTGATTTTTCATTTCTAATTATGTATGTAGCTATATTAACAGAGTTTTCTACTTTGCCGCGGCCATACGACAAATGTTTTATTTGTTTAATGTGTTTCTCTGGAGTGTATGTTTAGTTACGATATGTAATCTATATATTATAATTAATACTTATATATATCTAATATATAAAATTCTCGTGTCACAGATTTCGTGTATATACTCCTTCGAAACGGCTTGACCGATTATGATGTAATTTTATATGTATATTCGGTCTGATAATAGGTTTATAACTAATTTTTATACACCTAAGAGTTAAGGGAGCCACCCTTAACGTACGCTAAAATAAACTTTTTCATAATGTGGCATTAAAATATACATACAATCCTAATTATATATTTTCACCCTTCTACGATCAACCCCTATTTTTAATAGCGATTTATTAATTTATAACAACGTTTAACGGGTCAGCCAGTGAACATATATATTTATTTTCAATTCAATTGTAATAATATTGTAATAGGTAGGCGTTTTGAATACAGAAGGGCGTAGAATTACAGTTTATCCTAGTCAATCATCACGAACACGATCAACGTCGCAGACAGAAACTAGTTCAATATTCGTTAGGATACATCGTAGCGAATAAGATTTATTTATAAATTATTATATTTATTTAGTGTTAATTCCCACTTAAATTATAATGCTGTTTATCATTGGAAGATTCAGTTATCTACAGTAATAATACATTTGTATGTACTTCTATACAGCCGGCGCTGTTCAACGTTACTCCATCTATGTTTGCTCTAATTATGTGGTTAATAACAATAAAGATATGTAATTAAATGTTTGAAACACAGATTGTTGTGAAGCTCGCATTTTCAGAAAAGAAACTTAGTTCATAGTCAGTTCGGAATTGGACACAGTTGTGTAAAAAATGGCTATTTTATTTCAAGTATTAGGTACCATTGTGGGTAAGTAATTTTTTTTATATTTTAATACTAAACCCGGCTCGACTGTGATGGTAATTAGTGAATATACAGCAGAAAATATAGCTGTGCCCGCGATTTCGTTCGCACGCACGCACGCAACGTAAGCCCTGAAAAATGAATAATTTTTACAATATTTTTCACTGATGCTTCGCTTATATTGGTCGTACCGTAATGTTATATATCTTAAACCCTTCCTCGATAAATGGACTATCCAACACAAAAATATTTTTTCAATTCGAACCGAAGTAGTTCCTGAGATTATCCTCAGAGAAAAAATATAATAAAATAAACGTATTTACCTCCCAACTTTCGACTAGGTTGCACTAGCCGTTGACATGACAAGGACAAGACAAGTTATTCGTGTTAAAATCCAAACGCAAAATCTTAAAAATAAGTATAAAAGCAGTACTAAATTTGAATGTGATGGATTAAACTTTTTGTTTTACCAACAATGTGCCTAATAGGCTATTCACGGGAGCGTTCTGTATTCTATTATACATATATGAATAATTTATACTGATTAAAATTGGTTGCGTATGTTTAAAATATTTAAATATATAGACAGCGACGAGGAATTATCATCGACAGGAAATTCATCCCCACACGCTGGATCCTAATTGGTCTTGGACAGTGCGGTTTCAGAGGAGCTTCCTCCACGTATACTCACATTGTAGACTGAACTACCTGCCGAGGTTTTCTCGAGACACTACATAGATTATTAAGAAGATATTAAGGTTTCTTGATTCTTGATGTGATAAACTGTTTTTACAAAAAAAGAAATTCAGTTGAGTTTCTTGCCAGTTATTCTCAATTGAAAAAAATGACCTACATGAATAAATGATTTCTGATTTGATTTGGTATTTTATTTCCAGTATGCTTCCTCACAATGACCATGGGCGTAATGTTTGCCTGGCCGTCATCAACACTAACACTCTTCAGATCTGAAAACACAACACTACACAGAGTAATGTCGGAAACAGAGGCAACCCTAGTGGGCAGTCTGTCCAGTATAGGAGCTCTATGTGGTACCCCGATTGCGGGTTTCCTACTGGATAGACTTGGGAGAAAACACACTGGCATTGTGTTCTCTTTATTGAGCGTGGTAAGTACAGTTTTATATTGTTGTTTCTAAATCTGTTACGTTATTGTGGCCAAGAATCAGAGATAGATTTTATTGTCTGTCTATAGAGAGGGATTAAATGCCGTAAAAAGTCTACAATTGTTTAGATTTAGGCTTCCTCTTCAACTTGGCAAAATCTGCAAATCTTTATTAAGCATAAGCCTAAGTTTGCCATATGTTTATTTAATTTGCAGTGTCTGGGACCTACTATATAAAATTGCATAGAAAAAAATGTGTCTACCATTAACACCCCTAAAACCAATTATGTTATCTGTGACTAAAACTAAGCTCGGTTAATGATGTTTTTTTTACTAGGTATGCTGGACTATGATCGCAAGTAGCAAACGAGTGGAAATGGTACTGGCTGCCCTATTTGTATCGGGGTTAGCTGGCTCCTCATTTCTAGTCGTCCCGGTTTTCGTGGGAGAATTCTGCCAGGAATCTATCAGGGGATCCATGGTGTCAGTGTCTTTACTCTTCTATGGAGTGGGAATGCTGCTTTCATACCTGATGGGAGGTTTTCTATCTTACTGGCACATGGTATACGCATCTCTAAGTCTATCTATCGCCAGTGTGTGTTTTCTGATGATTCTGAAGGAGTCTCCAACGTTCTTATTGTCGAAGGGTTTGGAAAAAGTAAGTTGGTCATTTATTATTTATGTATATGTATGAATATTTTACCTGACCTTTGACTTGGCAAACCAAACCATTTATTTTAAATAATTAAATATCATTACAAATTGGCGGACAACTGACTATGGAGCAAAGACATAATTATACAGTTATTGATTTGATTTGATTGATTTGACGACCTCGGTGGTCTAGTGGTTTAGCACACCGCTTTATTTCCGATGGTCGCGGGTTCACTTCACATAACATTTGTATTCATGAGTGTGATTGTTTGTCAATCTGGGTGTTTTTTTATGTATAATATGTATGTATTTACGAAAATAAATTTCTATGTATTTGTATCAGTTATCTATTACCCGAAACACAAGTTTTAGCTTGCTTAACTTGGGATGGCGCTGTGTGAATTGTCCTGACAATATTATTATTATATTATTGATAGTTTATAAACTTGTCTTTGGAGAATAAAATCTATGTAGTAATAAATACAATTTTAAAACAACGTGGAATGACATGAAACCTTTGTAAGCAATTACTCGCGGAAGAGTTAATAAAAAATTAGTTAAATGCAATCACTCACGACTGCTCAGTTGGCTTTCTCGTGCTGAGTCGCACGGCTCCTGATCGCAAATGAAAAAACATGTCCTAAAGACGGCAATTCATATGGTAGTGAAATTACAGTGTACAGAGCTATAATAATTTGGTCCTCAATGGCCACGGGCATCACGGCATCACCTCATCATGTGACGCTTATGATACCACTCAAGAGTTGCCATTCTAGAAGATTGTGACGTCATACTTCTTATCCAGTAATTTCAATTTTATGTCTTCAACGCCCTAGAACCGAAACAGCTTACAATGCAGGCAGCTTGACTGCTGAAATAGGTTAAACTGAGGTATCCACGCAGACGTCAGTCTACTTCTGGTAAATTTATATATTGTCCCAATTACATAAAAAAATTTTACAGAGAATAGTCTTTTTCCATTTTTGACTAGCTGTTCCTGCGACTACGTCCGCGTGGAATTTAACAACATTTTTATAAAATAGAAGAATTTTTCTAAAATAAAAGTAGCCTAAGTTACTCCGTTATATATCTAGTTACATCAGCTACCTGCCAAAAAAAGTCCCGTCAAAATCGGTTCAGCCATTTCAGAGATTAGCTGGAACAAACAGACTGACAGACAAAAATTGAAAAACATGTTATTTTGATATATGTACCGTATTTATATTCATATGCATATATGTATATATATATTATCTGATTACATTAATAATGAGTGCGTAGCGACTTCTATGTTGATTATCGCATGCCTCTTACTTGTTATACTGTAATTATTTATATAAAAAAAAACATCTATTAAAAAGAGCAACACACAAGTTTCTTGCTCATTCTTCTTGTGATGAATCTGTTCCGAATGAGTGGTAGAATCAAAATATGACTATTCAAAAGTGCTTGTAATGAGTTTATTTGAATAAAGATTATTTCTATTTCTATTTCTATGCATGTATTAAATAATAGTAAATAACGGTTATTTCAATATTACACACTTCAAGTGAGCGATAGTATTTATCTCCTCAGTATAGAGTGTATACCTACCAAAGGAGATACAGTGGACCCGCGGTAATCCGGCCCCTGTCTTATCCGGCCCCCTTCGTAATCCGACATAGTCTATTATTTATTATTGAATATTTTTTTGACAATATACCTCAGAGTGCATATACAAACATACATATATAACATAGAATCTTATCACTGGATCTGTAATTTGTCGGATTACAAGATACTCTTTAGTAAAAAATTCCGGACTATAGGGGATCCTTTGACCCCCTCTATAATCCGACAAATTAGATGGTCCGACACTGCCCTGCAAAACATTTGTCGGATAACCGGGGATCCACTGTATTTTATTTATACATGAGTGGGCAATAACCACATAGGTTGTGTAAACAGTCGTTGCGATACTTAGGTACAAAATTTCTCATATGACCATGTTTTAGGCTGCAGCAGAGGCGATAGCATTCTACAGAAGCGCGAAGTCGAATTCAAAGGAAGTCCTACAGGAGATCACGTTGATCAAACGGGTCCTCAACGCGGATGCTGATGCGGGTCTGTACTATATAATATTATTTTATCTGTGGTATAACTTAGCTTGCGTTACATAAACTAATATTATAAAGAAAATGATAGACAGATCGCATTTTGATATGTGGTACATAAAATAAGAATCACTGAATTTATTTGAAAAATTATTTTACTGTTTTTTTGCAATTGTGTTAATGGTACTCACATGCGCTTGGAATATAATACACAGTCAGGTTTCATCTATGTACATTATGTATGTATTTATAAAAAAAAGTAGTTTCCGTAACTTCTATATTCCACAATCCATAAGTAACAAGCTTATGTATATGGACGTAAACTTAAACACACACAGCAACAGGAAATATAATCGTACAGTAGAAGCTACGAGTCTACACTGACACAGAAACAGACCGTACAACGTTCACAACAAGTTCATAACTTAGTGCACAACTGCAGGGATCGGAGAGTATTATATATATAGTAGCATTATATACTATATATTCTCTCGACTTAAAAGATGTGACATTCAGGGACTAGCGAAAAGATTCGCAGACAGCGTCTGTGGGCTGGGCTGTGGACTCATTAAAGCGCCATTGAATTTGAAAAAGAATGCAAACAATGAAAGAAAAAAGCCATCAGATTGGACAATTATATATATAAAAAAGAATATTGCCAATTCGCACTATTCAAAAGGAAAAAAAGATTTCCGTAACACAAGCTCTGCTTAGCTTAGGACTAGAGGACGCTGTGTAAATTGTTCTGAGATATCATTATACATATTATTACTATTCTCGTTTAAAATAATCTACATTTGGTTACATAATTAGCAAGTAAGAGTGTTATTATTATTTCACAGTACTCATATAATAAAATGTTAAACATCCATTGTTATCTCAAACCTTTATATCAGTCATTTACAGATTTTCTCATTTAATCCGCTGAAATTAATTTTATGAGCTCTCACGTGGCTGGATTTTGTGAAATGGTTTTATTTGCTGGCTTTACATGGCATGTTTTTTCACGCCCACTTTGTACTCTTTTTGAGGAATTGCATTGAACTACTGTTTGTGTTCACTCCTTCACGCGTATGTTTCACTTTCTCTTAAAATTATTTTTTTCTTCTATGGAATGTATTTTTTAAAGACACGTGTAAGATGTAATAAATCTATACATAGAAATAAAAACCTGTTTGTGACAATGAAATAACCATTTTTTATTACATGCATACGGTACATGCACCAAGATAACATTTTTTACAATTTTTGTTTGTCTGTCTGTTTTTCCGGCTAATCTCAGAAATGGATGGACCGATTTTGACGGGGCTTTTATTGGCAGGTAGCTGATGTAATAAGGAGTAATTTAAGCTACCATTATTTTAGAAAAAAAAATTGTAAAATAAAGTAAAATTCCACTCGGACGAAGTCGCGTGTATAGCTAGTTATATAACTCTATATCAGATCTTTGTCCCATAGTCAGATGTCCGCCATTTTGCAATTTTAATTAACTATTACAAAAAAGCGCTAAAGCACCGGTTGTAGTACGCGGCAATGCGCTCACTGTCGACGCGAGCGGTCTTTCTGGTTCTCTTTATCTACATTTACATGCACATTCTTTCCTGCGTGAAAGACGATTCGCTCGTGAAAGAGTACGTGTGAAGGCTGTTTGATGAAATGTTTGCTCGTTGTTATTTTTATCTATCTTTCAGACTGAAATAATGGAAGATAATATATTATCTTTAAATATACAGATATATTTGAAGTAAGTAATAACTACTATACTCGTATTTTAAATAGAAATGGTGTATTGACAAGAGGGTATCGTAGACTAGTGGTTTCGAACTACAAATTTGTGTATTCAAATCTAGTTCCACCAAAAAAACTTCGTGTATCACCTATTCTGACTAACTTGAGCGAGCCTACCACCATTTCACAGATCATTTGACGGCCTCGATTGTCTAGCGTTTTATCACACTTGTGATGGTTGCGATTTCGATTCCTCGCGTGATACTATAATTCATCACTACCTTTCAGTTTGGCTATTTAGGTTGAAAAGTAATTGCAAGAAAGTCAATTGTTATATATTTTTATTTATTTTTTATTCCTCATATTTCAGGGGCCACCCCAGATGAGGAGAAGTTAAACCCAATGGCGGAGAAAAAGAAGTTATCCTTGTGGCAATATTTTAGTAAGTTTATTATAAGTTCATATGCAGATCTTTGACAATAGAACTTTGATAGGTCTATTCGATGCCTTATGATCAGAGGCGAAATACGTGTCACAATATGAGTCTAGAATCAATTACGGTCGGAATTTGATTACCTTTAAAGAAGGTCGTAATGGTAGTCAAGTTTCAAGAATATTTACTCTCTGTGATGGAGACATGCTAATTGTAAATGCAATTGAACAAAATAATATAAATACATTAAGTAATTAAATAGTTGAGACAGAGATACTCACGCAGACGAATTAGTACAAGGTCTAGCTCGGCGATAGCTTAAAATAATGTTAATGATTTCCGGAAAAGTCAAGCAATTTCTACCATTTCCAGCTGGGGATAATTTAAAATATTTTAATGATTTCCAGAGAAATCAAGATCAACCCGCCGTGCAATGTTTGTAACGTTGGTTATGATGACCACGTCGATATTCCAAGGTCTGGTCGTGGTGCAGGTATACGCCCAGCCCCTATTCGCCGCCACTGTTCCAGAGATGTCGGCCACGCTTGGCACCGTGATATTTGCCATTGTTGGTGTCTTGGCTGGTATTCCTGCTGCTTACATGATAGATGCATTTGGCCGTAAGGTAATAATTTCTTTATTCGTTTACTATGATTGTCATAGTCCATATTTTAGACGGCCTATCCGGCTCATCGCCTTCCGATGGTTCCTCGCACGATGCAAACATTTGTATTCATGAGTATGATTGTTTCTATCGGTTTGGATGTTTTCTATGTATTATATATTGGGTATGCATTTACAAAAATAAAATGCATAGCATCAATTATATTACAAACAGAAATGTATAACAGTATAATAAAAATAATGTAAACATTGTACGTTGCTATTCCTGAGGGCAAAGGTGTCACATTCTCTATACTGAAATTTCTCTGCCATATGTCTATTGAAACCGGAATAAATTCAAATTCAAATTCAAAAATCCTTTAATTGTAGGACATTTTAGCCGCTTATGAACGACAAGTTTTTACATTATAATTTTTTTTCCCTACCGTCCAGTTCGGTATATAGATCCAATTGAGAAGAACTGGCAAGAAACTCAATTGAATTATTTTTTCTTTAAAATCCAGTTTATTTACAATGCATAGGTATTTATATATATTACAATATATAGGTGTCTATGTCTAACATTAAATGAAAATCCCGAACATGAAAACTATTGCCATGCACGCTCGTCATTCAAGTAATCGTTTAGTGAATAATAGGCCTTGCTCAGTAAATATGATTTAACAGATGTTTTGAATTTATTTAAGGGTAATTCCAATATATCCTTTGGTATCTTATTGTAAAATTTTATACAGTTTACAAAAGCTGCTTAGCGGCTTAAATATGGCAATTTTGTACAGTCTGGTCTTTTAAAAAGAATGCAAATCCTTTCTCAATAGGAGCTCAGAAATTTCCAAGACATTGGTAATGTATGAATAATGCAGTGTATAAATATTTATTTCCAGCCACTCCTAATATACGCGTCCATCGGCTGCGGACTGTGCTGTATCATTTGCGGGACCCAGATACATTTACAGTGGGGTCCAAACTACTTGACACCAATATTTATATACATATTTTGCGCTGTGTACACATTCGGCGCTGGCAGTGTGCCTTTCGTGTTCTATGCTGAGGTGTTTCTTCCAGAGGTAACATTCCTCACATTTATGATATTCTAGTATTTCCAGTGCATATCGTTTTTAAAATTACTTTTTTATGAGTTAATTTATGTTTAAAATTATGTGTTATATAGTATTAGCTAATGAATGATTAAAGTTGGACTCTGACAGAAATGGCTTCTTTATCAGCTTTAGTTTGTTTGTTATTTCAATTACTTAAATAGCAGTATGGGAATAATTCCCTTTACCTATTCTTTATAGGTCAAACAAAACCAAAAAAATGAACTACTTAAAAATATGAATAGTTCAGAATGCTGAATATTGTATTGTCCAAGGTTGCTAGACTGCCAATACTGATTCTCAGATGGTACTACTACAACTCGCGTATGTCCCTGGGAATTCCTGAAAATGAGTGGTTTGCTGCTCGAGCAAACGATACAATCCGTCATACTCGTGAACAGGTGCTGCTTGTAGGGACTGGCCTGTTCGGGTTACGAACACTAATTAACTTGTTTGCTTTTGACAAAATTGCAACAGCATATACTGGTCTCTATGCTCTATTCTCCTAAATTTGAATTTAAAAATCTGTATTATTGTAAACAATATTTGAAAAGAATACGAGCTGAGTTTCTTGTCAGTACAACTCAATTTGAAAGAACTCAGAAATGACAGTAGATTGTACATATCATAAGAGTCTGTAATACAGAATACTATATTAATAAATACTTTGTTTTGTTAGCTGACCAATGTAATTATATGTTTACTTTTTGCCTTGTGTATTTGCACTTTAACACAAATATTTTACGGACTACTCTAATGCTGTTGGCCGCAGCTGAGTGCAGATGGCACTTAAACCCGCGGAAGGACAACTCGCCTGACGAATTCGACCTTAGTCTGAGGGCACCGCTAGGGATTCGAACCTCGGCTCAGGCCGTCGTAATTTCGTGGAATTGAATGGGGGATCGAAAGAAAGGGCCACCGGGGGCACCGGTGGGGAGTGCTCGGGCGCGCGCCGGCACTCGGTCGATTGTGCGGTGTGGTGTAACACAAATAAAAGTTTATCATATATTGTTTCAGATCAAAAGTTACGTGAACATGCTTGTAGTCGAGTGGGCTTGGCTGTGCAATTTTCTCATTCTGGTCATCTTCGAACCATTGGCCAGCTCCATCGGCCTGGGACCTGTGTTCTACCTGTTCGCCATTATCTGCTTCTTTACAGCACTATTCTGTACCAAGTATATGCCAGAGACCAAAGGACTGGCGGCAGATGAAATACAATTATTGTTCACACCCAAGAAATATAGACAGAATGTTGATACGTATAAATAAGTGTTTATCAATAGACAGCCTCAGTAGTTTAGTGGTCTAGCATACCGTTTTAATTCCGATGGTTGCGGGTTCGATTCCTCGCACGGTGGAAACATTTGTATTTATAAGTATGATTGTTTGTATCAGTATAGGCCTCTTCTATGTATATTATGTATTTACAAAAAAAATTGTAAGTATTTATAATATTTGTGGAGTACCCATAACATAAGCTCTTGGAACTTGGGACTAGATGGGGATATGTGAATTATCTAGGCATAGTAATGGTCTTCCAATGGTCGAATTTCGACCATAATTAATTTAAATTATAAGTTTGAACATTATTAAGAGTCTATTGTAAAGATTATACCTCTTTAAGTGTGTGTGAAATACATGGTAGTGTGTTATGTATTTTTTTTATTGATTTAATGTATTTTTTGCATAATTAATAAAAATCTCATTATTCTATATACTATAAGTGTGCAAAATTCATACTGCTACGTCCGCGCAGTTTTCGTAAGATGTAAAGTTTTTACCTCACATATTAATATAATAGATTATTTTATTTAATTATATAAAAACATTAATAAAGAAGTGATACAGTATGTTGATTTATGTTAAAAAATCTAGTGCTGAGTATTCTATTGACACGACTTTATTACTTCTTCCGTCCGTTTATCTCTTTCAGGATCTTCTGAATATTGTGTAAATAATGTTTTTATATATGCAAGTATATTGATATTATTATACTATACTATGTTCTAAAAGATGAAAGCGTGTTAGTGATGCTATGCATTTAAAATTTAGGATAATTTTCGATCGTGCTACCCAAACTGTAAAATAAAAGTTTTTTTTAATTTAATTTAGTACTTTCGAAATTTAAAATGCTGATTTAACATTATAAACTGTTTTTTTATTTGTATGGTGTGTAATAGTAGTCTCATTAGGTTTTTTTTTATTTTTTCAAACCTTTGGTCTAGGGTCTGCTACCAAATATTTTGTCGGATTGTCTTCAGTAACACATTATTCACAATTTGAAAGCTTAGCAATCGTTACATTTGTACACTTAATATTATTATTATTTTTAAGTATAACTTGTATTATTTTGATAATTTTAATAAAAATATTTTTTCAAGAATGACGTTAATTTATTTATAAATGGGGATGGACCAATCTACATGTACTGTATATATTTTCTTACTGGGTTCCCTACTCGAAATGCAGAGAATATACAGCATACAGACAACTCTAGCTTTCAAAATTTTCGCAATTTTTCTCATTTTATATTATATTTTATCTTAATGATATTATAAACACGAAAGTTTATGAGTATGGATGTTTGTTACTATTTAACGCTAAATCTACTGAACTGATTTTGATGAAATTTTACAGTAATATAATTTATACATCAGAATAACATGTAGGCTATAAATTTCACGCGGGTGAGCAAGGGGGTACAGCTAGTTATATTTTCGTTTATGGTTTCTTACATATAATTTTTTTAATATTCTAACTCCTTCATCTAACGAGACATAAATAAAATTATTATTGATCTTAAACAAAGTAAATTCTTATACAGCTATATAATATTACCATTATTTATCCAGTAATATCAATGGTAAACCGGAATATAGTTTGCTTAGAAATGTTATCTTGGGTTCGAATAATACAAATCCATTTAGTAGTGAAATTTACTTCCGCAACATAACATAACAGTTTGGTAATAAAAAAAATATTCAAAAAAAGTACAACAATATACACAAAAAAGTAAATTATCATGTATACTTTTATATATATATTTGAATAATAACGTAACCGAAACGTATCTGTATTTAATACCTATTTATTAAATAAACTTGTTGTAATTAATAAAAATAATTTGTTGTACAATGTAATTGGCAAATAGCAAACAGATACTGATTCAGATATTGATCAGGTATGTAACCTACATACCTGATAACCAGTGTCAACGTGGAAAACACGGAACCACCTGACCTCCGATGTACCCCTCATGTATTACTATCTGGAGGACAAAGATCTAACGCCTTAGTATCTTGTCGGCGAGTAATATACTCGTATTTTTTTTTTATGTATGATAATGGAATGGTGCACCCACAGGCGGGTGCACCATTCCATTATCATGCCTTGGTTTACGCTGGAAGGGCACCAGTGGGGGATGATAAGATGAGCATGAGGTCAGTTAGCCCATCGTGACAAATTCAACAAGAATTTATCACGATGGTTTCCAGAGGGAACCGCGTGGAGGTCAACCTGACATGGTTCATTGCTAGCAATGAGATCATAAGTCCACATTACTAACAATCCCCTTTCCCCCCACATACTCGTATTTGAAGCTGAGCAGAGTAGCTTTGTTCAAACTATTCTGCTGGCCGCGGCTGGTGTTTGCAGCTTCACCAGACAATACCGGGGACAATAACAACATCGGGGACGAGTGCAGATAGCACTCCAAACCCTCAGAGCTTATGAAGAGGCTGAAGGCCAACTCCTGCCTGACGGATAAGACTTTAGTCTGAGGATACCGCTAGTGTTCGAACCTCAGCTCAGGCCGTTGTAATTTCGATCCCCGTTTGAATTGGACGGTTGATCGATCGGACGGACAAAACAATGATAGTTTCCTATAAAATAACGTGAATTTTGGTTATAAGAAATTTCCAGTTGAGCATTTGTAATTTCCAATCACTTCGTAAGCGAAGTAAGCTAAGTAATTTACTTAAGATTGTATTTTAAAGGAAGGAAACAATAATCAGTCATAGAACTTAATCTTGAGCAGTCCAAGGTCGCTCTTCATTAGTTATTTCATAATCTTAACAATTGGTAGATCACATATTCAAACAATCAAAACCATGTCATGACTAGGCGTTCATGATTTCGAAAGATGCTAAACTTAATATTTTAACGGCGCTCTGTATAGATAAGATACAATAGACACCAAAATATTCACAGTCATGTATGAAAGTCGTAACAACTTTATTAGATCATATTACCTTTATTAAAACGTTTTTATCTCGGAAATAGTCGTGTGATAAAATAATGCGTATCTGTCGATCTCTTCTTCACTATTCATCTATCCGCTTCACTGTTAGAACCTATTACAAGGTGTGCTAATTCATATTGTGATAAAGATGGGGGTGATCGTGCAAGTGATTTCGACTTTTATACGTAAGTAATTGTCCACTATTCCATGCAGATCGAGAGCGTCTTTATTGATACTTCAACGCGGTGACGACAATTCCGCCGGAAGTAGCTTGTAAAGCAATACATCTAGTTTATAATAAACTAATGATGTGACAGGGCTTCACCCGGGTGCTCATACATAACATTCTGTTACATATGTACTAACATAGTATGCCTATGTCATTCTCAGAAAAAGTATTTTTCAAGTGAGTATACTGCCCATATCTATCGAACACTCCGAGCTTTTATGATAACCTAATCCTCGGGAGGGGAGAAAATGAGATTGTTAGTAATGTAGACTAACGATCATTGCTAGATGTACCATGGTCAGGTTGATCCCCAATCTTGTGGAGGACAACCCCTTGGAAAACATCGTAAAGTTCTAGTGTATTAGTCACAATTGGCTAACTAACCTGACCTTATGCTCATCTTATCATCCTCCATTGGTGCATCGCCAGGCGGGTGTACCATTCCATTATGGAAATTCAACAATTATTTATTTAGGTAACACAAATTTTGACAAAATTCTAATCAATTTTCGAAGCCTTCTTTTAAGCATAAAATGTCTGTAGAGATTCCACTCTTCCGTAGCTTATATAGTAAGTTTTGAAAAATTGTCATACCATAGAAAAAACTATTTATTTAGAGTTTTTTCTTCTAGTGTTTATTATTCCCCAGTATCCTACAGCAGTCTGGCCATGGGACTGACTTTCGCGTGGCCATCTTCAACATTCCTTCTCTTCACCTCGGAGAATACAACTTTAAACCGACCAATGACTGATGGAGAAACTGCTTTACTGGGCAGTTTGTCCAGTATAGGAGCTTTGGTCGGTAATCCTATAGCCAGTGTGCTATTGAATGTGATTGGAAGAAAGTATTGTGCTGTACTAACAGCTTCTATAGGTGTAGTAAGTATTAAATGTTTATTAAGAATTACTTCTTTACGTAATTTAAAATGAAGTCGTCGCTGCTCTCTGTTCGATAGAAATTACTAGTCGCTTGGTGGTAACCGGTTGAATTCAACCGTAATAAATTTAAATTACATTTATAAGGATTTATTGCCAAAGACTTGACTTGACTTCTATGAGTGTTTGTGTCAAATACCTGGTAGATTGTGTAAAGTTTTTTTTATTGATTTAACGTATTTTTTATCCATAAATTTTAAAAAGTATTTGCATTTTTTACTCCTTCTATATAAACTATAAGTGTGGGAAATTTCATACTCGTCTTCGCAGTTGTCGTAAAGAGTTCTTGCTTCACGTAAAATGTAATGATATAAAGACTCTTTTCATTTCTATTTTATTATTTTCCAGATATCCTGGATAATGATATCATTCAGCAACCAGGTGGAGGTTATTCTAGCTGCTTTGTTCATATACGGTATCAGTGGTTCTGTGTTCCTAGTAGTGCCAGTTTATATCACAGAGTTTTGCCAAGAATCCATCAGGGGCACTATGGCCTCATGTCCTATAATATTCTACGGCCTCGGAATGTTGGTGTCTAACTTGCTTGGCGGTTGTTTGGAATACCACTCTCTGACTTATGTTATCCTAGCCATGAGTGTGTTTGGAGTTGCTATGTTTTTGTTCCTGAAAGAGTCGCCGGTGTATCTCATGACGAAGGGAAGGAAAGAGGTAAGAATTTACATCATTATGAACTTTTCTTAAAGATAATAATAAACTTCATGACTGTTAACCCAGATGGATAGACAGGAACTATCACTTGAGAACGTCATGACATATCTACGTTTTAGTTTAGTGTGTTTCAAATTCAAAATTCAAATTTAAAAATCATTATTAATGTAGGACATTTTAGCAGTTTAAGAACGTAAATTTTTTTTATAATAATATATATCATAATTTTCCCTACCGTCCAGTTCAGTACATAGATCCAATTGAGAAGAACTGGCAAGAAACTCAATAGAATATTTTTTTAAAAGCCATTTATGTACAATGTAGATTTCTATAGGTATCTATGGCTAACATTAAATGAAAATCCAGTGCATGAACAACTATAGCCATGCACGCTCGTCATTCAAGTAATCGTGAGTAAGTCGTCAAGTGATTATATGGCAAACAATCTGACGGTCAACCTGATGGTATGTGGTAACCTATAACGTATATATTGACAACATCACGGACAGTATGTATTCCTCATATGTTGCCGTTCCGGAATATTACGATCTTATGTTTAAGATCTTATTCTTATGTACGCTGTCACATTATTCCCATATCAATCAAAAAATAACTTTCAAATCAAGAACTTCTTTCTTGTTTTCTAAGATAGGCGTCAGAAAAATGTGAAAAAAACCCATGGATCTAATATTGAAGGCGAACCTACTGTCGTCTCTTACATTAATTTAATGTACGATCTATTGTTTACTAAGTAATCTCTTTTTACAGGAGGCCATAAAGTCTATCGCTTTCTACAAAAACGCGAAACCGAATTCAAAAGACGTGTTGCAGGAATTGGACAAAATTAGAAAAATTCTGAGTCCTGAAATGGAAGGTAATTTTAGTTTTTATGAATCCTGGTAGAATAGGACTTCTGAAAATTCTGACGAGTAAGGTAGGTACCTACCTTACTCGTCAGAATTTTCAGAAGGGTATCAGTGGAGAATGATAGAATGAGGATGCAGTCAGATGAATTAGCCTATCAAGATTTAACGAAGGTTTCTAGGGGATACAGTATATATACTTGCTCATGCGGTACTAAGAGTACATAATATAGAAGTTAATTACTCGCAGATTGGTGGCCAAGTCTTGCAATCTATATTCCTTGCCTGATGAAGCCTCGTTTAGAGGTGAAATACGTGTCGCAATATGGGTGTAGACTAAAAACTCAGAATTTGATCACTAATAGAAAATGTCGTAACGTTCCAATAGCGGTGGTCAGATTTTTGCCTTGAATATTTGTGGTCTCATAAACACTAGTGGTAGCTGAATTAAACAAAATAATATGTGTGGAGGAATGGAGCAATATGGAGTCGAGGAAGATAGGATGAGCCTACCAAAGCGTTTACCAGAAATTAATCACGACAGTTTCCAGGACGTTGTGAAGTTCTAATATGGTGCAAATCCTTAGTAACGAGTTACATATGGAATAGAAGAATATGGTACCTACCATTAGCAAACCGTTAGTAACGTATTACATATAGAATTGAAAAATATGGCACCCATTACTAGCAAACCATTAGTAACGAGTTACATATAGAATTGAAGAATTTGGTACCAATCCCTAACAAACCCTTAGTAACGAGTTACATGTAGAATTGAAAATATGGCACCCATTACTAGCAAACCATTAGTAACGAGTTACATATAGAATTGAAGAATTTGGTACCAATCCCTAATAAACCCTTAGTAACGAGTTACATGTAGAATTGAAAAATATGGCACCCATTAATAGCAAACCTATAGTAACGAGTTGCATATAGAAATGAAGAATATGGTAATAGCAAACCTTTAGTACATGCCGAATTGAGGCACGAGTCAACGAATTTATATATTACGTACAATCTCATTATTTTAGATTATCGTAGTATAGTAGATAAATATTTCATTATAATCACTGCCTCTAATATCGTTTCCGTATTACTCTGATAATGTAATAGTATAATAAATTCATGTAAATACACTCTGATAGTGGAGTCAATATGCCAAGCATTATCCAGGAATTAAATGTTTAATATGTTGTTTATTAGATAGAGAGATAAAACATACATTATTTGTAACATTCAGTAAAGACATGTATAATATATCAAAGAACACATGTAAAATTATATATTACCTATATATTGATTCACATTTTTTTTTCAATTTTTGGCAAGTAGACCTATTTTGATGTAATAACTTCGGCTAATTTTATTTGAAAAAAATCTTTTATTATATAAAATTAAATTTTAAATTCCACGCGGACGAAGTCGCAGGAACAACTAGTTCTTAATACATCTAGTACATTTATTATTATAGCTACTATACTTTAGTTTGTTATATCTAAACCTAAAACAATATTAAAAGTAAATAGATTAGATTTTTTCTGATAAATATACATAATCAGTTTTAGAAATTGTTTATCGTAATAAAAAGCTATAGGTTTATTTATTTTTAAGTATCACATTTATGGTTCTGTTTTTGTTTGTAATGTACGTATAGGCTCAAAAATATTTACATATTCTTTAAAAAGATTACCTGATTAAATATTGTGGATTGACTGAGCATCATTACGATACCTACAATAATTTCACATGTGCGAAACCAGGCCGACAAGTATAGTTTAGAATAATAATTCTCTATGATTATTTTCAGACGAGTCTATTCCCGAAAAAGAAAAACTCAATCCAAATTTGGAATCGTCGCGCCCTGAAAAACTTGGGTTTTTCAAATTTCTCAGTAAGTACTTTTTGTAGTTTTTTTTATAATTTCACTTTTTTCGTTTTTGTAGTAATGTAAATGTATATATTGCATATTCTTTTTCTATTAATGCATATTAATTGATTTTATTTATTCTTTATTAAAAAATTACCTTTTTGTACAAAGGCGAGCGTAATGCCGTATGGAATTCTCTTCTAGCTAACATTAAGGTATATAATGAAAGAAAAAAAAAAAGTCTGTGTACATATATTATGCCTGAAGATGTCAAATATTATATTATATGGTACTTTTAAACCACGAGAGTAACGTAGTAACAAGATGGTAATAATGAATAAATTTTCCACGTTGTTTTTTTTGTTTCAGAGAAATCTCAATCCACTCGTCGTGCTATGTATATGATACTAACAGTTTTAACGGCGGCCATCATGCAAGGCCTAAACATGGTGCTGATCTACTCCAAACCGTTGTTCCACGAAATGGTGCCCGAAGAAATCATGTCATCCACACTGTGCAGTGTGCTGCTCGCAGCGATGGTGGTGGTCAGCGGAATCATTGCTGGATACTTGACCGATCTGGTTGGACGACGGGTGATGCTCTTTTATTATATGTCGCCCTAGTACTTCAACCGATTTACAAAGATTTACTTTTCTTGTAGTTCTGACTAAATTTTTTTACCTGATTTCTCTGGTTATTTCGCCATGATGTTTTTGTATGTAGTATTTTTTTTTTGGTTTACAGTTTGATATCTGTTATTTTGTTATGAATGCAGTCTGTATGTAAGAAGTAATATAAATTTAAATGAGGTAGTATTAGGTAGGTACTATACCCAATTAGTTTACAATACCCATAAAAAACATGTTCATTTCATCAAACACAAACAAAAATTAAAATTGCACTATTGTTATGAATTACTTGTAAGGTCTGCAAAAAATTAGTTATGTAATATTTATTTTTTGTGTTAATGTAAATGTATATATTGCATATTTTTTTATTCTTTTTCTATTAATTGTTGAACTCCTCCACCAAAATGTTTAATTTATTTTATTTTATTTATTTTATTTATTCTTTATTAAAAAAACACTCTTGTATAAAAAGCGAGCTTAAAGCCGTATGGTATTGTTATCTAGCTAACATTAAGGTATGTAAAGATATATATATAAAGGTATATTCTACATAAATAGTATAGGTATATATATTTTTTATATTTGCATATAATAATCATATAATTTTTTTAGACTTATAACAAGAAGAAACTTATTTGTTGCTCCTATAAATGTTAACTTTAAAAAATTTTATTTTGGAAAAAGAATTTCCAAATATATTTTTTTCCCGTCAAAATCGGTCCAGCCATTTCGGAGATTAGCCGGTGTTTATTCCGGCTAATCTCTGTACTGACAGACAGACAAAATTTTTGAGAAATGTTATTTTGGTGTATGTAAGGTACATACACCAACATAACATTTTTATTCATATGCATGTAGTAAAAAATTGTTATTTCAATATTACAAACAGACACTCCAATTTTATTTAGAACTATAGATATTTAATTATTATTATTTCAGCTTCTTTTAATATTCGCCTCATTCGGAGCGGGTCTCTGCTGCGCAATAATTGGGTTACAAATGTACTTTACTTGGGGTCCCAAGTGGCTGATAGCTGCGCTCATCTACTTGTATTCTGCGACATACACTATCGGTGCTGGTACTATACCGTTTGTTCTGCTCTCAGAAGTGTTCCTGCCTGAGGTTCGCTCCTTTGCATTTATGACAACCTAGTATTTATTCATTTTTTATGTAGTTATGTAAGCAAATTAGCTAAAGTGCCCATCGGATGGTAAGTGGCAACAGCAACAGTGATATGACCCTCATGAGTTATCATTTCTGAAGACTAGTCTTTTCGTATGTATATGTATGTATTCGTATTTTCTAACTCCATATAATTAAAGCAATTTCTTGGTACATAAATATATAAGTAGAAATAGGCAATAATATTTTTAAGTGCAATTAAATCAACTATTAAAAAACCTCTGGTACTTAAAATTGACCAAATGATAGTTTTCCAACGCCTAGAACAAACGATTGCTAAGATCGTCATAATCCCATCAATTTAAAAAATCTAAATCAGTTGATTGTTTTGAACCAGCGTTTAAGGATGAGGACAGTCAGTGTTGTTCTTTGTGTGGGATACATAATAACCACCACAAATCACGCAGTATTTTCTATGAAAATACCCACTTTTTCTACGTACATATATGTATGATTTAAAAATCTATATGTAAGTGTTAATACCAGTTGTCTAGTACCCTTAACACAAGCTCTACTTAGCTTGGGACTAGACGGCGCTGAGTGAATTGTCTTCAGTTATTATTATATTCTATATAATTATATTATATTATATTCTATATATATAATTCTCTCCCTGAGCCCAACTGAAGATATGCATACTGCATATAAGACAGATGTGTGAATTTACAACTCGTTACGTTACTCATTACGTCGGGGTTACAAAACACATTTTTTTTGCAGGTCAAAAGCTACATGTCCATGTTGGCATTGGAGTGGACTTGGCTGTGTAATTTCTTATGTCTGTTCCTGTTCAACTGGCTCATGGTCACCGTGGGTCTCGGAGCCATCTTCTTCATCTTCTCCGTCGTGTGTTTCCTCACCGCTGTGTATTCTATCTACTTTGTCCCTGAAACGAAGGGGTTGACGGTCGATGTTATACAGTTGCAGTTTGTGAAATCGAAGCGTACTGATGTTGAGATGTGAATTAAATAATATAATATTATGCCTATTGTTTTATTACTATTTATTGTGTCTGTATGGAATGCTAGATTAACGAAAAACCACCTTTTAAAGAGCCAGGAATGGTGAGGAGTCCCTTGATTGCTACAGAGCCGGGGTGAAGTACCCGGAGGTTCCAGTCCAACATAGAAGACCCAAAGATGGAACCACTTCATCCCTCTATTTCTCAGGGAGAAAGGGGATGAAGTGGTTTATTAAAAACTAGCGAATCGACCTGTATTCATGTATGTTTTTTTTTATAATAATATCTCAGGACAATTCACACAACGCCATCTAGTCCCAAGCTAAGCGGAGCTTGTGTAGTACCCACTAGACAACTGATATAAATACATGGATACATTTTTTTTTTGTAAATAAATTCATATTATACATAGAAAACACCCAGACCGATACAAACAATCATACTCATGAATACAAATATTTGTACCGTACGAGGAATCGAACCCATGACCATCGGATAGTAAAGCGGTGTACTAAACCACTAGACCACCGAGGCTGTCCTTGATTTATAATTATATTTGATGTTTATGATTATAATCTTCTGTCTGTTCGCTTATATCTTTTAAATAACACAACAGATTTTAATACTCTTTTCAGAAATAGATAGAATCATAAAAGGAAAGTTTATGTGTTACACTATAGAAAAGTCGAGAAATTCAAAGATTTGTAATGCATTAGTGCGAAGCCCGTGCGAGTCGCTAGCTTTTTAATAAAATACAAGTAGGTATCATGTTAATAATGTAACTTTATATAGGTGAAATAACTTTAAAAATCAGTTAAGTACTTATTGAGTTTGTCCATAAATAAATGAAATATTTCCTTGTTGTAATATCATTTACTTTTATATATAACATGACTAGCTGTACTCGCGACTTCGTCCGCGGGGAATTTAACTTTATTTTTCTAAAATAAAAGTAGCCTGAGTTACTCCTTATCGCATCAACTACCTGCCAATAAAAGTCCCGTCCAAATCGGTCCAGCCATTTTAGAAATTAGCCGTAACAAAAATTGTAAAAAGTGTTTTTTGGTGTATGTACCGTATTTATATTCATATGCATGTAGTAAAAAACGGTTATTTCAATATTACAAACAGACACTTCAATTTTATTTATATGTATAGATAGATAATGGTCCACCCACCCGAACTATCGGTATATGCCGGCGGGGCCTCGATGGCAGATGATAAGATGACCATGAGGTCAGGTCAGTAACCCATCGTGATGAATTCACCATGAATAAACCCCGACAGTTTCCAGGGAGTCTTCCCAATGGGGTCTTGACCAGTGGTGCATGGGATCAGTAGTACCCCTTCTTAACAACCCCTCCCCTAATATTAGTTTAAATTTAAGAGTAATTAAGAAAAACATATGTCATAATAGATAACATTCTTAGACATTCAAATGTTACACAGATAAACAATAATCAGTAGTACGTAGTAAACAAACTGGTAAACTAAAATCTATTTAATGACCAACGTATTAAGACTGTATTTCCTTTAAACAAGGAAAATATGCTCCGGCGCAGCGTCAATGACCATGATAAAATCCGCCGAGAGGGGAGACCGTGTCGGATAATTGAGTTAATAGTGTTGTAAACGTTGTAATAAGTACAACGAATCACTAAACGATAAATAACGTTGCTTTAAAATCGAATAACGTTTATGGAATCCGTTCCGAAATAAAGATGGCGCGGAAAGGAATAAGGAATGAGACTGAAAGGTGTGAATGAGTTTGGTTTTTTAACAGATGACGCCATCTAACGGAGAAGCCGTTACCAGCTCTTCTTAACTGAAGTAGTTAGCCGGACTGGACGACATGGGTAGTAATAAAAATTAGACGTGCAGAAAAATTATATGTGAATAAATGTTTTTTTATTGTTTACATTGTTCATCGATTACTACTGTTATTTTAACTGAAAACAAAAGTTTTTCCTGCCTATTTTCATTTTAAAGTTGCAAATAGTAATTTCAAGCATTATAGTAATTTCATTGCAAAGATTTGCATCGTTATTATGTAGATTAAACACAATATAGATGAAAATCTTTGAGGGCCTCGGTGGCGTCCCTATGATCTGATGATCACGGGTTTGATTCCTCGCACAGCACAAATATATTCATGAGTATGGTTGTTTGTATTGGTCTGGATGTTTCGGTATCTATTTTAGTATATATCTCAGGACAATTCACACAGCGCCATCTAGACCCACGTTAAGCTACCTAAAGCTTGTGTTATGGGTACTAGATAACTGATACAAGTACATAGATATTTTTTTTTTCGTAAATACATACATATTATACATGGAAAACACCCAGACCGATACAAACAATCATACTCATGAATACAAATGTTTGTGCCGTGCGAGGAATCGAACCCGCGACCATCGGACGTAAAGCGGTGTGCTAGACCGCTATACCACCGAGGTCGTCATATATATGAGTTATCTTAACACTTTGATGTGATGACTTTTTTGAGGAATGACTAGATGGCGCTATGTGAATTGTACATGATGATATTATTGTCTTTACATATACATACTGATACATTGTTAGTGATCATCAAATCGTCATTTGCTTCTTCCTCTATCCCATTTATTCAGGGTCTGCGAGGTCTGCTGCATCCCTGTTCGCAGTCATCTCGTTATTTACTCCTTTTTTTCACATCATCTTTCACACAGTCCATCCATCTCTTTTACGCCCTTCCAATATTAAAGTGGTTACATACGTATGTAACCACTTCCTTTCAATATTGCCCTAATTTTTATGAATTAATGCCCATACCACAACAGACGATTACTCTTCAATCTCTCCGACACCGGCGCTACTTTCAGACTTTCTCTACTCTAATGTATTCGTTGCTGGAAATTAAAAATTATAAACTTATAAGCATAAATACGTACAACTTATAAACACGTTTGTTCGTCATTACAACGTAGTGCTTACACGATTCATTCATTATAACCCGGCGCTCGAGCGCCTCAGAGGTCAGTCGTGCTTAGTTGACAGTGAGTGGAACTTGACCGAGTTGTTTACAATAATCGATATTCGGATCGTTATGTATTAATCGATAAATTAAAAATACCGGAAGGTGAGTATTTATAATCTCTTAATATTATAGCGATGTATTTTCGAGATATTAAGTTTTTATTTTAATTTTAAGTTTTTAAGTCACTTTTAATTTGGAATCTGTTACCAAAACATAAATATATTAAATGTACATTTATTGTTTGTTGTTTATAAGTATATACTTTATAATGAGGAGGAGGCTTTCAAGGTATCTATATTTTAATTTATTAATACGTGAATCAAAAACTTTGTACCCCTTTTTACGTAAATTGCGTAAACGGAGGAGTATGAAATTTCGCACACTTATACTTTTTTACTAGCTTTTGTCCGCGGCTGCGCTCGCGTTATTTTATCCCCGTAGGGGTGAAATTTATCAAAATCCTGCCTTGTTAGGGGATGCCTACGTCATAATAGCTTTATGCATGCAAAGTCTCAGCCCGATCGGTTTAAAATTGACAAAGTTTCATACAAACTTTCATCCCCTATTTTATCCCCTTGGAGGTGGAATTAATTAAAATCCTTTCTTAGCGGATGCCTACGTCATAACATCTACCTGCATACCAAATTTCCGCCCAATCCGTCCAGTGGTTTGGACTGTGCGTTGATAGATCACTATGTCAGTCGCCTTTGAGTTATATATATTTAGATATACCATAGTGAGTGCAGCATGCAAATATTATTTTAAAATCAAGAATAAAAAAACATTACATACTACCTATCATGTATGTGATACAAAAACACATGTACTCTTTTGTTTATTGCTAGTCTGTTGTCAAATTGAGTCTATAGTTTTACTACATGTCAAACATAACCATAATAATTTCATTTATTATAACAGTTAAAAATGATACATAACTATATAGCAAAAGATAAACGGCTTGACCGATTTTGATGAAATTTTATGTGTATTATGTAGAGCTGAGAATTGGTTGTTATCTATTTTCTTTCTTATCTATTTGCTACCAAATAATACGGGTGTCCTACCAAAAATAAAATTTTGATCAATACATTTTTACGATATGGCACTAAAAATAGGTACATACTTTCCTACATTTTCAGACTTCTACCACGAACTACATTTTTTTTATAGCGAAATTAGTAGGTGAACTACTTTGATTTATATGACAAAACAACTATTAACATTTTATCGTTTTCTATCGCGTTGAAATCGTAATAAGAAAGAAAGAAACAAAACACTCGTAAGTATAAAACAAAGTCGCTATCGCTATCTGTACCTATGTATACTTAAATCTTTAAAACTACGCAATGGATTTTGAAGCGGTTTTTTTATAGATAGTGATTCTAGAGGAAGGTTTATACATATAATACATGTACACCCGTGCGAAGCCGGGGCGATTAGCTAGTAGTATATAATATATAAATGATGTTTTTGTATATACTTATTAACTGTCTAGTGTAATAATAAATCTTTACATAGTACAAAATAAAATCGCCGCCGCTGTCTGTTCGTTCTGAGAAATTTCAAGTTTAGTAAGGCATCCGTGTGAAGCCGGGGCGACTCGCTAGTTAACAACAAAGAAAAGAGTACAATATAGTAATATAATATTAATTTTGGTCCTAAAAAAATATTTATGTACGGTTCGATAAATAGATAGATCCGCTGCAATTGCTCGTTGGATGTTACATAACCTTCCTGGGTAAATAGGCTATTCAGCATTAACAGAATTTTACAATTTAAACCAGTTCCTGAGATTACCGTGCTCAACCAACCAAATGAACTCTTCGGCTTTACAATATTTTTTGATTTCTGTATATATATATTATATTTACATACATAAAAGTTTATGCTACGATCATTGTCAATTTGGACCAAACCAATTTTTTTCTGTTCCATATAGAAGTTAATTAGAATTAAGTCTATCATCTCTATATATAAATAATATTGAAGTGCCTGTTTGTAATATTAAAATAACCGTTTTTACTACATGCATACGGTACTTTTTTGTACAAAAATTGTAAAAAATGTTATTTAGGTGTATTTAACTTATTTATATTCATATGCATGTAGTCAAAAACGGTTATTTCAATATTACACACAGACACTGCAATTTTATTTATATGTATAGATGATAATATTATAATAGGTATCAACAGGACATTCCATAAAGTAATTTAAGTTGAAATAATAATAATATCGCAGGCCAATTCACACAGCGCCATCTAGTTCCAAGCTAAGCAGAGCTTGTGTTATGGTACTAGACTGATATAAATAAGTACCTACATTTTTGAAATACATACATTATGTACATAGATAACACTCACAATCAGACCGATACAAACAATCATAATCATGAATACAAAATGTTTGTGCTGTGCGATGAATCGAACCCGCGACTATCGGAAGTAAAGCGGTGTGTTAAAACGCTAGACCACCGAGGTTGTTGTGGTTAGTTGATATTTAACTTTTAATTATTCATGTTGTACATGTATTATTCAAATTTTGATCAATGACAAGAAATAAATATGTTTTTCATAATAAATTAATGATAGTAGACATGTATAATAATAGAAAATTGTATATATTAAATCGATTCTTCAGACATACTTCAATTTTTTTTTTGTATTTGTAATGTTAATGAAGCATACGGCCTACCTGACGGTAAATGGTAATTGACGCCCACGTATAACCTTACTAATATTATAAATACGAAATTATATGTCTGTTTATCTGTCTGTCGCGCTATCAGGCCAAAATATTGAAGCGATCTAAATGAACATGCTACACAGATAGTCTGCGCGATAAACGGTTCTAAGAGGAGATGAAAAATTGTATAGATAAATGGTCATTTTTAATGTAGCTTGAAACTTATTTTTTAGGATGTTGATTATATATATAATCTAGCTGTACACGCGATTTCGTCCGCGTGGATTATAACTTTATTTTCCTAAAATAAAAGTAGCCTAAGTTACTCCTTATTACATCAGCTACCTGACAAAAAAAGTCCAGCCATTTCAGAGATGATTATTTTGTCTGTCTGTCAGACAGACAGACAGACAAAAATGTAAAAAAAAATATTTTGGTATATGTACCATATTTATATTCATATGCATGTAGTAAAAAACAGTTATTTCAATATTACAAACAGACACTCCAATTTTATTGATATGTGTAGATAAATATGACATTCAAAGTAACAAATGACATCCGTCAATTCGTCATTTTTTAATATAGAACTATGAAACTATTATCTTTGTATTTTGTGGGTTAGATTATTAAATATTATTTCTATATTTGCTCAAAGTCACTATTCCCCGCCGATGAAGTCGCAGGCACAGCTAGTATATGTTTATGATCTTATTAATTAGTACTTTGTACATTTTAAAGTTTTTTATCGCATCGCAAGACCATTTACCGGAATGATTCTATAAAAGTACTTTGATACCATACTTATAATTTTTTTTCATATAATTAGAATGACAAAATAGCTTCCCACCGGATGGTAAGTGGTAACCGTCGATTATATACGTGACCAGCAGCATGGCATCATGTGATGATCGTGGCACACATGCGTTGTCATTCCAAAGAAATAAGAAGTCATACTTTCAGAACCTGTAATTTTTAATATTAAGTGTAATTATGTATCTACTTAATGCTAGAACTGTATTTATGTACGCAATATATTCTTATATGTTTCTTCTATATTATACTAGCTGAACCAGCGACTTTGTGAGCGTAGAAATTTTCTATTTATTGCGATAAACAGAATTTCTAAAATAAAAGTAGTCTAAGTTACTCCTAACAATATTAGCTATGTACTAGTTAAAGTTCCGTTAAAATCGGTCCAGAGATTAGTAAGAACAAACAGACGGACAGAATTATATTTTTAATTTTTCTGTAAAGATATATAAGTGTGTGAACTTTCATATTCCTCTGTCAGCGCCATTTCGTCAAAAAAGGGTATAAAATTCTTGCTTCACTTATTAATATAGATAAGTATAGAGGAGAGGCACAAAGAGAGAGAGAGAGAGAGAGAGAGAGAGATGGAAGATGCATTTAAATATTTCTTTTTCATTCAGGACGCAGTGCAATACAAATGCAATCACTAGGATGACAGATAAAACAGTAGTAAAATTTGAGGAGGCTGAGCGGAAAAAAGGCGTCATATTAGGAACAGTTGGAGTGACTTGTGCCTTCTTAGGATGGCTGGCACGAAACACACCGGCTCTTGTGGGCGCTGTGAGCCTAGTAGCAACATACTTGATGACTGGCGACCGATACCAATGGATTTACATATGGCAGAAAACCTACAAAAGAGACTGGCTGTAAGTAATTTTGTTACATAAGTTTTGTTTTGTTTACGTAAAGCGGATCTAATTTCACCAGGTTTTGATATATAAGCTCATAAAACAATAGTGTTGTTACATTCCATTATTCGCTATTTTTTTTATCAAATTTCAACTGGTCGCCCCTCGGCCCTAGATAGTAGGCAGTGCAGATTTAAAAAAGTAAAATGGCGGGAAAGCAACAATGTGGTTGTTGAGGTATAGAACATGTTGCGAAATTAAAAGATTTGTGTTGAATCCGTGTGAAGTCGCTAATATACTTAAAATGTAATTGTTCAAAAGTATTTTAATATTAAATGGAATTATAGTATTATACTTTGAAATGTAATCTGCATTTCATGAGATATGGCATTGAAATTATAAGGTACGGAAGCAGGATACCTTGGTCCTCTGAAATGATCACACATGAACTTTGTCACTTATCAATTCGACCATCACCTTGTAATATAAAAATAAACGTTCAAAAGTTATTCCTATTATAAACGCTAAAGTTTGGGAGTATGGAAAAATATGGATGTATGTTTGTAACTATTTCATGCAAAATCTATTGAACTAATTTTGATGAAACTTTACAATAATATAGTTTATATAATAACACATAAGCTATAAATTTCATCAAAAACAATGCATGCATATCGTGTGGCAGTGAAAGGAATCCTTTACATAATGTATCAGGGATTCATAAAACATTGGAGTTATCACGGTCAAAGGTCGCTATAGTTTTATAATGAGTACCACATCCATTGTTGTTTGTGGCTGCGAATGTGCAAAGTCCACCATGGTTTGTAAATAATCCAGTACTTGTGGGTAATATCCGATCTCTTGTTAATCGGCTATGTACGCATGTACGCAGACCTGCACCGAGTAAGACCATTTTTAAAAAGGAATTCTTTAATTACCTCTTAGACCTAAAATGAGTAATAACTGTATTGCATTGTATTAGTTTAATATATTTATCTATATATAGCATTTATGTATTTATATATCCAATACTCGCTGACCTCTCGAACTCCGTTCCGCCTCAGACCTAAACAGGCTTTTTGAAGTTCTATTACGGAATAAATTTCTGAATCGTGTTTGACAGGTACGGACAGTTTGTATGCGAAAATTAAATTGTTTTTACTATATATACTTTCTACGCAATTAATTCATATTTTCTCACCACTTAAACCTTCCTTGAAGTTATACGTACATTTATATCAAAACTGATATGCGTCTTAGAAATTTTATTCAAATCGGTTCAGTAGTTTGGTTTTTAAATCAACCAACTAAAAGAATATCATTCTGCAGTGTTTTAATTAGTTCTTATAGTTTCAATGAACTGCCTATCATTTTCATTTTTTTTTGTGGTGTGTTACTAAATTACAATATTATTTATATTACTTAACATTACACTTACTTAACATTTATTGTCATCTTGATCATTATTTACATCATTCAATTTACATCATCAAAAAATACACGTGATGATGAGTGGGGGAGGGGGGCGGGTACCACGTATCACCAAGGGGGAAGGGGGTTAAAAATGCTTAAAAAAAGATCACGTGATTAATGGACGGCCCCTAACAACCCCTCTATATAAGGTTTAACATATTGACCATTCACGGGTGACTGACAGGATGGTCAATATGGAATACTCCATGATCATTAATGTACTGTTAAATTACAGCCTGTGTTATTCCAATGTATAAGCTATATTATTGTAAAGTTTCATCAGCATCCGTTCAGTAGTTTTTGCGTGAAAGAGTAACAAACATCCATCCATACTCACAAACTTTCGCGTTTATAATATTAGTAAGATATATGTATGCAGTGTACTAGGATATCAGGAGAGGCCAAGGTTCACTTCACAATTCGTAACACCTTGCGCGCGCACAATTGAGTTATCACTGACATCCGGTGCAAGATTGTTACATCTGTTATGTATTGGGCCCTCTATCTGGTGCAAACTGACGTCAAACTGTTGCTACCTACAACTGATTCCAGTGTCTCATTGTGTGTATACAGAGTATTTATGACCTCCTAGTAAATATGAATTATTGGTAATAGAAAATATAGTTTTTATTTTATGAAACGAAATAGCCAACAAAGTGAGCCCACCTGATTGTAACCGTTCTACGTATCGATCGATATATATCGATGTATTCGTTTAAACAATGTTACATTTTTTATGGAAATGAACATTAAGTTCAGCAGTATGATACCAAAAGATAATCTGCATCTACTCTTAGCAAATTTCAAGAGATTGTCTTTTTGCTCTATATAATACAATCTATCAGTCTAATATCACATCACATGACGGTGAAATGTCCGTGTTGGGTATTCATAGATATGTACTGAGTTCACAGTACTAGTTGCCATAGTTGTTCACGGCGGAGTCAGCGGTTTCGGCGTCGTCACTGACGTCACCAGATGTGGTGTCACCGCCGGCCGCCGCGCCCCCCCAAAATGTGCTTAAGCCGATTAACCACAGATTTTGCCGCCGTCGTCGCTAAATTTTACAGCGGCGTGTGCCAAAAACGACACTGAACATTGACCCTACGTTTAAAACGATGATGGTTGTCGTGGTACAAAAGTCATTTTTTGCACTACATCTACACCGACCACGACAATGTACCTGTCCCGTCTACATTACGACACTAAGGAGCCATTGTCGATTATATTCGTAAATATATATTGAGGGTAACGCAGCAAAAAAAAAGTTATTTTATATATAAACATTTAGTCTTCGGCGCTACGCGTCATCTAAATACACAGACAATATGATTGTATTATTTTTAAATATTATATTATATGTATGTTAGTCTATAAGGTATTTATAATATGGGCCTAGTTGCCTGAAATAAATGAATAAATAAAAATAGGTACTTCTCCGAAATGTCTTAACCGATTAAGATGAAATTTTAATACTCGATACGTTTAAAAATAGGTTGTTATGTATTTTTTATACATCTAAATAATAATTACGGCGTGGGCCATCTAAAAATATATATTTGTTGTAGACAAAAAAAAAATATTTTATATATAAACATTTAGTCTTGACGCGTCATTAAATACACAGACTCTTACATTTTGGGCCTTCTACTACCAACCACTATTTTTTCAAGCGATATTAGGACTTTAGAATAGAATAGAATAGAAAATCATTTATTCAAATAAACTTACATTGAAGCACTTTTGAATAGTCATTACATTTTTTTTAATCTACCGCTCGTTCGGAAAGCTGTCTCATCACAAGAAGAACGAGCAAGAAACTTGCGTGTTGCTCTTTTAAATAATTTTTTTAATGCAGTTTTTTTTAACTATCGTGTTTAATATACATTAATTATACTGTTAACCGGGTCTTAACACGAATAATTTTATGGTAAATATTTATGTATTTACCTCTCTCAACAAACTCCCTCAGTCGTGAGAACATGACAACGGCTAGTGCAACCTAGGTGAAACGTCGAGAGAGGTAAATAGCTATATTTACCATAAAATTGTTCGTGTTAAGACCCGGTTAACAATATAAATACTATAATTTATATAGCCAAACAACGTTGGCCAGGTTAGCTAGTTTATAAGCTTCTATAATAGCACGGGTCCACTTGCGTGTATGATGCGTGTATGCCGGTGCGCAGTGGACTCACTTTCATTGATTGAATGATTGTCTCGCTCCCGTATCGTATGACGTGCCCTAACATTATTGTGTGAATGGTTACTAGTACTCCGTTACATTCTAGAACGTAGAATAACTAGGCAATGCGTATTAATGTCAAGACTAATGAAAATGGACGGGGAAGGTGACTCTGATGATAATCACAGATCAGTTAATTGATGATAATTTATGAACAACTTAACTTTATAGTTTGTGATGATAATTTTTTTTAGTACTTCTCTAATACTGTTGGCCGCAGCTGGTCTTTACAGCTTCACCGGACGATAGAGGGAAGTGCAGATGGCACTCCAAACCTGCGAAAGGACTTATGGAGCGGTTGAAGACCAACGCCTGACGGATACGACGCATCAAGGGCATCGCTAGGGGTTCGAATCTCCGTTCAGGCCGTCGTAATTTCGATCCCTGTTTAAATTGTATGGTGGTTCGATCCAAGTTACAAATGTTACTTGCTAGGGAAAGTTTGTTATTTAACTTGTAACTATATAGTGGTCGCCTTTAGGGCAATAGTCCATAATATAAATGACTTATGGATAAAAATACATTAAATCATTAAAAAAAAAACATTACACAAACTTCCATGTACGAGGGTCAAACTGAAAGTTCTTAGAAAATCAAAAACTGATTAAATTAGCAAGTTATTACCTTTATTTTATCTTTTCAAAATAGTGTCCAGTCACGTCAATACATCGCTGCATCCGATAGAACCACTGAGAAAAGCACTTTGCCCACTCGTCCTTACACACGTAGCCACCGAATCCTCGGCGTCCATAAAACGTTTTCCTCGAACTTTTTTTTTCATTTTTCGGAATAAATAAAAATCGCAAGGTACGAGGTCGGAGCTATAAGGCGAATGACCCAGTGGTTCTACGTCTGAGGTCGCCAAATAATCGATCATTTACCTGGCGGTGTGCGACGAAGCATTGTCGTGGTGAAGGAGGATCCTACTGCGAGGTCGTTTCTCACGCACTTTTTCAAAACACGTGGCAAACAATTGTTACTGTACCACTCTGCAGTAACTGTTTTTCGATCCTCTAAAACAATTGTCGCGTAATGACCTGTTCTTCCAAAGAACGAGGCCACCATCTTTTTTCCTATGCTTCGACCTCCCTTCACTTTAGTTGGCAACTCCTCAGAAGGCAACACCCACTGAGCTGACTGTCTTTTAGTTTCGGGATCATAACAGTAAATCCAGCTTTCGTCTCCCATAACTATGTTAAACACAGAATTTGAGTCACCTCCGTTAAATCTTTCATGCATTTCACGGCACCAATCAACCCGACGGAGTTTTTGAGCCTCAGTGAAATTATAAGGTATCCACCGGGCACAAGGCTTCCTGACCGCCAAATGTTCATGGAGGATTTTGTGCACTTGACTCATACCAATCTTTAAGCTTGCCTCGATCTGCTAATAGGTCACTCTTTTGTCAGTCTCTATCATACGCCGCACAACACGGATGTTATCTTCGGTTGTCGCCGTAGAAGGCCGTCCCTCACGCAAATCATCGGTGAGATTAGTGCGACCACGTTTAAACTCATTAAACCAGTTGTAAACAGTGGCACGAGACGGGGCTTCATCGTGGAAGTCCAATAGTAGTCTATCATAACTTTCTTGTTGACTTAGATGACAACGAAAGTCATAAAAAATCATCACACGAAAATTTTCTCGTGTTAAGTTCATGATAACGTTACACAGACTATTTTCAATTTGCCGCCAAACCGTAAAACACATGACATACGAATAAATTATATACTCAGTACTATTCGTAAAGAGTTCCATTTTCAAAATTTAAAAATTTTTTTTTATTATATTGCTCTCAAGTAGCTAGTTCTAAAAACTTTCAGTGTAGCCCTCGTATTTGACACACGCATATGTACTATTTTGTTTATTTGTTATTTGCTGGTTCGAAAAACTTTTCGTTTTTTTTTATTATTTTAACCACTAGGCGACTAAAAGTTAAAATAATCGCCTCATTATATTTCACAGTGGGTTTCGAGTCCTCGTCAAAACAATAGGCAGGATATGGCTATGGGAGCGCTGCGGTACCACAGTCGTCAGCAGATGGTCGGAGATCGTTAGGAAAACACCAAACAAGAAGGCGTTCGTTATGGGAGACAGATCGCTGACATTCCGCGAGGTATGATATCCTGGTACACGCTATCATGTATTATATAGAAAACGACAAAACCATAAAGATTGAAACTAGATGAACTAAAACTAAATCTTTACTAATATTGTATATGCGGAGTAACTGTGCCTGTCTGTCTATTGCATTTTCACGCCAAAATTACTGAACCGATTTAAATGAAATTTGGTACACAGATAGTCAAGACCCTGAGGACAGATATAGGCTACTTTTTAATAAAAAAAAGAGTTGTAGGAGTTGAGAGGGGAGATGAACGGTTGTATGGAAGTATGATCAATTTAAAAGCTAGAAGCTTTAGGTAGTTGTTTAAATAATATGCTATTCATAGTTTAAGAAAAAATATTAATGCAAAAAACTTGACGATCTTAAGCGGCTAAAATGTCCTACATGAATAAATATTGTTTTATTTGATTTGAACACCTGTTTTGTTCGTAGGGTGACGAATTCAGCAACCGAATAGCATGGTACTTTAAAAGGCAGGGTTTCAAAAGTGGGGAAGTTATAGCACTTTTTATGGAGACACAGCCGGAGTACGTGTTTGTATGGCTCGGTCTGGCCAAGCTGAGGGTCACCACAGCTCTAATTAATACAAACTTGAAGGGCGCCCAGTTGATACACTGTTTGAGAATAGCTGGATGTAAGGCTGTGATCTTCGGCGATGAAATGGTGGACGGTGAGTATTTGTTATGTATTACTACATCGCCATTTATGATCGCCTAGTATCATAAACATGTACACAAATAACTGTATGCATCGATTTATATAATTTTTAAACTAAAAGAATAAAAAATTATATAAATAAATAACCCTGGACAATTAACACAGCGCCATCTAGTCCCACGGTAAGCAGACCTTGTGTTATAGGTACTAGACATCTAACTAACTAAGATATTTTATTTATTTAAATAATTAAAATATCTTAGTTAGTTAATAAAATAGTATACATAGAAAACACCCAGACCGATACAAACAATCATACTCATGAATACAAATGTTTACACCGTGCGAGGAATCGAATCCCCGACTATCGCAAGTAAAACATATAACATAGTCTTCTGCACTCCTCTGTCTATACATCTATACATATAAATAAAATTGGAGTGTCTATTTGTAATATTGAAATAACCGTCTTTTACTACATGCATATGAATATAAATTCGGTACATACACCAAAATAACATTTTTAAAATTTTTGTCTGTCTGTCGGTCTGTTTGTTCCGGCTAATCTCTGAAATGGCTTAACTGATTTTGACGGGACTTTTATTGGCAGGTAGGTGATGTAATAAGGAGTAATTTAGGCTACTTTTATTTTAGAAAAAATCTTTTGTTTTAGAAAAATAAAGTTAAATTCCACGCGGACGAAGTCGCGGGTACAGCTAGTATAAACTATAAGTATAAGAAATTTCATACTTCTTCTTTCTCGCAATTTTCTTAAAAAGAGGTACAAAGCTTTAGTTTTACCTATTAATATAATAAAATGATTTAATTTGAATTCTAGCTATAACTGAAATCCAACACGAGATTAGAGATATCCCACTCTTCCAATACAACTCGCCGGAACGCAACTCCAGTCCAGTACTACAAGATACTGCATCCCTTGCTTCTGAACTCAAGGAAATGACTTCAGAGCCGTTCCAAGCAGTGCAGGCAAAGCCGAGAGACACGCTACTGTATATTTACACTAGTGGGACCACCGGGTTTCCTAAAGCAGCCGTTATTACAAACATCAGGTACTGAATTCTAATATATATAAACTATTCAAGCTATATATGTATATCTTATATATAAAATTCACGTGTCACAGTTTTCGTTCCCATACTCCTCCGAAACGGCTTGACCGATTCTCATGAAGTTTTGTGAGCGTATTGATTAGGTCTGAGAATCGGCCAACATCTAGTTTTCATCCCCCTACATGTTAGGGGTAAACCACCCCTATATATACAGCTTACATATATATATGTAAGCTGTAAGCTGACATTCGAATAAATATTTTTATTATCTGTGTCCAGTTTTGAACTGGTGACCTTTAAGGTCATTTGGTAAAATGCTGAACTACGAGGCTTTCGTTTCTAATTTGTAAGATATACATACGTATATCTCTGACTGTGCCCATGGTTTCAACCGCATGAAATGTATAGTCTATGTATTATTCTGATAAAACTATGTTGGTAAAATTTAGTAGTATTGCATGAAAATAGCAACAAACATCCATCGATTTATTCTCACAAACTTTCGCATTAATAATTAGTAAGATATATTATTTCTGTTCCACTAGATTCCTGCTCATCCCACTAGGAGTGTATAACTCAGCGCAGCTCAGTTCTGCAGACGTGGTATACGACCCGCTTCCACTACACCACACGGCTGGTGGCGTGTTGGGAGCTGGCCAGGCGGTCATACTCGGATGTACCGTCGTACTCAGGAAGAAATTCTCAGCTTCAAACTACTGGAGCGATGCGGCGAAGCATGGATGCACGGTTAGTGAAAATCACAGGTGTAAATCTTTAATTAATAAAAAATCTAAGATAGTAATAAAATCAAAATCAAAAATAATTTATTCATATAGGACATTTTAGCAGTGTATGAACGTCAACTTTTTTCTATTATTAATATTTTTCCCTACCATTACAATTCAATACACAGATTAAATTGAGAAAAATTGTCAAGAACCTCAAAAGATTTATTAAAAGCCGGTTTTAAAATATTATAAAACTGAGGAGCGCGTCAAAAACCACTAGTTTGAATTAAACATTGTTTTAGTCCATTTATCGGGGAAAAATATAGGTTATATGACATTACGCTACGACCAGTACAAGCGGAGCTGAAATGAAAAATTTTGCAGAAATGTGACGTAGACAAAGTTTCAATTCACCTTGTATTATTAAAGGCTAAAATTTTACAAACTTTGAACGTCGTTATATTTATATTTAATCAGCAGAAAATGCACAAAAATAAGTTTCAATCTTCTAGCTTCAAAAATGACGAATGAACATAAAAACTTTCACCTCTTACTTTATTTAATATTTTTATATTTAAGGGTAATTTCTTTACAAACATTGAATGTCATATTTATTTACATTTAATCAACAGCCTTAAAACTATGTTTCGAGCTTCTACCTTCAAAAATTACGATTCTTCCATACAATCACATAAATTTTATATAAAAATTGTATTGTAGTAAACATGTAAATGTAAATCTATATACAAATGTAAATGTTAATCTATGTAAATAAATAAATAAATAAATCTTTCATCCCCCCTTTCAACCTCTTACAACCCTTTTTTCGCATTAAAAAGTAGCCTATGTTCTTTCTCATGATCTAGACTATCTGTGTACCAAATTGCGTATATAATTAAAAATAACCTACTGACATTATGAATGCTTCCGAAGTCGCAGCCCCTGCTAGGCAAATAAATAAACATAGTGTGTGATATATTAATATCTATATTTCTCTTTCTCTCTTTAGGTTGCTCAATATATAGGGGAGATTTGCCGCTACCTCCTTGCATTGCCTCCTGGTCCCAACGATCGGGCTCACCGAGTGAAAGTGATAGTCGGTAATGGACTAAGACCGCATATATGGGAAGAGTTCATCCAAAGGTTTAATGTGCAAAGAGTAATGGAGTTTTACGGCGCTACAGAGGGGAACAGTAATCTTGGTAAGGAACTAAATTTTAAAATATATCTTGTACTAGCTGACCAACGCGACTTCGTCTGAATCACACTTGACATTTGTCATGTTATTCTGATTTATAAGCTATATTACTGTAAAATTTCTTAATTTTCTCAATGTTTCAGTTATTGTTTTTTTACAGTGAATTTGGATTCTAAAGTTGGCGCCATTGGCTTTTTAAGTCGGCTGGTGTCATCAATTTATCCACTAATTCTAGTCAAGTAAGTATCTAATTATTAAAAATATAAACTAAAAAAATAACTTTTTTTTCTGTTTACTCGTTAAAAGAAAGGCAAAGAGAACTGTGCACACACAGCCATGTCTGCTTGTTAGAAGAAAATAAATGATTATTTAATTTGTGGCTTAAAGTTGAATGACAGCAAGAAATAATAATTAATTGCCCGCCCCGGGTTCGCGCGGGATTATGTACTGCTGGAATTTAATGAAAAAGTGTTTCCTTTACATGCAAAAATTATTTTAAACTGAATAAAAAATTATTTTCATTTATATAAATTAGTTACATTATTTGTTTGTTTCCTTGTAGATGTGATGAAATTACAGGAGATATCTTCAGGGACAGCAATGGAAAATGTATAAGCTGTGGACCACACGAGCCTGGTATGAATAGTTCTATATTGTTCTTTACATTCAATCAATTCAAATCAAAATATCTTAATACATATAGATCTATTATAGACTCTTATGATATAAATCTACCATCAGTTAGCAGTGTGTTCGATCTACGAAGAATTGGCAAGAAGCTCAGCTATTATTCTAAAATTAATTTTAAAATAACTAATGGTATTTATCTTTACATATAATAAAATGGTCCAATCGTTGTGTGACCAAAACTGTTTCCTTGTCTGTTTATATGTTAAGGTTTCACTTAAACGCTGGAGTAATTATGATGAAACTCACATAATATGTTAACATATATCTAAGCTAAAAAAATCATAGAAAAATACCCTCTATGTGTATGTAATTTACATATTTCATTACTATTATTAATAAATTAAAAAAAATAAAATAAAAAGTAACATTGTATAGGTTGGCACCATCGGTAGATATACCTATCAGAATATACTATATATGATATAAATGAAAAACATGTCACTCTGAACATTCGTTAACCAATACTTAATGTATTTTTCTTTTAGTTGTATTCTTTCTTCCCTATTTACAGGCGTACTTTTAGGCAAAATAGATGCAAAGAAAGCAATTCTTACATTCTCCGGGTACGCGGACAAGACGGCGTCGGAGAAGAAAATGGTCAGAAACGTGAAAGAAGACGGCGATTGCTACTTCAATACTGGCGACATACTGGTCATGGATCATTATGGATATTTTTATTTTAAAGATCGCACCGGTGACACTTTCAGGTAAGTTTATAACATAACAATATGCATTTAAACAAAATAGGTGTTATTTTGCGAAAGTAAATTTAATTACATAATGGATTTGTATTATTTTGTTTAATTCCGCTATAAATAGCTTGTGTGAGACTATAAACGTTCAGTGAGGAAACTTGGCTATCGTTGCGATCTTCTTTAATAACGACAAACCGCGACGCGCTTGGTCGTCGCGGTTTGGGCGCCGAACAGTCAACACTAGGCTTCCAAGCTATATCCGAACTATATGTAATGCTTCATGGTGCCTCATTCAGCGAAGAACGTGTCGCAATATGGGTGTAGACTCAATAACGGTCGGAATTTGATCACCTTTAGGAAAGGTCGTAACGGGAGTCAAATGTCCGCTTTGAATATTCGTGGTCTAATTGTAGCGGAATTACACATGCTAATTGTAGCGGAATTAAACAAAATAATATAAATCCAGTACATAATAAAATAGTCTTCTAAAAAACACCTAATTTCATTTTCTTTTTTTGTTATGATCAAAATAATTATTCTATTTGTAATATTTACAAATGTCAAATATTTACAAATTGTTTATGTGTAATATATACAGTTGTACAAACAAAATTGTCGATTAGTTGTCTAATACTTTTAATACATACAATCTCTGATATATGCATTATCTGCTTAGTTTAAGACATGATGGTGCTGCGTGACTTTTATTGTCATCAGTTGTCTGAAGGCCACTGTTACATATCTAGAATTAAACTCTGACTTTTATAAATTTTACATTATATATTTTTCTATTTCCAGATGGCGCGGTGAAAACGTATCTACAGCGGAGGTGGAGGGTGTAATTACCACCATAGTGGGTTTGAAGGACTCTGTAGTTTATGGTGTAGCGGTATGTTATAGGAAATTTCTATTATTACCATCCTATCTCTTAAGAGTAATAATTATAACCTATATCTATTTAGAAGCAGTCCCGTCTTTTAGTTTTTGCTCATAACTTTGTGAGTACCGTATATAAAGTATTAACATAATGAGCCTATTCTTTAATAATAATTAACAAATTTGTAATATTTCTTTTCTTACAACATGGGTGTTGATCCTAAATAAATTTCTAATATATATATATATATGTCTTATCGAAATTAAAAACATATAAAAATATTTTGCAGATACCGAATGTGGAAGGCAAAGCTGGCATGGTAGCTATCGCTGATCCTGAGAGAAAGCTAGACATAACGACTCTCGCGAAAGGTCTAAAATCATCACTGCCAGTTTATGCTAGACCTCTATTCGCTCGAATACTCCCTGAACCACCGTTGACAGCGACCTTCAAGCTGAGAAAGAAGGAACTAGTTGAACAAGGCTACAATATATCTCTTTTCCAAGACCCTATATATTTTCTGGACCAAAAAACTATGGAATATGTTCCTTTGACCCAAAAATTATATGATGATATAACACAAGGTGCGGTTAGGCTGTGATGGCACGGATATCATGACTGTTGTAGTTATTAATTAAGTTTTTACGGACGTTAAGATTGTATAGGGATATACCAAAATACCAGGAACTTATAAAAACATAGTAAGTCTACTAAATGTAAACATCCCGGTCTATAATGTAAAAAATTGTATTGAGCTCTCTAATTCGTTAAAAGTCATTGTTACATTGAAAACATTGACCCTTCTATTCGATTCTGTTCCCCCAGTTCTAAAGATGCAAATATTTTGAGTACAAAAATAAATAGAGCTCTGTCTCACCCACCCATTCCTGCAGTCAAGTAGCTTGTTCTTATAACGTAACTCAGTTTCCAGAATGTTCTAGAGAAACAAGAGTTTCAATGGTATGACTTAACCCCTCAGGAAAGCTAACGCGTGTCTCCGTACACTGTAATTTAAATGCAATTACTAGCTCTACAAACTAAACTGTGCCTACAAAACAAGCTGCCAGGTAGCAGAAATCTATAAGACGGAGGCATCACCTATTTCTGACAAATCTAACTATAACCGGAACACATCGGTTATAGTTAGATGCCACCGCACGTCGATGGCATCAGAACAAAATTTATTAACTCGTACATAACAATGACATAAAAAAACGAACAAAAATTGTGTGTAACATTACAAAACAGAGTTAATGTGTCCACTATAATGCTGGAAACATAGTGAAATAATAAATTAGGTAGTACCTGTAAATGACATTTTTGTGATCTATCTTTTGAACAAATGTATGTAATAAATATAATATAAATTTAAATACCACCTATATACATTTCGCAGCTTCATCTGCGTAAATTAGCATAAATAATAGTCTACATACCAATAATGGGTAAATTTAATATAGTAGATTTAATTTATCAAAATCAGTAAAACTGTAAGCAAAGGGATAAAACGTCCCAAAATTTTAACTTTCTCGTTTAAATACATATTATATATGTATATATTCGTTGACGTTATTTTAAATTACCAAAGGAAGTATCGGCAAAGAGTAGGGTTTATAAATATACTACAAATATTATACTATTTTTACTAATGTAGTTATTAAACCTCGTGATATACTTGAATGTACGTTGTTTTTGGTGAATAAAAATGGATTTAGACAATAATTCGTTTCATTACTGTTGTGACTGGCTAATGAAGAAATATTTTATATTCTAAATTTGTATTTTAAAATTTATAGTTCCTTTTTTAGTTTCTTGTTTGATACTTCAATTTCCTTTTTTCTATTCCTAATTGTCAGTAGTCTATATTAATATATTTTCTCCGTTTACCTAGTCTTTTTTCTTATTACTACAACAATTACGATACCTCATCTAAAATTGACATATCTGACACAACTTACAATGAACCGAAGTTGAAGGGAGAAATGTTACATAAATCTTTTATTTGCGTTAAAGGCACACAGGCACAGGCATACACAAGACACAGTAATATAAAAAAATAGACACAGAATTACATTGGTCAGTTAACAGAATACAATATAAATGTAAAGAATGTGTGAGTAACGTAGTGTGTGCATCGCCCATACGCAAAATGTGAGTTAAAAGACTTGGGTTCTCACATTGTTCAGGATGGCATAACGGGTAATCAAAGTAAGGTTAAATAATATTTGATATATATTGAGCAAAGCCACTCACTAAACCATCATTACATAGTATAAAACAAAGTCGCTGTCGCTGTCTGTCTGTCTCTATGTATGCTTAAATCATTAAAACTACGTAACAGATTTTGAAGCGGTTTTTTTAATAGATAGAGTGATTCAAGGAGAAAGGTTTATATATATATAGTACATGTACACCCGTGCGAAGCCGGGGTGAGTAGCTAGTTACTTATATTACATACGTGCATGGCAGGGCAGTAGTTGTTCATGTACGGAATTTTCATTTAATGTTAGAAATAGATAAAAAAAAGGAAATTCAGTTGAGTTTCTTGCTATTTCTTCTCAATTGAATCTGTATCCTGAATCAGGGATAAAAATATTAATTATAAAAAACTTGATGTTCATAAGCGGCCAAAATGTTCTACATGAATAAACTATTTGAATTTTGATACATAAGTATGTGATGAAATAAAAAACAATTGGACATTTAAAGCTTTTTACTTATACATACAAAATGTCGCCATTTCACAATGATTCTATTCAAAATTTGGCTGCTAATATCTATAATAGTTTACAAAATTACTTGTGCGATTCATATATCACTGCATATATTACTGTGTGCATAACATTCTGACAGAAAATTTTCAATTTTCTCGATTCCTCTATTTACACTAACACTAGGTAGTGCTTTTTTACGCTTAAAATTACACTTTATTATATTTTTCTACTTGTATTTCTCATTTCTATTTCTATTCTTTAATATATACAAATGAATTAAATTGAAGTGGCAGTTTGCAATTTCAAATACTAAATGCATATGTAAGTGTAAACTTACATCAATAGGCTGAATATTCCTTACTTCTCTCCATACAAAACGTGCTACTATGATATTTTATTATTAACTAATTAAACTTGATTAAATTCTGCTCATAACATAAAACATCTAATGGCACACAACACTTAATAGATTTTCTTTAAACAAACTTTTTGAGAATTACATGTAACGGAAAAACTCCTCAACAAAAAAGGACCTAAGTTTAGTTCATTCGCATGAACAATCCAAGACAGTATAAAATATTGAAAATTAGTGCAGTGCATTGGAATTATAATGAATTTTCAAAATAACATAAAAATACCTTTGTATTACTGTAAGCAGAGTAGAACGGAACGTAAATAATTAGAGTAAAATTTCGATTGATAGTATTTCTACCGTGCTTGGGTGAGGGAGGGGAGACGCAGCCTCTGAAGAAACCATGCTATGCGAAGACTTGCATATAGTGATTGCTTGCCTCAGTCTAGGTCCCTCAGATACCAGACTGTTGGTACTATTTAGTTGACACACATTTCTTCTATTCTATTTATACACTATTACACATTATAATACGCCTTACAGTAACTTAACCTTACGTAATAATCAACAACTGTTCTATAATTTGCAAACATATTCTCTATGCTACATGATTTTGTTATTATCTAATAATATAATATCATAACTCAGTAACTTCACTGCCTTAATTTTGATATAACTTTGGTAAGTTGTTCTGTTTTACATTTGCGAATTTTTATGATAAAATATTTATTTATTACTCTATAAATTTTAATATATAATAGCAAAAGACAAAAGAAAGGTTGTATGTGTCAAACGTTCTTTATGCATGTATATGATTACCATAATATTTGAAAAACATACAGTAGGGTCACTGGTGTTCATTAATCTTATTATACACAGGTGTTCTATTTCATTAACATATATATTAATTTACTAGAACACATTTTTTTTGGCAGTAGCCCAATCGACTTAATAACTCTAAACTGTTACCCTTAATTATTTAACATTAAATTCAAAGATATAATATTTCAATAATTCTGTAACACTATTACATATGTTTTATTAGAATCAATTATTACGACAACTTTAAGTTTATTTTGTTAAATTTATACAAAAAAAAAATTCGCTCATAATTTAAAAGCCACTTACTTTTCTAATCATTACTTACGATAATTTTTTATTTATAGTAAAATTTCATTTGTCATTTTTATAAAAATCATTTTAACGCCATATTTTTATAAAAATAAATATTATTAATTTAATTTTAAATATATAAAATTGTATTACTTAATATTTATAAGATATAGAAGTTAAAATTGATTTTATTTATAACGTAATTTCTTTAATACTGTACAGATATAATTTAATAGATTAATATTGTTATGAAACTAGTTTTCTGTATATATTGTGTATGTACTTTAGAAAATATATTCTAAAAGATCCTATTGGATATTAATATAAAAGTTAAATGTCCGATTCTAGTGTGTTAATTTATAATTCTCTAAAATGTATTTATAGATAGGTATTTATTTAATTTTATTAGATACATATGATACCACACTCTTTCAGTATTATTTACTTTTAATTACATTAAAAGAGAACTAGTCTGATGGATAGCGTTATCTCCAAATACATGTCAGTTTATGAAATAGATTAAAAATTTTAAAATTTAATATTACTTACAAGAAGTTGTTACTAACTAAAATATTAAATAATAAACAATGTACAATAATGTCTAAAATTGTTGTTAATTTTTTTACATACTCGTATCATCCTTTTGAGGTTTCTTGATACTATTTAATAATATATATTTTACAGTTGATTTATTAATCGGAATTTTTTTATTACGTAGTTAACGTTTCAAGTAAACAGTTGGTAATATTGAAAACATTAGTACCAAAGACAATGACTGTATGGGCTGAGTCCTATTGCCTTTCCCTGAGATGGGAAACCCATGCAAAAAAAAAAATAGTAAAATTTTTATTTCGATAAGGAGACTTCGGTAATGAACTTTAAATCTTATTTCTTTTTCTATATATCTAATATAAATATCTAAAATTGTTACATTATCTGTGATATTAAAATTGTATATTAATAATTTATCTGTAGAACTATAAAAAAATGAATACCATAAGCATGTGGGAGAGTCGTCATCGTTGATTCTTTCTTTTCTTCTTGAGCACTATCAGGGGACCATCCAGATATTGGTCGATTTGCTCCTGACTTCTGCCCCTCGTTTCTGGTATTACGAAGAAAGTGTACAAGGAGCCCAGAAGTGTGATGGAGGCGGAGATATAGTAAGTGCCGTGGAGACCAAGAGATACAGCGACAGTACCGTAATAGCGTAGAAGGAGAAAATTACTAAGCCACATCCAGGATATAAGCAAACTTGAGGCGAGACTACGAACCTGGAGCAAAACAAATGTTTATTATTGTACCACAGATAATCAAATATCATAGATAATACAGTAGATCTACTAGAACTTTCAATTAAATAAATGTTGGGACAATTCACAATTCAATTCACCTCCATTTTCAATCCCCTACAAGCCTTTTTTCGCAAACAGCCTATGTTTTTTCTCAGGATCTAGACTATCTGTGTACCAAATTTCGTTTAAATCGGTTCAGTAGTTTTGGCGTGAAAGGGCGACAGACAGACGGTGTTACTTTCGCATTTATAATATTAGTAAGGAGTAAGGATGACAGACAAATGTTTGAACCGTGCCAGGAATCGAACCCGCGACCATCGGAAGTAAACTGTGCAGTGTGCTAAACCACTAGACCACAGATGTTGTTATGGCTATAATAGAATAGAATAGCAAAATTATTCAAATGAACTTACATTGAAATATTTTTGAATAGTCATTACTTTTTTTAATCTCAATCGGGAATTGCTCATTCGGAAAGCTGTCCCATTACAAGAAGATAGTTATTAATATAAAAAAAATTACAAACTTACGTTGATAGAAAACAGCTCTGATATAAGTACATAAGGCACGGACCCTAGTCCTATATTGTACAAGAACAGCATAAACGAGAGCAACATAGCCGGAGCCCAGAGCGTAGTCTCACTCGTTTCTGTTCCATTCAATTTTAGCGCCCAACTGGTGGCTGTCAAATTGCTGTCATACTCGTATAACCTCCATGGTTTTATATCATGACTCTGATTTTTCATAACACCATCAGTTACATTGTCATGGTATGTTAAATTTATCATAACTTGAGATATGTTCAATACATTTTCTTGTATGCCCTTGTGAATTCTTTTATAAGGCCACAGTCGGTGTGAGTACCAGGAGAACATACGAAGCCGAGGGTCACAGTACGCTCCAAGTATAGCAAGGCAACAGGTAATGCCAGAACACGACCATAGCAACAGCATCTATAACAAAATGCCAAAAGATTATTAGAAAATCCGCAAAATAAAAAAAAAACTATGAGTTTCCCTGTTCTGTGTGAGTATCTTGAAATCCTCTTCTATGAGACAAAAAAAATATGGTAGAACAAAGAATACTTGTAAACTAATTTTAATAATAAAAAAAAAAAAGACAAAAATGAATTTGAGTGAGTTCCTGTTGTGTGTGATTTTATTATGTATTATGTATTAGATATTAATAAATAGAGCCTCTGCTGAGCCTCGCAAATACGTCTGCATTAAATTTACTTGACATTTATCATTATATTTCGCCCAATTTACATAATATCTTTTTAAACTATAGCCTGCTAGATTTTACCCGCAGCTTTGCTCGTATAACTCTATTACTGGTTGCTAGATGGAGCTAAAGTAGTTGATATTATATTTTTTTATATAAAATATATGTATGATGGAAATGTTATATACGTTTATCTTTTAAGGTTAACTTTTTTATGGACGGAATATTGGACCTGCACAAAGTATGATTAACTAGGTCTTATTTACCTTCCGTCCCAGTTTGTCGACGGTGGCGGTGGCCACAGCAGCCCCCAGCACCAGCGCCACTCCGCATACCACAGAACCAGCGGCGGAAGTCTCGAAAAAGGGCGCAGTCATTACCGTCCTGCAACGTATCACAACATTCAACCTTAAGTTCTTTGTAAGTAAGGTCATCATGAAATACATTTGTTTGTCTCGTTATTATATAGAAACCAACCTCTTGCATCACTCTATCTATTGTTAAAAATGCGTTAAAATTCGTTGTGTATTTTAAAAGATCTAAGAGAACAGACGGCGATAATGAAATAAATTTCTTTGTAAGTCAAAAGTCTTAATGAAATATGTACATTTGTTGTAACTGTTTAGTTTACTTCCGTACTGGTTTGATGGTATGATTATTTGTATTGATCTGAGTATTTTCTATGCATATTAAGTTATAGCTTTTGGAATAAACTCTATAAACGATGTGAAAACTGTATCATAAATCCACAGCGTGGTTTTAAAGAAATAGGGAGACGAAAATTTATCTTAAACAAATGAAGCTTAATAAATGTACGGACAGTATGGAGAGTGATAAAAAATATTATATGCATGAAATGGGAATTTTTGAAATTTTCTTTGACTTTGAAAGCCTTTAATTAAGTATTAAAAGTATCAAACCAACCCGTTATACATAGTGTAGTTATACGCTGTCACATTTAGATGGGGCACACTGTGCGCTGAATGCCGAAGCACTGCCGCAGCGAAGCTGTTCACAGCACCAGCGCCGCTTCCGGCCGCAGCGCACAGAAGCACGAAGCACGAGAAGAGAGCGCGCCGGGCACGACGCTTGCGGACTGCAAATAGAAATTTATTTTTATATTATTATATGTATAACTATATTCATGGACAAGATTCAAGACAATTTTACATAGTATAAAATGAAGTAGCTTCCGTTGCCTGTGATCTTTTAGCCTACACAACGGCTATTAATGCGTTTTTGGCAGTAGATAGAGTGATTTAATTATTGGTTTATCATCATCTGCTTCTTTCTTATCCCATTTATTTGTGGTCGTCGTAATATGTTTTTCTCTTCCATTCATCCCTGTTCGCAGTCATCCCGTTATTTACTCCCTTTCTCACCATATCATCTTTCACACAGTCCATCCATCTCTTTTTCTGTCTTCCTCTACCCTTATAACCATCCACATTTATATGTAACACCGTCCTTAATATATGATCTTCATTCCTACGCATTACATACCCATACCACGATAGACGATTACTCTTTAACCTTTCCGACTCTCCTCTCCGATTTAAGGGGATGGTTTATATGTATAATACATGTACATCTTTGCGAAGCAGGAGTTAGTAAAAAATAAAAAAATATATACATAGAAAACATCAAGACCAATACAAACAATTATACTTATGAATACATATGTTTCTAGCATGCGAAGAATCGAACCTGCGGAATTAAAGCGGTGTACTAAACCGATAATTTTTTTTTATGGATGACAATGAAATGGTGCACCCGCCTGCGCTAACGGTTTACGCTGGCGGAAGGAAAGAGGGAGGAACATGAGGTCAGGTCAGTTAGCCCATCCTGTCAAATTCACCACGAATTTATCACAATGTTTTTCAGAGGAAACGGCGTGGAGGTGAATCTGACATGGTACATTGCTAGCAATAAGATCATCAATCCACATTACTAACAATCCTCATTCCCCCCACTAAACCGATATTAGGTATATCGATAAGCCTTCAGATATTGTTTTCATCATCATTATTTATACAAACATCAAAATCCGTTTTATCCCCCTCGGGACTGAGTTTTAGATTTTTTTCTCTTTTGATATATAAAAGTACTAGGAAGACATAACATACACAGCTCCCTACAAGGCGAAGGATCTGCTTTCTTCTCCGAATTGGAGTCCAACCCGCTACTCCTCTTCAACATTGGTTGCAAGATGTCCGAATCTTGTCTACGCATCGCCTCTCTGCGGCCATAACATTCTGAGGTCCTGATGCGGACCTCTTGTTGTTCAATCACATCAGTGAGGTCCTCTTGGAAGTCAGAGCCATCGAACCAACATATTACTTTGGCTGCATCCTGTTGAAAATATTATTTTTTAAGACGTATGACTGGTTATATTATTTCTAGGTTCCCTGGAAGAAATCTCTTTTTAGAGATAAGCTCGCCTTTTTACGTTACTTTTACTTTATTACTGTTATTTTTTTCCTATGTGTGTGTACAATAAAGAATAAATAATAATTTATATAGAGAAGGACCAGTGCAGTATGATAATATTTTTTTTTAATTATGCATAAATTTAGAAATACATTCTTTCGATAAATAGAACATTACTCACACTACTACTCTTATGTTTATTGTAAAAGTCTGTGGTTACCCACAGACTTTGTTTTATTGAAATTATTTGTTTAAGGTCTTACTGAATGTTAAATTAATTATGGTGGAATTTCGACCACTGGGCGACCACCTAGTCATATTAATAGGGTAGATGGTAGATGAAACAACCAACATTATTTATTCACTAGTTGTGCCAGCGACTTCGTCCACTTGTTATAGTTATCTTGACTAAGAAAAACTATTCAATAATTTAATCCAAAGAAAAAAGTTTAATTGTTCTAAATTAAAAAATGTAGATTTTCCATACAAACTATCATCCCCCATTTTATTTTACCCGCTCAAGGGTAATATTTTACAGCCTACAAAGGTTGTAAATATATTTTGAGTATTAGGACAACATAAACGTAAAGAGGTGGTAACCTGTATTTTGCCCACACTGATGAGAAACGAAGGTGTTTCCTGCAGCCACAACAGTGACACCAGCAGCACCAAAGGCGGAACTCCCATTGACAACGACAATGCGTGCGCGGAAAGCATCCCACCTGCAGCGTACGCGAACAGGATGCCACAACTGAAACGAAGTGAACAATTTTTAATTTATTGTTATCGTTAAGGACGCGAAAACTGCTAATATCTCTGTGGCTTAATTGTTTATGTATATATCTGTCTGTAACACAAATAAATGACTTACTTTTTTACAACCTTATTGAATTTTCCCCATTAAACTTCCGTCGCTGCGCGAGTGCGGTAGAGAGAACATCCGTAGTCGTCCATCAAAAAGTTCTTCATTTCGAGAGGTAAAATACTAAATAAGTACTTATATATAAGTGTATTTTATGGGTAAGGATGGATGGATATTTGTTACTCTTTCATGCAAAAACTACTGAATGGATTTTAATTAAATTTTACAATAATATAGCTTATACATCAGAATAACATAGGCTACAAATTCAATCTGGTGAAATCTCGGACACAGTTAGTTATTAATATTATTATATTATATATGTACCTGCAAGCCAACGCAGGCATGGCAGCCAGTCCCCTCGTTCTGGGAGCTATCTCTGCGCAATACAGCGGCGCTAGAGCCAACGCACCGGCACCTCCTGCGCCCGCTGCGACCCTGGCAGCCCACACGCCACGCGGGCCACACCATGCCGCCAGGGACCAGCTGATCTGAAATATTTAAAAAGGTCATTAAAGTACACCTGATGACGTGTATAAAAGTACCCTTGAGTTTCTTCCCAGTCTATTTACTCTGGAAAATACCACACAATGCACTGGGCAACTAATGTGATGATTAAAAATATTTAAAAGGTAATTAAACTACTCCTGATGACTTAAATGATGAATTTCTCACAGCCTATCTACTGGAAAATGCATGCACACCGTGCTATCAATGATAGACTAATCTGGAGGTTAGAAAAATTTAAAAGAATCATCAATTACTCCTGATGACTGATTAAAAAAAAATAACTGAGTTTCTTGCCCGCTTATCTAATCTGGAAACTAATTCTAATCTAATAACATTAGGTTGCGTCATTTTGTACTCTATTATATTATATACTATGAATTTTATGTCAATACAAACTGCCAGATAGCAAAGTTTATATAAAGAAATGTATAGTTACTTGAGTAACAAAATAAATCAGTCCGTGTGCAGAACAATCCTTACAAGCAGCACCCGTTTTCGAGTATAATTCGTATTAATTCGATGTTTGGTGGTCAATTAAAGCTATATAAAGCTGATCTTTATTTATTGAGTTTAGTCTTGAATAAATAATAAAAAACAGTATTGGAATAGACTAGATTAGTTAGAAATTTATACACAAGTTAGACTCTAGACCTGCGGTTCTTCTCAAATGAATTAGCTAGCTGAACTGGATGGTCGTTCATGTTGGGAGGGCCAGTTACATAAAAAAAGGCTAGGCTAGGCGTTTTATATTTGCATAATTTTACTTACAAATAAATACAAGTTTGTACTTACTATGAAACTAAGACTAATACAAAAAGCACCAGCTTTCCTGCCCTTAGCGTCAGCTAATACTGCAAAGAAGGGAGCTGCTGGTAGAGCCACTAGGCACGGTAGAGCAGCGAGCCATGCACCTCCTGTTAAGGCCTCCGTTCCTAGTACACCTGACACCCAACCAGTGCTGCAGCCGTGGGTGAAACATGAGAGGTTATCTGGAATTCGAATAAAACGGTTGGTTACTTCTAGTCTTCTTCTTCTTAATATTAAGTAAGTTCTTTGGCATAAAAGAATGACATAAAATGGCCATCTTACACAATATTATAAAAGTGAAAGTTTGTGAGTATGGATGGTTGGATGGATGAATGTTTGTTACTTTTTCACACAAAAACTACGGAAAGGATTTTGATGCAAAATCCGTTAAAAAAGAAATAACGCATAAATAACGCTATAATGTAAAAGAATATTATGAATATGAAATTCGGTGAAGATTATAATGCTAAATGTGTAGTAAGTATGATCCAGTCCAGACAGTAATTATAAATATATAATGATCATACTAATAACCCAAGACAATTCACACAGCGCCATCGAATACATAGAAAACACCCAGACTGATACAAACAATCATACTCATGAAAAAAATGTTTGGCACCGTGCGAAGAATCGAACCTGCAACCATCGGAAGTAAGGCCGTTTCTTCTAAACCGCTAGAACACCGAGGCTATCAATTGATTTACTTACAAATACACGCGGAAAGTATCCGGCGCACCGAACCTCGCCATCGTTTGGAAGCGCTCTTCTCAATGCGTCTGAAACAAAGTAAATTTATATAAATAAATAGAATAGAACAGAAAATCATTTATTCAAATAATTCAATAATTTAATCCAAAGAAAAAAGTTTCATTGTTCTAAATTAAAAAATGTAGATTTTGCATACAAACTTTCATCCCCTGTTTTATTTTACCCCCTTAAGGGTAATATTTTACAGCCTACAAAATAAGTTTCAAGACGATATTTCCATACCTTCATCTCCCCTTTCAACCCCTTCAAACACTATTTTTGCATTAAAAAGTAGCTTCATACTACCTGTGTACCAAATTTCATTTAAATCAATACAGGTTGTGCGATGCAAAAAGAAATTTGCCTCCACATTGTGGAATCACCTTCCAGCAATGGTATTTCCGAACCGATATTATATTGAAACCTTCAAGAAAAGAGCTTATTCCTTTTTAAAAGGCCGACAACGTACTTACAATTCCCCTGGTGTTGCGGGTGCTCATGGGCGGCGGTAATCACTTACCATCAGGTGAGCCGCAAGCTCGTTTGTCCCCTGTGTTATAAAAAAAAAATCCAGTAGTGTTGGCGTGAAAGCGAGACAGCCAGACAGAGACTTACATTTATAATATTAGTAAGGATTTGGGTGCTTAAAAAATATATCTTAATATACTTTACATAGCAACGTTACGTTGAATTGTTTTAAAACACCGCCTCTTATGTAAATTTCGTGAATATATTTTACGACGGACTTAATTTAGGACCGGATGAAAGTGGGCATCCGCTTCTGGTAGACTGTTTGGTAGTGTATACAGGCTAATATGGTTAAACTAAGGGACCATAATCTGCGATTATATAGTATACTAGCTGTACGCGCGACTTCATCCGCGTGGAATTTTGCAATATTACTTTATTTTTCTAAAATACAAGTGGCCTCAGTTACTCCTTATTACATCAGCTACCTGCCAGTAAAGGTACCATCAAAATCGGTCCAGCCATTTCAGAGATTAGCCGGAACAAAAAGACAGACAGACAAAAATTGTAAAAAATGTTATTTTGGTTTATGTACCGTATTTATATTCACATGTAGTAAAAAACGGTTATTTCAATATTACAAACAGACACTCCAATTTTATTTATATGTATAGATGACCAAAGTAGACAAACAAATGCAAATTTTTCATGGAATAGTGCAACCTTAATATAATGAACCGCAATGAAAAAGTTTGTTAGTAAGAATAGAACTTTTATTAAGAATACATACACGAACCACATACTACCTGTCGCTGTGGTTGTGTGGTTGTAGTGCGATATTATTAGTAATATATATCCCATCAAAAACATAAATGTGAAATGATAGCCGAGTTTAATATTATGATATATGGCTTGATTGTTGACTTCTACGACAAAAGAGATGAGATCTAAATGGGTGCCAAGTTCAATGGTCTGTCCTGAAATGTATTTATAACAATATAAAATATCATTTCTTCTTATATACTGTTGCCTAAGGTCTAACTTGGCCAGTTCTCATATACCAATTATTACTTTCGATTGCTAGTTACTATTATATTAAAATAGGAACCGACAAGTAACATGTTTAGAACTTGCGAAGGCTACAGTATATTTCGTATATGAAAAAAAGTCAAGGACCTTATGGCTACAGTGATATTATCCTAAGTTATAAGAAGAAATGATATTTTATATTGTTATAAATACATTTCAACAGACCATTTTGGCACCCATTTAGATCTCATCTCTTTTGTCGGAGAGAGTCATCAATCAAGCCATATATCATAATAGAAAGAGACTTGTCCGGCTATCATTTCACATTTATGTTTTTGATGGGATATCATCCACTTTTTGTACATAAATTATACGAAAAAGTACTTATTTATAATAAATTAATACCAAATTATTTTTGATAAATTACTGTATTTTCGTATATTTACGGGGTATAATTGTCTTTTTTTTGTGTTATTTTCTATATTTTCTTGTAACTTTTAAATGTTCAAGTGCAATGCCAATTCAGTATCAGGACTTTTTGGGCAAATCGGGGCGGTATAACGTCCACAGATGGTTCAACCCTACAATACACTGTTGACTTGGATCTAAATTGTTAAGACGTACTCCATCTAAGGTTTTAACTCTGAAGAGTCCAACGTAAACCTGCCCTTTATTAAATAATATAGAGGAGGCTATGTTGAGAAGAGGACTGCCAAAACTAAGGCCTTGTGATTTGTGGATAGTAATAGCATATGTTAAGCAAATACGGAATTGTTCTCTATCAACATATACATTATTTAATGTCTGAAACTTCGTATTGACACGTTATAGTTCGTACAACGATTATGTAACAAATTGACTGTTATCTATTGAATTCTCAAGAAAACAATTTGTTACCAATAAGTTCTCATTCTCGAGTTAACTGTATATTCCTACTTATAACTATACTAAAATTGTTATTAATTTTTGGTTTAAACTATTGTCTATACCATACGTATTTACTAAAATAATGTAATAATAATATAATCACAAATATACATATAAGTATAATTTAAGAAATATCTATAAATTTCGTAGCATAAATCGCAACGGTTAGATATCCAGAAACAAAACATTGAGTTTTATCGCACCGCTCCCACACGGCGCCACCGCGTGAATATATACCGAAATGCCTATTATTTAATAATTATTTATAAAAATAATGATTTTACACTATCGATGTGCGCTAAATATTGAAAAAATAATTAATACCAAATCTCAGTTAATAACATAATAAATACGAAATTCGACTATACTCCTAGTTATAAGTACGAGTATATTTTAGACAGAATCTAAATTATAGCGACTAGTGTTTACCGCTCAATGCAATATTTGAAGTTTGCTTTATCGACACTGATGTGAAGGGGTCAACGTAAATTGGTAAAGATCGACGTTTTCATACAATATTACTTTCCGTCCAGTACAAGATGAGATTTTTCGCCAGGGATCAATGTCAATTGGTCCTATCGACGTTTTCATAGAGATTTTAGTATTCGTCCAGTATAAGTTGAAATAGAATCAATTAAAGTGAAAAATTGTAAAAATGGTAACAATTTACCAGTTTCAGATTTTTTCCTTTATATTCACCTAATTACCTATCTGCATACCAAATTTGAACTTCCTAGGTCATCTGGAAACGGGTTATAATTTTGATCTATAGTTGATCAGTGATAAAAATGACGATTTTTGGACATTAATATCTAAATAACCGTTTAAGATATGTTTATGAAATTTGGAACACATATTTATCTCGCAAGTCTCAATATATGAAACAAATTTGACAGGTTTGTGTGAAAGAGTTTTTGAGTTATGAGGGGGTCAAAAGTGGCTCCAAATGGTTCGTGTAAATATACACACGGTGCTGCAAGCCAGTTTACTTGAAACTCGGCTTGACACGCTGCCGCGTGTCTAGATGTGTAAGATATTTTCTAGAAATGAACAAAAACACGAAAAGTTTTCCGAACAAGCAACAACAAATAAACAAAATAGTACATATGCGTTTGTCAAATACATGGAAGTATGTGTAATGATTTTTTATAGATTTAATTTATTTTTATCCATAAGTCAAATTTTTATCAACTTTTTATCCATTTATATTATGGACTATTAACCATTAGGCGACCACTAGTTAAAGTTAGCTTCTAGCATGTAACGTTTGTGACTTGGATCGATCCCCCGTCCAATTCAAACGAAGATCGAAATTACGACGGCCTGAGCAGAGGTTCGAACCCCTAGCGGTGCCCTCAGACAAAAGTCGTATCCGTCAGGCGGGAGTTGGCCTTCAGCCGCTCCATAAGTCCTTCCGCGGGTTTGGAGTGCCATCTGCAATCGTCACCTATCGTTCGGTGAAGCTGTAAAGGCCAGCTGCGACCAACATCATTAGACTAGTCCGAAAAAAAAACTAGATGTAAACACTTTTTAGTTTAACAATCCAACTTCACTGGTAGTTTTATTTATTTAACAGAAGAGGGACACTGTGGTAGGTCAAAGTTTAGTGTTGGGTTGTACACCCAATATAACCATTTCCTAGATTTAACATATTCTCATAATCCCCTTAAAATACTCATAAGACTGAGTCGACGTAAAATATACCTTTAGGTACTTTGCGAATACTCTTTTGCGAACCTCAAAATAACCTTAAGATTTTTATAAAATTTTCCTAAAAAGTACCTCTTTTTATATTTTTATATATTATTTTTTTACAGGTTTTTGAGGTACATATTAATTATATATGTAGATTCGACTACTAACATTGAAAACCTATGAAAATCCAAGTATATCTGAATATAATCAAAATTGGTAATGCTGCTTAGCTGTTCACATATAGAACCTGAAGAATGATAAATTCAAATCGTAATTAAAAAAAATATCCATTAATTCAAAATGCATGTAATATCTAAAATGGTTAGACGCTTATGAATTTTTTTCTATTAATATTTTTAGTCCACAATCTAATATCGTATCTTTACATAGTATAAAATAAAGTCGCCGCCGCTATCTGTTCGCTTATATCTTTTAAATTATACAACGGATTCTAAAGCAATTATCATTAATAGATAGAGTGATTCAAGAGGAAAATTTATATGTATAATACATGCGTGTTATAGTATAGAACAAGCCGAGAAATTCAAAGATTTGTAATGCGTCCGTGCGAAGCCGGGTCGCTAGTGTCATATAAATAGTAAGCAACTTTTCTTTTTAACTTTATCCTGTATCGTAAACTTGAGAACCTAGTATTTTATTTAAGCATATAAATTTGGAAGATACGTTATAAGATAATATTATGTTCTTCCCATAAAAAAGTGCTGCCATCCTAAATGGAGTCGTTAAAGAAATTGAGCATCAGCCGCCAGTAATGACCATATATATATACTTATAAGGCAAAAGTCAAGCAGAATTTGCATAAAAATATTTATTTACTTAAACTTTAATTCGTTTTTCGTGTCGTGATCGTTAAGATTGTCGATATGGAGACTTATAATTTATATAGAGAAGGAATTC